CCCGGCGTGCGCCTGTCGCTTCTGCGCTACAACGACCCCCGGATCAGCTTCCGGGCCGAAGACGCCTACCCGCCGTCCCAGGTTAAGAAGAATCGAAAATCGGATAACATATGATATATGAAGAACATGAAGGATAGGTGCCAGACCATTACAAGATCTTTACGTACTCGGTGTAGCTATATCCTGGTTCTCGATTATACAGTTTCTTTCGAGGTCACCCGCTGGGTTCTTAGCTTACGAAAACTCCTTCAGAGCCAGCCCAACTAGGCGGGCTGAGCTTCGGCTCCTAGGTCAATAGAACCCGAATTCCCCATTCAATTGGCATTTGGATTTGCGGTGCAACAGTATGGAAAGTCAACTAGCAACAAAGATAAGACCTCCAACGTCTATGCGCCGTCCCATCTAGTGTTCGCAGATTCCGTCTGAAATTTCAAGGTCTCCATGGGGGCCGATTTTCCTTCTTGGTGGGCTGATCGGACGATTTCTTTCCGGCCGACTTGTCTCCCGATCGTGGCGGCGCCTTGCTTGCTTCCTTCGGGCGCTCTTGCGGCTTCCGATATGGTGCTCGCCAGATATTGAACGTTTCCACGTACGGGCTCTCCTCGTCGATCGGGAACGAGGTTTTGCTAGCCGGGTCGGTTCCGCGAAGGTGGGTGAGATCGACCAGGTAGAGCTTTTTGGTGCCGACGTCGTAGTTTAGATAGCTCGGGTGTTGATCGATCAGCCTGTGGCCGTTCTTGCGCAGTAACCTGTACGCGCAAAAGGATGAATCTGTCAGATCCATTATCTTTTCTGAAGCCAAGATACAAAGTTTCTTCCTCGTGATGGAAAGAAAGAATGAAAAAAACAGAAAAGAAAAAGGGGGAACCAGTCCAAACTCACTCGAGAATGCGCGCTAGTTGCGTCAGGATGCCGTCCAGTTGACGATCGGTGAGCTCGTCGTTGATCTCGTCGAGGTTCTCGCCCGGGGGCACCGCCATCACCAGGAAGTGGCCATATCCACCGGGAAAGGGCATCCAGCTCGGTTGCCAGCACATGAAGTGGTCGGCGTACCTCGGTCCCAGCCCCGCGTCGCCCAGCAGCTTGATAACGTCGCACTCGTGGAGAAACTCGTTCTCCGCAATCTCCCGGACCTCCCGCTTCGCCTCCTCGGTGTCCATCTCGAACCCACGCGGGTCTAGCTGGTAGCGCATCCGGATCAAAGAAAGGGCCTGGCTTTCGAGGTTTCGGGCCTTGAGGAGGAGGCTGCGCTCGCCCAGTTCGAGGTCGAGGACCTCGGTCAACTGTTCCTGAATGCGGAGCTTTCGCCCGCCCAGCGTGATAACGCGTCCCTCCAGGTTGAAGCTCCACATGTTGGAAAGAGTGAAAGGTTCGACGGTTCGCTTCTTCGTGTGGCTGACCTGAGAATGGACTAGCAGAGCTAATGGCTTGCTTGGCTTGGGAGCAAGGATAACGAGGTGTCGAGTCTCGGATGAAGGATAGATAGGGTGAGTTTGTGATATACGAAGTAGATAAGCAAGGCAAATTACAGAAAGAGGTAGTAGCTTTGCCGACGTAGTCTCTGGATGTCTGTATCTGCTCGAGTGCGGGTGAATTGCAAAGAGAATGTTGTTTCCACCAGGATAGGCCCTATTTCCTGATGGCCGATGATGGGCCAATCACAGGATGAGTCACTATTCCATCAGGATGACCAACATCGGAACTTGAAACCTACTTATTCACTGCTTCACTGCACAATGTTGTATCCATCACCGAACCGTGGAAAACCTCTAGGAATCGCCTTGTGCTTATGTAAGAATTCCTTTACCGGGGCCTGGAGTCACCCGCGGGTCAAGCCACTGTAAGAACATTCCCCCCTTACGGTATTCTTATGGACAGTTACGGTCCGCCCAGTCGTAAATTCCGCCTTTCAGTAACGTTGGTGCTTTTCGTTTAGGAGCACCTCGAATCCACCGAGGCGATTGACGCTAGGAACAATGGAAGAAGTTGTCAAAAACAATCGGGCAGTTGTCTACCAGAACATCCTTCTCTACCTGTCATAGTAGCCAAAGGAATTTCGGGAAGTCCAGAGCCCTCGCCCGCCCCAAATGGTCAAAACCTGGATTCTCATGGTAGAGATCAGCCCTGCGAACGAAACGGGCCCGGCCTTAGCACTTCATCGGATAGTCGGCACAGTGACGACAACAAGCATCTTCACCTCGGCCATGAGGCGGGTCTATCATGGCCTTCACAACAACATCGAGCAGGCTACTGTCTACGTTGTTCGATCCATTCTCCAGCTATGAGCGGCCACACGATGTGAAGAAAGTGCTCGTATTTATTCAGCTCTAGTGTATGGAAGGCTTGGTGCGGGACGTGCCCCATCTGTGCTGGACCATATTCTGTAGTCCTTACCATAATTTCACTTTAGAAAGTGAGGCAGGTCATCTCTGGAACGTCTCAAAATCCCGGATCGTGGGCCTTACGGCCCGTCTTGGGTAAGGCCCGCTGCTGGCGGCCGCGGCGCGTCTGTTTCAAACATTAGAATTAAGACTACCTTAGGATTGGGTAGCTACCAAGGGCTAGAAATTACCAGAATAAGACCAGACCTGCGACTGTACTTGCTTCCAGCGGCATCCGCCGTCCTAAGAGCGAATGCCAAAAAGCACTCCCTCAGCGAGACTTCTGTGGCTGAGGAGCCAGCTTTCGAGTTGACCGGGGGCGACATGGCGAACTCGTTATCATTGACACGCTTCACGAACCATGTCCTCTCGTAGATAGTGAGGAATCCATAGCGGACGTAGTAATCATCCATGTACCTGGCGGGTTGGCCTTTTGTTTGATTGGAACGGCACAGCCAGCGTTTAGCATGCGGGAAAATCATTTGGGGGAAAAAGCCGCACCACTATGCGCCGTACTCACCGAGCTTCTCGGCTATGAACTGCTCCCAGGTTTGCTTCTTCCTGGGTTCGAATTTCCACAACGTCTTGGCCTCACCCACGCCCCGGATGGCATGGGTCTTGGTGTCTGCCATCACCACGTCGGGAACGAGCTTGCCACCACCCTGCTGCCCTCCTATCTTCCGCTTCAGATCTGCTTTGACTTCTCGTTTCACCTGCTTCTTGCCTTCCAGGAGGAGCCGGTTGACACCGTACTGGGCGTCCCCAAAGCGGACCCCAAGCTTGAGAAGCTCGGTCACTTCTCCGACCGGGTGCAGGGCATTTTGGACGAGGCGGCCCTGCAACCCCAGCTCATTCGCCACGGCAAAGACCTCCCGGGGCACCACAGGGACGAAGGGCTCAAATTTGCCGCAGTAGGGCGCGAGAAGACCTTTGACCTCTTTGGCAAGATCCGGTGAGTGTCGGGTTTCGTCTTAGACCGGCCCATCCCTGGTAGATGTAGACTACAAAAGCCAGGTCACACGTGATCATCAGCGAGACACGGTTCGTTTGTGGAAATGGCGGAGATGGAAACCGACACTCCCTTGAATTCGACCCACGTTCTGCGCATAGGTTCACTGAAGTAAAATATGCAAGACAAAACCTGGGTATCAAGAGGCAAAAGCGGGTACCTGGAGAGTGGACTTGCTTGTAGTCGGATTGGGCGCCAGAGCTGCCCTCACAATATGATCCCCGGCGTCTGCATTCACACTACTCCTTGTTTGTTCCTTAACTCAATAGTCAACTTGCATCGCCCGCACCAGCCTTCCGTTCACCCAACCTGGGATCTCGGGCTTCCTTCCAGGCTGCCCAGGTTCACTTCTTCCCTGACGGCTATGGTATTCGGATAAGCCTCACCGACTGAAGCGATGTATACATGTTTGCAGGTCTGAATCGGGACCCCTTTTCCTATGTCGCAACCCGGTGGCCCGCAATATACCAGTTGAAATGCCATGCTATGAACCGCAATAGATAGACACGACGTCTTCGCGACCCAATAATCGAGCCACCACGTGAACCCATCCCGGCACAGGTAGTTCAATTTCTTTCTGCGTGGCTGTACTTGCTCTCCTGCTCTGCACACACAAAGCCCATGATATACCACTCTACCCATAGCGAATCAAGGTCTGCAGTTACCCAGGAGATCTCAGCTTTTGTTCAAATGGGGATCATGGTCTCACCCGCGAAAGAGATCCTGACGTCGGAGTTCGCGTTGGAGAAGTGGAAGAGGGCGGCAAGGTCCTCTTCCTTCTCGCCCTTGGCTGCTTCGATCAGCTCCTGTGGGGACACATATCCTTGGAAAGATGGGTCAGCGCACCGACTCCACCGCTCGGACAAGGAAGAAACAATGTAATTCACCGTTCAAGTCCTTGTCCTGCATGGTTCGAGCGAGGTTTACGAGGGTCAGCCACTCTATATCCAGAAATAGGTTAGACGCGCAAGGGGAGCAGGTCTACCGCTTCAAAAAATGCCCGGAGCCACTCCTGGATGATATTTACGGGTGCACGATATTCTGGCGAGTACGTCAGTCTTTCCTTTTCTTTTTCTCCCCCCCCTTTCTTGTTTCGGAAAGCCTGAACCAGAGCAAAGGATGGGTTTTGGGCAAACTCAAAATTGGCAGATTAACAGGTTTGACTACGGAACTTCAAATCAAAAGATCTGGGAGCGCAGCTGGAATTTATACTTGCGCGTTTGCTCTCAGTAGTTGAGACCATCCCTGGGAACGTGGCATGTGCCACTGCAGCTTTTCCTGAGGCTTTGTCAAGCTTCTGGTCTGCAAGCCCGGCAGCACGGGGAACGGCCGTCCCGCCATCTTCCTATCGCCGTCGATGGTTTGACGGAAACCTTGACGCAAATGCTCAATTGTCCACGGTCATCCGGGGAGCTGAATAAGACAGCATTCTATGTGGTCATGCTTCAGGAAAACCGGAAAGTCTTCGACATCACAGTCAAGTCTGCGCGTCATTCAGCGAGGAGTCATGCCGGTTTCCCCTCACGTCGAGGTGCGCCGCGCCGCTGCATGAGCTCCACCTCTATGCTAGAGCAGAAATACCGCCCATGGGCGTGGTTCCGGTCTGCAAGGCTCAGCATGGATGCTACATGTCATTTACAACCGTGTGACCGTGACCCGTCTTTGTTATGAAGGAGCACCCTCCCAGCGGAAATGATCTGTGTCTCCAGTGTTCCGCTTGTCGCGGGTGAGTTGATGCCCCGCGTCGGAAAATGTACCAAGGCCAATTGAATCGTCTATGGTGGATGGGCGGGTCATGCTTGCAGCCCTTTGAAGGAGATCGGCGTTTGCTGTACAACATTCATGCCGTCATCTCTGTACAACGTCAATCGAAGTATGCGTGTACACAGATCAGTTACTTCGGGCGATCGCAGACACTCAGTTTCTGAAGCATTTCGGCTCGTGGCTGTGATTTAGATGATATACATGAAGGTCCACTCATTTTTACATTTCTGGTTTCATAACTGAAAGGGATCGTTGCACTATACATGCCACTGGATCGAAGCCAACAAGAAACCGAAAACATGACGAGAGAAGCATTGCACAACATCAAGCAATACCCAACTGCCGCCATTCCCACACCGCGGAAGAGACCGCCGCAAGCGTACGAGTATGTACAGGACTACCCTTCTTTGAAATGGCATGTCAGCGTAGCCTGTCCACTGGCACTGACCGTCTCCTGCCAGTCGTCCGTAATACCCCCGGCTGCGTTACAGAGCCCGTCCCCGTTCTTGCCGCTGTAGATCACGGCCTTTCCGCTCGCTGGAGCGGCCACCTGGGCCTTGCAGATCAAATTACTATTGCCTGTTCTCGCCATATCTTGTCATTTTTGAACTACTCACGTCTCAATGGGAGGACGTCAGGGTGCGTGATCGTACCTGAGCTGGTGATAATCGCATGATCTTTATCAGCGAACTGGAAGTTGCCATTGCCGTCCTTGAGAAAGCATCCCTGATCGATGATCTGGACGGCTGGGTCTGCGAGTGCCATGCTGACCAGAGCCAATGCGGTGAGGCTAGTGGTGAGATGCATGACGGGGGTCTTGGTTATGGGGAGTTGTGCTTTAGATTGTCAGTGATGGGTTTGAGCATGGAAAGATCGGAGAGCGAGGTCCTCGTCAAGAGAGCCCTTTTTATAGGGAGCTGGGACTGTCAGACAAACAGGCATCCAAACCATGTTAACGGTCTACTCGTGTTCTGGACAGTCTTCGGAGTCGTGTGATTGCCTCCTGTTCTTTATTACTGATGGAGTCCACTACGATCGTCAAGGGTCGGTCAATCGTCGGATACTAGGAAATCGACCCTCTAGACCGTCAAAGAGGAACCATTCTTCATGCTTGGTCTCGTACTAAGTGGATGGCCAACCAAGTGGTGATTTGTATTGTGGGACCCCATCAGATTAGGTTGGATCATATTGTAGACAACGAAGGGCTAAGCATTGCGCTGTGGATCAACCGCTGCAGAATGATCCCCGAATCTATATCCGTTGCCTTGATCTCTGGATACGAGCAAATGGGTTTTCTGCCGCTAGTAAGCGTTCCGTGGTTTGCATTGAATCCGTACAGCTACCACTCTGCAGCCGCGGGAAAACCTCGGTTCAGAATGGGGAACCGCCGGATAGGGCTTGGTTATACGGTCGCGGGAGGAGATAAGGACGCATTCGATGGGCGGTGTGTGCCGCCCAGAGATGATGCGATCCACCGGTGATTAAGGTGATCAGATCAATGCCCAGGAAAAAGAAATCCATGTGTGATTGAAATGCTTTCAGCGATGGGAAATGCGGTGTGAACCCGAATAAGGGGACTTTCTTATGCGGTTTTTGTGGGGACCTAGACTTGGGAAGCAACAATACGATGGCCTAGACCCAGTCTCCATAGTGTCTCATGGTAGCTATAAGCTTATTTCCTGAGAAGTAACAAGGCTGAGATTGGAATATTGAACCCAAATAAAGCTTATGTGGATGTTACCAGTATTGTCTCAGCAAGCATCACTGCCATCATTGGCTCGTACGTTTTTACAAATATACTATTTTGCAGATAGCCGAACACCGGGTCACTGCAATTCCGAAGACCACATAACCATACGCGAACTATAATAGTTAGACTTCTTGGGTCGATTCGGCCGAACCACAATGCAATCAGCTCTTGATATTAGAGTAAACAGTGGATTGGCCCCTTCAGTCAGCTCGTATAGGATCAACAACTGAGTGGCTGAATCAAATGCTGACTGACAAAACCCGACCGGCAGGTCTTCGCCTGATGGGTCTTCTTTCACCAGTTGAATCAAACTCAGAGAATCTCTCGTAGCCATCCTAGCATTCAATTGTAGACACAGTACATGGAATACTTGAATAGGTTCTATGGACTCCACATTCACTGTCCCCATTTTTAAGACCCGATTCACCCGAAGCGTTGGTTATTCCTTCCCTCTGTCTCATCCGGGCACTTGCCCTACATTCACCCTGTTCCTCGTTTCAACTTCTCTAGTCTCTTCCGGCCTTCATGCCTAATATAATTCTTTCTCGTATGGTTCCAAGTCTCGAATCCGATATCGTCAACTCCTCCATACAGGGGCTTTGTTTCGGTCATACATGTTGTTTCTGGGAGGTTTCTCCTCTTCCTGTCCATTCAAACGTCCGACAGAAGGTAAAGCCACCTTGGATTAGCAAAACCTATCCACTTTGAGTCAATTATTCCTTTTCTTTCACTGTGTCTACGATACCGCGAGCGTAACGGCCAAGAGCCTCCACTCGCTGTCGATCGTCATCGTCCGACGCTTCGCCTGTGTCGAATGGGATTGTTTCGTATGGACTCGTCTTGTGTGGAGTTACTTTCAAGTGTCGTTAAAGTCAAGGATAATGTTAAGCTCTGGTTTGCGGAAGTCCTCTGTCATCTGAAGAGCTCACGATGACGGTGTCGGTCGGAATTAGCAGTGCATCACGTTTCCATAGCATCTTCGCCGGGAGGACCTTCAACAAGAGCTAAAGGAAAATTGATTCGCCACACACACGCGTCAGTCCCTCTTGCACCTGTAGGGAGCATGTAGTCGACGATTGAAAAGGATGGTAGCCAGCTCGTCCATGATGGAAAGAGACACGGGTTCGGCCTAGTTTGACTCCTTCCTATAATTGTCACATGACTTGCTGCTTCTTCAATCACAAGCGGACTTTTGGCCCAGTTCCCTTACGAGCAAGTTGAGCATACCCTGCCTTGCCGGTATTGAGGCGGTCTGCGCCTGCGGGTTGGCCGCCGGCAGGAGCTCTTCAGGCCGGGGGTTATCTCCAATACTTAATTGACCTACCCATCGACAAGGACCAATATCACAATTGAAAGGATCTTCCATGTGAGTCATACACTGACGTTCATTACACCTATAAGCAGCTCATAGTTCCAAGATACACGGATCAATGAGGTTGATGTTATGGTACTGAAATTGCTGCGGCTGCTCGGCGAGCCAGAAATGGGTATTTATATCTGCACGGCTTTTTCTCTATTGTCGGGTGTTGTTGCCACGCACCTGCCTTGCAACCTCTGCATTCAACCATCTTAGATTCTCGCCATTGTCTCTTTCTCCTCCGTCTTGGCCTCAGCGCCTGCTCTCCAGCTCTCACCCCCTCACTCCCTCACCTGCTCATTTGTTGACTTCACCAAAGTGACTCCAGACCACATCGGCATGAACCGAGAAGACTAAAATGTCTGCGGCATTCACCCGTCTTCGATACCTATATCAATCGTGTCCGATCACCCGACCTGCAGCGTCAATGACTTGCCGGAGCTTTGTCTGGGCCAGTTTCTTGTTAAATGGTTAGTCCTCCTCTAGTATCCTAATAAACGTAGAGGTGCTGATGGACCGAATGCAGGAGTATTTTGTGTACACTTTGAACCTTCATAAGTATACTCTAGAGGTAGAATAATAACCTTTTCGTGGACTATACACTTTTGATTCTTGCTGGTAGTCCATCTAAGTGGGGTATTTTACCCACAGCTACCTATCTCAAGGTGCTAAGGTACTCTATTGATTCAATCTCCCAGCTCTCCTAAGCTCCCATAATCAAAATGGTCGATTGGAACCGGTGGTCAACAATGGTGACGGCTCCTGCCTCCTTCCTCCTCTATACCATCTAAACAGCTTTTTCCTTAACACCATAGTCTAAGTTAACAAAACCGCATCTCCCGCCCTTCAATTCTTCCTCTTATTCTTCCCTTTTTCTCCTCTCTACCGAAAGGTGATTTCTTGTTAGTACCAGCTAACACGTCTTACCCATCGTTCGATCCCCTGCTGCTTCCTGCTCTCAATCCCCTACTTTCTCTCGTTTCTTATCGCCCGACCTTCCCTCCATTCTTTTGCCCGTTTTCGTGAAGAGTCGACCAGATGGCCCGTCTGTGTCCTTCTTCGTTCCCTTCCTTTTCGTCTTCCCTCCGCTCCTATTACCCCTCTCTCTTTCCTCCAAGAAGGATCTGGTACGTCCTTCTTGTCCCGCCCTTCCTTCCTCTCCTCGCTCATCCGCCATCGGACTTCGACACCACACTTCTTTGCCTGCCTATCGAGGCGTCCGTTCTTTGCGCCTGATGCAGTCCGCTCCGCTGCAGCCCACTGTGTCCAAGGTAAGGACTTTCATTCGTTCCGTTGTTTCTGAGAAGCCTTCTGCTGTATCCTCTCAGGGTGCGTCCGCTCCTTCTTCTGTGCGCCCTCGGGCCACGTCCACTCCTTCTGGGCCAGGTGATGCTCGTACTCATCTTCGGACGAGACGGGATACCGCCGAAGCCAGGGCTCAGCGGGCCGAGGCTCTCTTGGAGGTCACCCTTGCATCAAACGCAGCTCCGGTTCGTAAGGGTAATTCCAAGAAGAGTGTCAGCTTCAATGAGACCACCACAGTCTTTACTGTCAGTCGGTGGATCCTCCCATGGAGAGATCAGTTCCGTAGGTATTGAGGAATGGGTTGTTTTTGAAGGCTTCTCCTGTTACTCTTTTGATTTCCTTGAGTCACTCGTTTTGGGGCTTTGCATTTCCTGTTTCTTGTTGGCCTTTGGGTCGTCCATTCGTTCTCTCCTCTGGTCTGCCTGGCTTGGTTGTACCAGAACCAAGTCGGCTTCTCTTTACTGCTGATCAGGTGACAGATCGGGCATCGGGACGACATCGTGCACCACCGAAGAACGACAGAGACGACAAAGAACCACCAACATCGATTCGCTTACGGTTACCAACGAGTGTCTAGCGGCCGGCATCACCGAAGGACGACAGAGGTGAACGACCTGGGAGGGCGTTTGGGTTTGTTGCGGTTTCATGTCTGTTGGGCAGCAGCACGAGACGGGCAACCACGTCTTTCTCAGGCAACGGTCATCGGCGGTTCGACGGCGTCTCGGTTTGCGACAACACTCTGCGATACGACAGGGGCAATCGAGTGGGGATTTGGGATCGTCGGCGGTTTGAGGGGTGTCTCGTGCCAGCATCTGCCAACGTGGTTCGGAGCGTTGGAGTCAAGTCAATTTCAGTTGCTGGTACGGGTGCCGGAGGATTTGGGGGGGGCGTCTTTCCTATGTCTTTCCTTTGTTCAGTGGTGGAGGACATGTTTGGCCAACCCAACAAGGGGGTGTGGCTTAATGTAGGTCTCCTTGGTCATTTCCTTTGTTGCTTCCGACTATCTTGGTTCTACAAGGACTTGTATGGACAACTCTGGCGTGGGTTGAGCCTTTGTGTTCTCTTTTGTTATTCTCGTGGTATCACCAGATACCTGGCTGGGAGGACATGTGGACCAGCCCCAGTGGGGTGTGGATTTTTGTAGGTCTCCTTAGTCTTTCCTTTGTTTTGAACACCTGGTCCCGAAGATGGACTTGTATGGACAACTTGGGCGAAGTCCGTAGACTTGGTTGTAGTATTGATGTAGTTTCTGTACAGTCGTAGAGGGGTAGTTCGTCAGAGCCAAGCTCCGCAGGAAATATATGTTGGGATAGCGGGATAGACAAAATGGACGAGAAGTACTATACCTATTGACTAGTCTATAGGTAGTGTCGGTCTGATCAAGATACAGCTCACTGTATGAACTTGAGCTGTTTTTCCTTTGTCACTTTCCCCATTTCTTCCATACTATTTTCCTAGCCTAATGGTACGCTATACTAAGAATAACTTTTCTCAAGTTCTCCCGCTGTTCGAGAAAAAAGCCAGAAACAAAGGATCAAAGGATACCCAGAGGGGGGAGCGGGTAAACTATCCCTAGCTAGGCTAGATTCCCGGGAAGCTGAGTCATCCCGTGGGTCGCAACTCCACATTGGGGGAAAACTCAGCGGGCGAGACCCAATGCATCTCCAGCAAAAGCATGGAATAATAACTGAATTCATTCACTCATTCATCCACTGCAGCCACCCACCAGCTGTTTCGTGGTAAACAAACACTGGTCTAAATACCGCCCCTCCCCCCTTCTCCCTCCTTCCTCCCCCTTCAATCATGATAAGTCGTCGTCTTTTATCCCAAGTCACATCAATCAAGATCTCTTCCTCTGTTGTTCCCACTGCACGATTGTGGAATTCTCCTCGTGTCGCAGCCAAAGCCACCGTCTCTGTCAACCCATTCTCTCCGCGAGTCCAGAACTTCACCACTTCCCGCGCCATGGAATCCGTCGCTGGCACTCCTGATGATAGTGGGGTTACCTACGCCTCGGTGTCTGACCGACTAGACCCCTTGCTCTACAAGGCTATCGCAAAGTTGGGCTTCGACAGTATGACTCCCGTGCAGCACCGCGTAATGACCCAGCTGCAGCCCGACGGCTGGCGCGGTGACTGCCTGGTCCAAGCTAAAACTGGTACCGGCAAGACGGTCGCCTTCTTGCTGCCGGCCCTGCACCAGCTGGTGCACGGTGACACCTCCATCCCCAAAGGCCAAGTCGCCGTCCTGATCATCACCCCAACGCGGGAATTGGCGCTGCAGATCGCCAAGACGTGCAATGGGCTCACCTCCCAGTTGCCTCGCCAGCGTGAAATTCAATGCCACATTGCCGTCGGCGGCACGGCTAGGGCCAGCACCTTCAACACGTTCATGGCCGGCGACCCCAAGGTCCTCGTCGCCACCCCGGGCCGTCTGCAAGACTACCTGAATGATGAGGAGTGCGCCCGCAAGTTCACGAACATCCAGACTGTCATCCTCGACGAGGCCGACACCATGCTCGAGGCCGGCTTCCTGCGGGATGTCCGGCAAATCCTGAAGAAGCTTCCCGCCAAGAAGGAGGCCGGGTGGCAGGGCATGTGCTTCAGCGCCACGGTGCCGCCCAAGGTCAAGGACGTGATCAACGTGGTCCTGCGCGACGGATACCACCACATCTCGACGCTCGACCCGAACGAGTCCGCCACCCACGAGCGCGTGCCGCAGTATTCGGTCGTCGTGCCCGGCGTCGAGCAGCTCTACACGGCCTTGCATGCGCTCCTGAAGGAGGAGATGAAGGGCAAGAATTCGAAGAAGGTGATCGTGTTCGGCGCCACCTCGAACTTGGTCGCGCTGATGAGCATGGCGTTCGAGAAGCTGCTGAAGGGCCAGGCCGAGGTGTTTGAGATGCACTCGCGGCTGTCGCAGCCGACGCGCTCGCGGACGACCAACCAGTTCCGGGAGGCCACCTCCGGGGTCATGTTTGCCAGTGATGTGGTCGGCCGCGGGCTGGACTTCCCCAACGTCGACCTGGTGGTGCAGGTCGGCCTGCCCGCCAACTCGGACCAGTACGTGCACCGCGTGGGCCGCACGGCACGTGCCGGCAACGACGGCCGCGCCGTGATGCTGCTGACCGAGCGCGAGAGCTTCTTCATCAAGGTCAACGCCGGCAAGTTCCCCATCCAGCCGCACCCTAGCGCCGCGGACATCCTCGCCGCTGCCGACGACCCGGACCGCTCCAAGAATGTCGTCAACCAGGTCATGGCCGCCGAGGTCGACGAGGTCACCAAGCAACGCGCCTACTCCTCCTTCCTCGGCTGCATGGCCGGCGGCCGCCTGCTCAAGCAAATGCGCCTCGACAAGCCCGGCCTCGTCCAGCTGGCCAACGAGCTCGCCATCAAGGGCTTCCAGTGCCCCGAGCAGCCCCAGCTCCAGAAGTCCGTCGCCGGCAAGATGGGTCTGACGGGCAACATCCCCGGCCTGAGACTCACCAATGTCGACCCCAAGCTGTCGATGAAGGGCAACCAGCCCGCTCAAAACGGCGCCAGGAAGAACCCCGCGCGCGACGTGCTGAGCGCCGAGCCCAGCGGCGTGGAAAAGCCTAAGCCTAAGGCCCCCTTCAAGCCCAAGCGCAATCGTTCGTGGGGCAGGATGGTCTAACCGTTCCTCCCTTTTCCCTTACCTTCTCACTTTCTGTTTGGCATTCCCGGGGTTTCTTTTCGCGTCTAGGGTTGAGTAATTACCTACGATTGTGTACTTATAGATTCATAGATTTGCAATTGATTGACTAGGTTCAGATATTTTTCGGTTAACAAGAGTTGTTCGTGAGCTCTGTCTGACCCATAGGGGAGCTAGATCACCTGACTTTATATTTCTTGCGCGATTCAGGTTCAGTGCTATAGCCCCAAAGCACTTCTCACATCACTATCTATCAGGATCATTCAAGAGCGAACGTAGTTTCTAAGGGGACTACCGTCCACAATTCCTGTACTATGGTATCAGGGTTAAGTTGTTTGGTCGGACCATACTCACGTGACTAGACCCTTGAGTGGATCAGAGATCTGGAAGTCAGGTGAGGGAAGCTAGCCGCGGCTAGTGCACCGGGCAGTGCCCTGATGCCTGACCCGGTCAGGCTGCCACGATTGTTAATGACGCCATCTTGATACACGGGCTCAGGCACACGCCCGCGTTCATCCCGAAGGATCCAGGATCTGAACCCGCGATAAGCTGCGATCGAATCTTGTGGTCATCTACCTTGGTTGAGGAGTGGGACGGTGAGGGGGTGGTGAAGATGTAATTTACCTTCTATTCAGTTTGCCGCGAGCGAGTGGCAGGTTTATAGATTTTGCAGTTCTTGCGACTGGATACAAGCTTTAGCTTTCAATCTTCAGCTTTCAATAGGGTTGGTGACTTATATTCGATTGCACTCCAATACACAGTGCCATGTTCACAGACTCTCGTCTGTTATTGTCTCTCTTGCTCGCCAGGTTAAGGGTGAAGACTGGATCTCTCGTCTTTCCTGTTGCCATGTAGTATACCCACCATGTGACCTCCCCATTCACACATAGGCTATTTCAGAAGATAGCGCCCATGTTTGCATATTAGATAGTGTCATACAAAGTACAAAGAAAGAGACGCAAGCATGCCTCACTACATACATATATGAGTAACTCACGATCCGTTACTGGATAAACGATCAACGATCACGCGACTCAGCGGTTCCTCAAGCGAGTTGCCCATGCAGATCACCTGGGTAAGTTAGCTAGTTCCTTCTACCTAGGATTCGGTCCATACTGCCCGGGCCTGAGCTCCGTCGAATCGCTACACATGCTCTAAATAGACTCATGATCGCCAGAGACACCCCCTTCCTTTCACCCAGAACCCCTCATAAGGTATATTGCGCACTTCGCCCGAAAGGAAAATAGATCAAACAAAGATGACACTCAACCAGGAAGATGGGATACCGACATTAGGTAGGGCATAGAAGTATGCGTAGTATGCCCATCTCCCGACGGAACTTGCAAGTACCATAATCAGACTTATATCGACCCTAAAAGACAACAGGTAACAAAGACGCAATGCAATCTACATGACATAACATGAGACCAGATCAAACCCGAAAAAACATACCAGGACGTTTCGACGAGCCCACCCCCGCCCCGGAATCAGGCGACTCCCGCCGCCTCTTCCGTTCCACCGGGTCCCCCCTACCAATCTCATTCCCATGCACATGCGCATGCCCATACCCATGTATATTGACACCCCTCATACTAGCCAACAGCACCTTCGCATATGCCGCCGCAGTCGCAGCCGCATAGTGTTGCCACCGGTCATTCCGGTGCGAGTCGCCGTAGTCGCAGATTCCGCGGATCAGGACACATGGAAAAACATCGACGATGTCGGCGGCCTCCGACTCGAAACACAAGATGGTGTGCGCCTTGATGAGGAGGTCGCGGTGGTAGCCCGCGCGCGGAATTGCAGTGCTGGAGGCGATGAGGCCGTAGTGGATGCGGGGCTGGAGGGTGGGCCGGGGCGGGCGGCGGAGCTCGAACATCGACCAGCAGCGGTGGCAGTCGGTGTCGCTGGGGAGGGCGTGGGGGTAACAGCTGAGGAAGAGGCGGTCGGGTTCGGGGTCCGGGTGTTGGTATTGGAATTTGAGGAGCTCGATCTGGCGGATATAGCGATCTAGGGAGGCGGTGGCACTGTCCGGGTTGGATTCGAGGGCGCTGATTGCTTGTGTGACGTCGGTGGGCGGTGGACTGAGGGATCCGTTGAGTATAAAAGGTCCGCTTGCGCGGGTCTGGGCGATGTCGTACGGTATGACTCCTGAGTACGGGCTGCGGGGGTCGCTGACGATAACATCGCCTAGTCGGATGTCGTGCGCGTCGAATGGCGTTCCTGCACCCATGCCAACCAGTAGACAAAAGCGTATCCCGGGGAAGTTGCGCTTCATGTAATGGACACTATTCTGCGCGGAGTAGGTGCTATCTGAGCCGTGCTGTAGGCAGACGCCGACCACGTGGTGCTCTGCTATACGGCCCAGGGCGTAATGGTTGTGGTCTCCGGTTGGCATCGTCACCGGCTCGAAGACCTCGTCGAAAAGGACACGGACTGCCATCAGCTCATGTTGTAAGGCGCAAATAATCCCGACTGTGTAGTGAGCGAGTGCCATCTTTCTATTGGACGGCTGATGGAGAATGTGTTCTGACGGGCCAGCGGTGGATTTTGCCATGTTGAAGAACCCTTGCTCCATTGTCTGAGACACCCCGCCTGCCGATGAACGTCTTGCACCCTCATATATCGATGGAATATGACTATTACCGGCGCTGTCTTCGGTGTAAACTGGTCCCAGTTCTTGAACGGCAGGCTTGGACCTAGTTGGATATCCGTAGTCGCCCCAATACCATGCATCGTCCGGGTTAAACCCAAAGACTATAGCCCCTACGTCCCAATCTGAGGCCACGGTCGTCTCTTGAGCTTCGTTCAACATCGCGACGGGTACAAGCATGCCGACATGCTCCATGCTCTTGAATCTTTCCTTGAAGTTTTGCAATGGATGTGTGTTGCTGGACTTTGTCGAGCACCAAAGCAGGTCATGGGTCAATCTTGCGGGATACGAGTCCGGGTCACCGTTCGCTTCCGCTATATTTCTGATATCTCGAGCGCTGGCCGTGAGATAGAACCTTCCAGTTGGGACTGTGTTCCATCCTGCAAATGGTTGTAACCAATTCGCAGGTTGTATGATGTCACCAAAGCCCCGACCAAATAACGTGACTGCATAGATCGCACGAGTTAAGTCCACCCAGCATCGACCTTCAAGTGGTAGAACTGTCTGTCGCAGGTAAATAGGATCATTCTCACGGGTGAGGTCCCGGAAATTTCACCTGTCCAGCACCGACCTTGGTTGTTTACCAGCCGGGCCGTGCCGACTTGTGGCTCTGAGCCGAATGTCTATTGCCTGTTCTAGCAAGGTAAAGTAATCTTCAGCACGGTCTTGAAACGTAATCGGATTCTCTCCGCTCCCGGACATGTTTATTTTGCGATTGATCGGATGAACTAGCAGTTGGAACGCTGAGTCCCATTGATACGGCCGTTTGGCTTCGTGTAGCTGGTCCTCATGCAAATGGCGAGCGGCCTCCGGTGCACCAGCACAGCGGTGTTCATAGATCGATGCTCGGATAAGATGTAGCAGAGCGCTAGCTCCGTTAACCAGCCATCCTCTTTGCTCCGCCTCATCCCATAGAACAACGTATTTTTGAAAGAGCCATTTCATCTTCTTAATGAATGACGATCGTGGTGCTCTAATGTCTCTTTGCCCTAGGACAGGGCGTGTGCCGTCTGCGAATATTGGGCCTGCAGAGAGCGCGCAGGTACTGAAAAGCTCTTCCTCCTCAATAGTGTGTGGTAGTCCGGTATTTCCAATGCTGTAGCTCGCACCCTGTTGACCTAGAGCCAGAGTGTTAGTGTCAAACATCGAAGGTCTCGCAGTCAGGGTCAGAACATTAAGATACAGACCTGCAAATAGCTTTATCTCTGGACACCAACCTACTACATGCCGAGCTGACTTCAGGGCATGGACTGCAACAGAGAGACCTGGCCACTCTTCGCTGCGTAAATGAGACATACGGCCCTGGTTCTCCTGAGTGAGATGCCATGAGACAACATTCTGGGAATAGCCAGTCACAATCGCCATGCTGGTAAACCCCTTCAAGAGTGTCTTTTGGTCAAATCGGGATACTCGAGTCGTATCAACCAGCTGAGCTAGCATGCCTAGCGGTATTTCGAGACCCTCGGACGCGTGCGAGGGTCGCCGACGGATTGGGAAACCTTCCACTACCACTGGACTCGCCATCAATCTGTGCCAGCACTGCCCGTTAAGGGGCTCCATGCTCTTGATACTCTCCCTGAGTTCAACTGTGAGTTCAAATAGAAAAGCTGCTTGTGGATTGTGATCACCGTTCCGGGGCCTGGTAGTATGAACTATAAGCTTGCCATGGGCAACCGTCCCTTCCGAAGGACAGGTCCGCAACGCGGAGGCCATCCATGCTACCTGCTCGCCAATCTCTGCAATGGCGGGTCCCGTTCCGCGAATTTCGAAGAGCATTTGGCGCGATGACCGTTCCTCTGTAAATGTGCCTCGGGTACAAGTGACTCGAGTACCGTCCACAAGGGTAACTACCATAGACAAAGATGTCAGCTATCGAATTCGTCTCAAAAGTGATAATCAACGTTACCAGATTCCTTGACCCCCTTGGTTACAGTTGTCTTCACCAGGCTCAATACTTCGCAACCTGTGCAAGGCCACGTCTGGTCCATATATTCCCAAATGGTCAAGGCCTGTGCTGAAGAAAAGCAGCCGGTTGTTGTAATAACTCTCTCAAATGCGTAGTCTGCTGTCTCTTCATACCGCTGCTCCTCCATGAAAATGACTGGATCCCAATACGTCTTGAGTGCGACATTGAACGTCTGACTGGGGGCTCTTCTACTAATCCGTTCAGTCTTAAGTAGAGCCTCAAGAATTGTTTCGCGGATCCCGGCTCCAGATCTTGGTTCTGGCAGTGCGATCATACGCTCACGTCGAATCCTCTTCAACAGCAGCGGATATGCAGGACTAGCCTGGATTAAGAGCAGATAGTTCTGCATTTGCGAGCGATTGCTGCCAGCCTCAGAATCGTTGTTCGGAGTGGTTGTGTCTTCGCCGGACTTGGCGGTTTCACTCTGCTTCATGCGGCTTTTGCGGCGATCTGCGAGTTTACGATGAGGGAGGCTCATGCCTTGTAACGCCTCATCATTCTGCTGACCCCCGAACCACATTGTATCGTCCACAGACCTCGCTTTAGGGGAGTGCTGCTTCAGAAATTCACTACCGCGTGCGAGGAGAGCTTGCTCAAACATGGCTGCAATCTTTCTGAGGGCACGGCACAAAGGGTTAGCCGCAAATAGGTTACTGCCTCTTCGCGAAGACTAACCGTCGATTTTGGTGAATGAATACCATAATATCACGCTGGATTTGACTGGGGGATGCTTGGCCTAGACTTAGTGCAAAAGCTTTTAGCAGCTCTGGGAGAGCCTTGACAATATCCCGAATGAACTCGTGATTGAGATCGTAGATATCCAAGGCCTTGGCGAGGTCTCCGGCTAGCTCGTGCATACATGCGTATCTTTCATCACCGTCGCTAGAGCACTGGGAGGAGATGTTTTCCCTGTTGTTTTCGTCACTAGCACTACCGCTCTCTAGGGACTCAGTTTTATCCAGAGCTATCTTGTTCCCTGTGGATATTGTCACGTCTTCTTCACGCTTTGAATGCAGATTAAAAGCATGATCGGAGTCTGTGTGAGGTGTGCCAGGTTCAAGCCCAGTGGTTTGTGCGCCTTTGTTACTCTCCTGCGATAGCACAACACCGTTTCTGCATTTCTCAGTCCTCCCGGTCCTCGAAGTCGCGCCATCTGTTGTGCCTAGCTCATTCTCAAATCAGATATTAGTGGACAGGAAACAAGAGGGAGTCGGCTTTATGTCATTCTTACCGGGTAAAGGGCTAATCATATTTGCTCCAGTCTCAGGACTTGAGAGTGAAGAATTCAGAAGGTGCTCCGGCACGTTAACATGATTTCCATGTAGAGATCCAGGGCAGCCAGGAGAGGCTTGCTCAAAGCTCCAAAGAGCAACCATAACCGGTATCTTCCCACTGTCGGAGTCAAACTGCCGATTGACTGTCCCAGTGGCCTTTTTATGGTTGCTGGCAATGCAAATCTCTTGGACCATCGTGACTTTACGAATGAGTTCCTCCGTCTCGGCACCTGAGTGAGAAAGCAATACCTCATCTCCCAACCAGCTGGTGTCAAAAGGAACTACCAGTGTAGAAGAAAGTAAATCAGATGATAGGGTTGAGAGATGTTCTTTGGTCAGAATCCCATCTCGATAGACGCAGTTGTTACAGACCCATTGGTCCGCATCGAGTGCGCCGCTGCTCATCCTTCTCCGGTGTAGCTCGAAGAGGGTTTCCAAGTTGGACTCTGCGGACACGCCTGCTTTTGGGGTCTGAAGGACGGCATGGAAGTGAAGTATCTCGTAACGACAGGGCCCAGTCAGAGATTCAATGAGCATCTCCAAGCGAGGGAATCGCCGTCGCCAGCGCGCGATGTCGGCCAGACTCGTCAAGCCTACCACAGGCTGATCATCTTCTGAGCGGATGAATGTGTGACGTGTATTGTATTATTTTTCCAGTGGTCCCGGCGGCCGTGACTGTATGTGAAACCGAACGTGACTGATCGAAAGATAGGGCTCGAGTTGGCCGACGGGCAGCGGATCCTTTTCGTCCCGTGCGTACTCCGACTGCGGGCTGTGCGGGTGGCGGTGGCCCACAACTAATATCTGGAAAGGATGCATCTGACCAATAATATCCGTTTCTCATGTGGATACCCCTTCGCGACTGAGGGAAGGAAGATTCGGGCCGTGCGACAGTTCGTATCTGCGTTGCTCGCCCCTGAGGGTCGGGGTGCCGAAGGGGCCATTGCGGAGGATCGTCGTCGTCATCGTGGTGTTTGTCCATACTCCAATCTCGGTGTTGGTTAAGTGATCTCTGCGAAAATCGACTGACAGGATATTGACTCGACGGTGCGAGAACCTGTAGTGGGTGAGAGGAAAGAATAGGAGACATTTGTTAGAAGAGATTGCGAGGGAGCTCGAGGTGGGTGATGTTGAGTGGGGAGTGAGGCTAGCGACTTCTTGGTCGTACTTATGTTCATGCAGGTGCTAGTCCCCTTTTAGATGGTCTGTCAGCTGACTTCACAAACAATTTCATTGACTAAACAGAGTATAGTACAGTAAACTAATCAATCAGCATTGTGCATAACTTCATACATCGCTTTTTAAGATCCTAGTCTGTAAACAGGTTCATTTATCCCGGCATATCGACGCTAAACTACCGGAATCCACTCTCCGTCTCCAACCACGTGCCAAAGTCTTTCAGGTCCGGATTGAGCTTTCTCAGGGCGTTAATCTCAGCCCCGTATCCCTCATCATGGAACCATTTAAACATCACTCCAAGCTCCTTGACGGCCATCATCATTAGCTTGACCGGAATCCTGAAGGTGGTCGGTACGTCTTTCCCCGTCTTCTGCTTGAAGATTGTCGCCATCTGATCATACGTCAACTCATCCCCTGCCAGGGAGAAAGCCTTCCCTTGCGACTCTTCGGGATGTAGAAATGCTTGAGCGGCAAAGAAGCCGATGTCACTGGTGGCGATTAACTGCAGCGGCTTGCCCTTCAGCGCCATCTGCCACGCGGTCGCAAAGACAAGGCCAAAGTAATCGGGCGTCAAGTTCTCGAAAAAGGCGGTGGGCCGTAAGATCGTCCACCGCATGTCGGTGCCCTCTGATTTTGCGATCAAGTGCTTTTCGATTTCATGCTTGTAGATGAAGTGCGGGACTTGGGTGGGATTGTTGATGGAGGCCTCGCCGCCGCGGTCGACGGAGCTGTAGACGAAGAACTTCACGCCTTGCTTGATGGACTCGTCGACTAGGGCCACACCCTGTCGACGCTCGTTATCATTGCGTGGATCGGCAGCCTGTGGTTTGGGTCAATATCTCGATGATACCGACGTGGTGTGCGATCAACTTACCTGGACACTATACACCCCCCATATCGGAGTGGAGCTCCCGCTCTTGGCGGCGCGGAATAGCGCCGCTGGGTCATCCAGGTTGCCTTCGACCAGTTTAATCCTGGGTGATTGCTGTGCGAGTCTTTGGGCCGATGAGGACTGTGCATTGCGCGTGACAGCGAGGATATCGAAGGGGGCATTCTTGGCGAGGAGATTGCGAATCACTGAACCACCCTGTTTGCCGGTCGCGCCGGTGATGAGGACTGCGCTCATATTTGTCGTTTGTTTGGTTGATAAGATGAGATAGTTGAATGAATAGCTAATTCTGACTTGAAGATCTTTCAACTTCAACTTATACCTTGCTTTTATCCTAAATGAAAGTCTATCGCAGACAGAGTTTGCGGATTATTGAGTCGATTACACAACGACTTGCCGTTTGCGGCGCCCTCGGCCTCGTTTTCAGCCCCGAGCTGACAAACCACCAAGCTACCACGGTAGCTTTATCACGAAGAAACATCCGAACGAGACAAAATTGGCAAGTAATTTTCGAACAAATGTGGCCAAGAAATTTTCCAGGGCGGGAACACCGTGTAGCAACCCCTTTTCTGGCTACGAACCGGAAGGCAGAAAAAGCATAATGTAGCTCATCGGGTCTGAGAGTAACTCCGAGTTCATATGAACCATTTGCAAGAGCGATAAATCATCCTAAGATAGCAACGTTGTGGGCATTATTCGGCCTTGGTTTCGCCATGATGACCAACCGTTCTTCTGCATACTTCCCCTGTATGGGAGCCTGCGGACGACTTCTGGGTTATAAAGGTCTTTAGAACTCTTGTAATGGGAGTGTACGCACTTCAGCTGGATAGAAAGTTGATACTTCAGAATTCCGGTCTGGCACAATCCTTCAAATTTGCCCAATATACCCCAGGTTCTCTCCTTGTCACTGTCAACAGCTGCTCTCGGCCTATAGAGCCGACTCCTCTCAATGTCCAACCTTCAACACAGCAAATCGAAGTCAAGCAACACTGCATCGCTTGACGTCGACAGTCAACATGATGATAACGACGAGGTTCAATTCTACCCCATGGGACTGCAACTGGCTGTCATCACCATAAGTCTGATGCTGGCAGTTTTCTGCGTGGCGCTAGACAACACGGTACAATCTATACCTTCCCATCTGAACCATTTTGGAATCACTAACACGGCCCCAAGATCATGGCAGTGGCTATTCCCAAAATCACCGATCAGTTCCATGCTCTAGGCGATGTCGGCTGGTATGGCTCATCATATCTCTTGACCACTTGTTGTATGTGTGTAGCGACCCCGTTAGGTGATTATTGGGCAGCGGTGGCTAACCCTCGGAGCGCGACGCAACAGCATTCCAGCTTCTGTACGGAAAGCTCTACACTCTCTTCAGCATCAAATGGGTCTTTCTCTCTGCGCTTTTCATCTTCGAACTGGGCTCTCTCATCTGTGGTGTTGCACCGGACTCTGTCACTCTGATTGTTGGTCGCGCGATCGCAGGATTGGGTAGCGCAGGCATCTTCACGGGTGCAATGGTGACTTTGGCCCACACGGTCGCCCCAGCAAAGAGGCCGATGTTCTTCAGCATGCTCGGTGGGATGTATGGCATTGCATCTGTTGCCGGACCTTTGGTACGTGCGATTAGTCTATCATTCTCCGTGAGCCTGTGTAAGCTCCCAAGAATTTAACCTCTGGCGGTTCTAGATGGGCGGCGCCTTCACGGACCACGCCACTTGGCGATGGTGTTTCTACATCAACCTTCCCCTCGGCGGAGTCACGGCCATCGGACTTCTGACGCTGCTGCGATTGCCCGCGAAACCACAAACCCAGAGGAAATCACTGGTTGCGACACTCAAGGGCCTCGATCCGCTGGGGACTGCCATCTTCGTCCCCGCCATCGTCTGCCTGCTGCTCGCTCTGCAGTGGGGCGGCGTCACATACCCCTGGTCTAGCGGACGGCTGATTGCCTTATTCGTGATCTTCGGACTGGCGCTTCTGGCATTCATCGGACTGCAATACTTCCTGGGAGAGGATGCTACCGTCCCCGTTGGCATCGCCCGCCAACGCACCATCGCCTCTGCGTCGCTATTCGGTCTCTGCATCGGAGGGTCATTCTTCACCATGATCTACTACATCCCCATCTGGGTATTTCCTCCCTCCTTTCTCTGGCCCAAACGCACCCATCAACTAACCCATGAGGTAGTTCCAGGCAATCCGTAACGTCAGCGCCGTCCGCTCCGGCATCGACTCCCTCCCCATGATCCTCTCCAACGTCGTCGGCATCATCACCTCCGGCGCCCTGACCACCGCCTTCGGCTACAACGCGCCGTTCTTCCTCCTCAGCAGCACCATCATGTCCGTCGGCGCGGGGCTGATCACCACCTTCACGGTCGACATCTCGCAAGCCAAATGGGTCGGGTTCCTGTTTCTGTACGGCCTAGGCGTGGGCTTCGGCTTCCAGCAGGGCGGCGTCTCGGCGCAGGCGGTCCTCCCGCTCTCCCAGGTCTCGGTCGGCACGGCCATCGTCATGTTCCTGCAGATGCTAGGCGGGTCGCTGTTCGTCTCGGTGGCGGAGAATATATTCTCCAAGCACTTGATCGTCAATATCGCTGCCCTGGAGATTCCCGGATTGACCCCCGAGGCGGTGGTCGGGGCCGGCGCGACGGGGTTCCGGGCCTTGGTCAGTGCGGAGGATCTGCCGGCGGTCTTGGTCGCGTATAATGATGCGTTGGTGAAGGTGTTTCAGTTGGCGCTGATTCTGGCCTGTTTGGGTCTTTTGGGGGCGGTAGGGGTGGAGTGGCGGAGTATGAAGGGAAAGAATGTGGAGATGGCGGCTGCTTGAGGGTTGGCGTCGGTCGTACAGAACTCTGCAGCCATCTGAAGAAGAGGAACTTGGACATACGATCTCTTTTTAAAACTACCTTCGTTAGACACTGTTGTCACCTCTTGTTGCTATCTGAGTCCACCGTCCATTTCTGTTCCTGTCTGAGGTATGCCCGTTAGACTTGCCGGATCCGGATTTTCAACGGCGAAGAATATATAACATAAGCATTAGGACCAATGAACATTGCCAAAGTTTCTATAACAGTGATGAAAATGGTCAGCGTCCAGCTTTTGCTTCAATATCTGCAGGAGTGACCGTAATGTAGATGGCAAGAGGTTCCAGTATGAATGAGGTTGTTTTGGTGCAGTCTGATGATGCCCGGCCAGCGCAATACCGCCCCGTTTCGTAGTCCAAGCTCTCTCCACCAGACCTCGCATCTACAACGCTTCTGCTTAGTCTTCTTCCTCTGCTCCCTCGAATACTTCTTCCCCAATTAGGAATCAATAAAAACCTCCAACCAGCGTCAATTATGCGACGAATAAAACTCTACTCATCCACCGACGCCGCTGACGCAGCCCCTGCCTGCTCAATAAACTCCTGCCTCAACCACGCGTCCGCAGGCGTGACCCACCACGACACCACCGCAAATACCGTCACGATCGCCATGATAATCGGCGCGTCTAACCAAACCAACCACACCAGGCATTAGCACATCACCTAAACGTCAAGCCCAACGTTTCCACAAACCTCCCTACCTAAGAAGAGAAGGTCGAACTTACAATTCAACGTCCCCGCCTCAACGGGAAACTCATACGGCGAGAACAAAACCGCCACGACCCACGCATTCCACCCAACCGCCACAACTTGAAAGGGCACCCTCCACCGTCCGAGCGACCACTTCGCCTCCAGCTTTTCCTTTCGGGTGAGCGTCAACCGACCGAGACTGATGAGCCCGTACGCCGCAGCGGAGGGGACGCCCGCAGCGGAGACAAGGGAGGTGAACGCCACCGCCGACGGGAGGATCGTGCAGGTGATGAGGGCGGAGACTCCCCACACCACCAGGATAGCGTTGCGGGGTTGGCCCTCCTCGGACACGCGGGAGGTCCAGGTGGAGAAGGGGAGGACGCCGTCGCGGGCGACCGCGAAGACGAGGCGCGAGGCGGCTGTGATGGCGATGGCGGTGTTGAGCCATAGCGCCGTCACGGAGAGCACATTCATGACGATGTGGCCGCCGCGGCCGAGGACGACGGCGTAGAGTGGGACGAAGGGTTGGGGGGCGTCGTAGGAGAAGAGGATGTCGATTGGGGGCTTGATGGGGGGTAAAAGGTTAGCTGAGGGATCCTCGGGACTTATTGGGGACTTGTGTGGCTGACGTACGGATGTGAAGAGGAACAGGATGACAGCCGTAAAGCCTAGCACGCCGCTGATGACCGTGCTCCAGAAGATGCCCTTCGCTGCGTTGAGGGACGCGTTCTTCGTCTCTTCGGCGACGTGGCCTGATGCGTCGAATCCGATGAGAATTCCGGCGGTTGCAAGGTACGAGAGACACCAGTTCCAGCCGGCTGGCGCACCGGTGCCGTTATACGTGGTCATAAAGGCTTCGTGGGCGGTTCGGAGGCCGTAGGTGTTGTGGGCGCCCACCGGCAGCCAGATGAGATTTAGGATGAAGTCCAGGAACACGGCGCCTGTCGATAGCCAGAAGACGTATCGGAATATCCGGGCTGAGACTGGTCAGCTCTCCAATCTGTCGCCTGGTCGGTGACTTACGTGAGGCAAGATTGATCCATGCCGCCAATGCTAACATCACTTCCGTGCAGATCCATTGCAGCGCACGGAACTTGATGTTCCCTGTGTCGGTGGGGAAATCAACTTCGAAAACGGTCAATTCCTATTGATTGTGAGATTGCATGATCTGGGATATATATCCAAAAGTGTCGAACTAACAGATAGCATGTAGTTGACAGTGGACTGAGTGTTGCCTGCACCTGTCAGCGCGATCAAGTGAACCTAGTGACGATACATACTGGCACAGAACGTCGTCCAAGCGGTAGTACTCCACCAAGCGACGATGAATCCGAACAACCGCCCGAAGCGACGGCCTCCAGCCTCGGCAGCCCAGAGGTAGATTGAACCTGCCGTTGGGGCTGCGGAGCAGACCTCTGCAATGACCGCAGCAGTGATGAATGTGAACACACAAGTCACGATATAACTCGTCCTGAAATCGTTTCAGCACGGGATCTGTAGATTAAGGATTGGAAACACACCAGTATGCCAGAGGTCCACCAGCTGCTATTCCAGTAGAGAACGTGACACGAACGCCGCCGACAAAGTACAAGGCCGCTACGAATTCCAAGTCAATTTCTGCCCTCCGTGACCAGGCAGTGGCACTCACCGAATGAGGTGGAGAAGTTCTCGAAGAGTGAGTAGCTTCGATGGAGAACCTGGAACAGTCAACACCAGATATCCTTGGCGTTCTTCGTCTATTACCTGTTTGTATCCGAGGCGCTCCTATGATTCATGAGTATGATGATCCTAGCTGACAACTTATGGTGAACGACTAACCAGCGCAACCTCATCGCTTTTGTTCGTCTCAACAACCGTCGAGGTTGAATCACTCTTGGCCGCCATGGCTCAATCCTGCACCCGACCTGGTCGCCTAGAAAGTCGAAATGGAGTTTCGGCACTGGCAGAGCCTGCAGACACGCCTCGTATTAAACATCGGACCCTTGTTGGCTAGTCGGTCATCACGACCTAAAACGTGCATTAGGCCGAACCAACGGGCTGGATCACGCCTTCTTGCCCCGTTTAATTCCACGTGGATGGCGCCTTATATGCATGCTGAGTCGTGGAGGTCAATATTTGTGTGGTCTATTGCGCCATTGTGTGACAAGCCGAGGTGATAAAGTGACATCGCGGGTGCGGATGACGCGATCCCCCTGCGGGACCCAGAAGCCTTACTGCTCCCGTATCGAACAGAATCCTGGACTTGTATGCGGTGGAGAACCCTGTTTTTGCACAGTTTAAGATGGATGTGCACGATTATCGGGTTCCGCGGACGGGGTTGACATATATTATGTGTTGCACGGGTCGTGAGAACAGTCCAAGCAAGTTACAACATGGGCTTGACCATATTGATTGGTTTAGTAGCATTAGCCGCGACCGCCGCTTGGGTGAGTACAGGCCATCAACAACCCAAGCTGATTTATTTGACTGATTCATCAGGTCATCTTCACTTACTTTCTCTCTCCTCTGGCCTCCATCCCTAATGCGGGAATCCTGGCTCCCGTCTCCCGTTTACTCTGGGAGTTTCCCACCGAGTATCAAGGCAAAATCACCCTGGAGCTACCCAGACTTCATCGAAAGCTTGGTATGACTGCCATGCCGAGAATGAAACTCAGCTAATGTGGACCCATACTCAGGCCCTCTCGTCCGGATCGGACCCAACCAAATCTCGTTCTACTCCCTCGACATCTACAAGATAGTGCATGCACCAAATAGCCCGTTCGCCAAAGACCCTCGCGTGTATAACCAATTCGTCCAGGATGGCCACCCTGCGCTGTTTTCGATCACGTAAGATCTCCGACGATATCCTTGTGTAATTCGTCAGCTGATCCGACAATACGACGAAGTGACACAAAGGAGCATGCCCAGCGTCGACGCCACATGGGTATCCTTTTCAACCGCAGCAAGGTTCCCGCATTGACGGAAATGATGCTGGAGCAGATCGATAAGTGGATCAAGTGTTTGGGTCTCGCTAAGAGCAAAGGGCCGATTGATCTCGGACCATCCTGTCGCGCCTTGGAGTCGGATATTGTTTGTGCGTTTTCGTCATACTACGTTTCAACATCAGCTAACGATAGTACGTAGCAACGTTTGCATTTGGTAATGCGATTGGGGGAATAGACTCTCTTCAGAGCGGGGATGAGCTTGCGGTCATTAAGGAGAATGATCTCAAGTCCTCGAAGATGCCAGTGGTATGTAGCAATAGGATCTGGCCTTTCCACTGCTAATGCCAAAATATCCAGTATGTGAACTTCCCAGTTGCTGTTGGTCTGTTGCACTCGGTTGCAGCCTGGATATACCGACTCTCCGGCTGGGAGGTATCCTCGGTGATTAGCTCGCAGCGCTTCGACAAGGCATATCCTCCTTCATAAACAAAGATACCGTGCATGGCAACTAACGGAAGACAGTGGGCCGATTCCCAACTCATCGCAACGAAAGACAGTGAGAAGGCGCCCCGCCTATCCTTCCTCAAAGTCATGGCCGGGGCCAGAGTGTCCGAGCAGTCCGCCCTCTCGGAAGCCAAGGAGATGCTCGGTCCCGGCACCGATACGACGTCCGCCACCCTAGCACACATTATCTACGCCTTGTCACTAAACCAATCCTTCCAAGCAGAGGTTATCGCCGATCTCGATGCTTCTGGATGGCCCACCGATATGTCCGCCCTGGAAGCCATCCCCCGCCTGGTAGCCTGCGTCAAAGAGGGGATCAGATGGACCGGAGCCGCCGCCGCAATGCTTCCGCGCATCGTGCCACGCGGTGGATATTCCCTGGCGGGGAAGCATCTTCCGGGAGGGGTGAGTCCACCAGCGTCAATCTTGCCTTCGCGCTGAAACATTCAACTGATGCATCAAGACTAGACAATGATCTCCAGTTCTCCGATCTGGTATCTCCGCGACGAGACCGCATTCCCAGACCCCGAACGTTATAGGCCTAGTCGGTGGCTGGTCCAGGAAAAGACCGACACGACGTCGCGGCGAGATGACTACTACATCCCGTTCTCAAAAGGCGCGTCTACGTGTATCGGCAATCAGTAAGTATCTTCCATGCACCATATGAGGGGAAAAGAGAATAACCTTTCGCTGGCACAGCTTTGCATCCCTCGAGCTATACCTGTCTGTCTCACGGCTGCTGAAGCGATATTTCATCCACCCGGCAGATCTGTCCGGTGCTAATGCTTCGGATCACGAAGCCGTCCTTCCACCGCGACGGGAGTGGGTTGCTGCTGTGCCGATGAATCGGCTAGAGGTGGTTCTCCGGGAACGGTCATAGCAGGGAATCATTGAGCTCTTTCTGTGATCGTCAAGCGTGTGTGAGTTGCCTTCTGCAATGGAATCCTCCCCTTGCTCATCTTTGATGTCTCCTGCCCCGGCCGAGTCAAGAGCGGTAGTAGTTGTTTGTATCAGCGACCCAGTGGAGCACAAGTCTATCCAAGCTCAAAGCTAGAAAGGTTCGCGGGTATCTCACATTCGGATACGGCTGATACAATATGAACTCTGACGATTGAAGACGGCCAGAATTTTGGATTGTGAGCTAATCACTGAACGATGTGGGCCTGGAAAATAAAAAGTCGAATATTAAGAAGGAAAGGGATACATGTATATGCGCAAATAAAGAGGTAGTAAATGTCTGATGAAAGACTGATGCCAGTAGGCCTGGAGGCAGGATGGCAGGGGGAGTGGGTGGAATGGGAGAGAACGGGGAGATGCAGTGGACAGATGAAGTGTACCAGTGTGCACTCAATCATCAGACTCGGGGCCTAGCGTCAAAGCTCACAAGAAAGTTGCTAGGTAATATGGATCAAGTCAGTTCTATACCGGATTACTCCAGTGTCAGTTCTCGAGGCTTACTGAGTAGCTCACACGCTCACACTTCGCAGCTGACAAATCATTACTAATACCGTCCTTTGGAGATGCTGACGGTTTTGTATGATATAAAGTCCAGCGTTTATACGGAATAAATCAATTTCCTCATCTACCCTACCTGATTTCCACTTGAGTATGGCTACCGACACTCCAGCAACTGCTCGACGATGGTCCGTTATGGGCCAGGATGGGATCGAATCCCTGGTATATGGCGAAGTCCCAGTACCAACGTTACGCGAACACGAGGTTCTTGTCCAGAGTGCGTCAGTGAGCTCTTTTATCTGCCTCCAGCAACTAACCGAGTCATAGTGCGAGGTGCCTCTCTCAATGTACGTTCCCGAGCCTATACCTCTGCGTGCCACTCACTGAGAATGGTAGCCCCGTGATGTGATGATCAGTCGCGGAAACTACCCCTGGACCGTCAAGCCGGGCGTCGTGCCTGGATCGGATGGCGCTGGCGTTGTCTTATCCGTCGGCAAGAGCGTGACTCGGTTCCAGCCTGGAGATAGAGTGATTATTATGCTCAATCAAAAGCACATCACCGGCTATTTGAACGCGGAGATCGCGCAATATGGCACGGGGGCCTCGGTTGACGGTGTTTTTCGCTCAGCTGGCGCCTTCGACGAGCAAGCACTGGTCGCGATGCCGGATGGTTTAAGCTTTGTTCAAGCTGCGACGCTGAGCTGTGCGGGGCTTACGGCTTGGAATGCGCTGTTCGGGCTGCCTGGGAAGCAGGTTACGGCGGGACAATGGGTTCTAGTTCAAGGCACAGGTTTGAGCTACTACATTCAATCGCTCGATCCCACTTTCTGACACTCAGCGGCACAGGCGGCGTCAGCCTTTTTGCGCTCCAGTTCGCGAGATCCATTGGTGCCAGGGTCATCGCGACCACCAGCTCTCCGGATAAAGTCGAATTCCTCCGCGAGCTCGGCGCCGATCATGTCATCAACTACCGAGCAACCCCAGAGTGGGGAGCCTTGGCTAAAGAACTGACAGGGGGTTACGGAGTGGACCTCGTCGTCGACATCGCCGGCCCCACCACCTTGAGGGAAAGCGCAACTTGCGTCAAGCTAGACGGGACAATCGCGGTGGTCGGGATCGCTGGTGGCAGGCCGGAAGGACAAGAGATGCCCACTTTGCTCGAGGCCTGGCTGAATCTGTATACTGCGCGTGGGGTATGGGTTGGGAGTCGCGTGCAGATGGAGGAAATGTGCGGTTGGATCAACGCTCACCCTGACTTCCGGCCTGTTCTCGATTCCAAAGCCTTCACGCTTAGCCAGCTGAAGGAGGCCTACGAGTATGTGGCTTCCGGGAAGAGTCTGGGGAAAGTGTGTGTGAAGATTGACTGAAACTGGCAATACTTGTACTGTATATTACAAAGGTAGAGTGATAGTTTCATTAAGTATGATTGTCCGCTTCTACAGTACACCTCCTACTATCAGCCTACTCAACTACCGTACTAGGTTCCTACCCTATCATGACTTCAATTCGCGCTCAGAAGGCAAGCAAGAGGGGAAGGTGGGGAGATGGGGGAATTCTTTCCCCAGTATCAGTGATCAAGCCTTACTGAGTAGGTAGCAGCTTACACTGCGCTTGCCTTCCATTCACCAGTGCGGGTTCCTTCCTCCACTGCCCAGCAACAACGGATGTTTACCTACTTTATCTACTTCTCCTTCTCCCTCCTCTCTCCTCTTCTCTTCTTCTCTTCTTCTCCTCCCCATACCGCTTGATTCTCTTGATGCTAGTATCGTTTATTAACGCTCTACGATCTTCAAGATGTTCTCTCGTGCGTTCTCCCGTGTTCCCCTGCTCTCTTCTTTTGTTTCTTCTTCGCTGAAGGAGGGTCCGGTACACCCTTCTGAAGCAGCCACTCCTTCTGTTTCCTTTTTGCAGCCTGTGACTCGTGTTTTCTCTGCTTGCTCGTCTTTCTTTTCGCCTGTGCGTTCTCTCGAAGGCGCGTCCCCTCGTTCGATCCTGGTGAAGCCTGTGGACGGTGACGTCCGCAAGGTGAAGCCGAAGAAGACGGTCTCGTGGGCGGAGACCAACACTGTCACTACCGTTTCTCGATGGCTCGTTCCAGGTGTTAACGTCTGGAGCGATGAGGATCTGACCGATCCGTCCATTCATGAATTTGATATGGTGAGTACTCGTCCGAGTACTCCCGTCCGCTCATTTAACCCTCATGTCTTGGGGGCTCTGGCTTTGCTTGGTCTCTGTGTCTTTCCTTTGATCACCATGTACGTCGAGTCACTCTTTTGATCTTTTGATATGTGGTTCTGCTTTTGTCCGACCTGGTCACTCCTTTGCCACTGTCTGCTGTTCTGCTTTTCTTTCTCCTGTCCGACCTGGTCATTCCTTTGATTCTGTCGTTGCCAACGTTTTGTTTTGTGTTTATATGTGGCTTTTCCGTCCGACCTGGTCACTCCTTTGCCACTTTTTGCTTTTGTTCTCTGTCCGACCTGGTCATTCATTTGAGTCTAGGGCTGCTTTTGTCTTGTTTTTTGTTTATATGTGGCTTTACCCCTGTCTGACCTGGTCACTCCTTGCCACATTTTGTTTTACCCCCACACTCATTTGGGCCTGGTTGTACCGGAACCAGGTCGGTTATTGCTTAATGAACAGCAGATCGAACGGCCCGCGGCGACTTCCCCCCCCCCCGGACCCCAACACGCATTACCGGACGCCTGTGTTGGATAAATACTTTTGACAATCTGGTATGTGCTACTATGTTTGCAAGTAAGTACAGCTAACCATGTGTTGCAGCTTGGATGACGTCGAGCCCACCGCGAGGCGACGCTTGTGTTGGATGGATACTTTCGACAATCTGGTATGTATCACTCTTCTTGCTAGCGAGCACAGCTAACCATATACTGCAGCTTGGATGACAGGTGATCCTACCGCAAGGCGACGGTCTTGTTTGGATTGCGAGTTTTGAGGCTTGGGTGTGTGATACTGTCTTTGTTGGCTGGCGAACTGCAACTGACCTGTCCTCGAAGAACAGATTGTATTAAGTTGGCCTATAAGAAGTTTCCTTTGTCTTTACCTTTCGTCTGGGACATAGATTGGGGCGTTCTTGCTTATCCTTTACTGCGTTGTGCTTCTACCTTAGTCCAAGCTGGTCATGCTTTTCAGTATGGATTTCCAATTTCTTCTCTGGTTGTATATAGTTAGACTTCTGTCCGACCTGGCCATTCGTTACCGCGCTGCCCTCAACATATATGTGGTCTGCTTCGATGCTACTGCAACGTTCCGTTGAATAGTTTGATCATAACTTGAAACGTAGACAAGAGTAAGAATCCTCCAAGCTTGACAGTCACGTTGTCCCTCGCCAGCAGCACTACCTCTATCTCTTACCCTCCGTGTTGAACTAATTATTGAGCATTACGATGCACGAGCACCCCAAATAACCGGAGCATACGACAGTTCAATCAGACCAAGATCATGTATTTGAGACATGGAGCAAAACATTGTAGAATATCTCCATAGATGGAATTATGACAGGTTATCAGAACTGCAAGTCTTTTGCAGTTCTAAAGTTTGTACTAATCAGCTGTGGCTGCATCTGCAGATAGTACGACCAGCCTATTGCTGCACACTCCGCTCATCTACTAAATAGTCATATCAATATATCATGGTTAGGTAGTTATTCATCGCCCAGTCTGTCTAATAGTCGTACATGCTAAAAGCTGGTCGTCCTTTTCTAGATTGTTTCTAGAATGTTCCTGAGGGGGATATTCTTAGGGGGATATTATACTAATAACTTTTTTCTTTGCGGAATCCGAATGGGACACTAGCTATGCATAGGATTGATGGTCAGTGGCTTGTCCGATGCTCTCTCTCCCTGGTTTCTCGTATAATTTAGCGGATCCAGGAAATTTCCCGCTGGATGCCACCTACAGAGCATTGGGCACACACACACACACACAAGGTACCGGTCTCAGTAAGAGGGCTGCGTTTCTTGTACTGGTGTGAGTTTCTCGGATGCCCCGCGTAACGGCCACATAATCCAAGCAGTTCAAGCAGAAACCCGATGCCAGTGACGGGGCGATTTGATTGGTTGTATCGAAGTTCACATTTACAAGGTTCTGGCTATCAGCTAACCCGTGATCAGCCCCCGACCGAGGCATGCGAAGCACGTGAAGTTGATAGAAGAGGGCCCATGGGAATGAATGTAGATATATTGAAGTAAACTACGAAGTATGTATATAGGGAAAGAGTTACGCGAGGAACTACGTGAGTAATGCCGTTCGTGCGAGCGAGGGATTGCGCGGATCAAGGAATTATGTCAGGGAGAGCGCTCATGCAAGCGATGCTGCTCATACGAGCAAGGCCTTGCAGTTAAGAAGAAGTACATAAAACAAGAATAAACACAAATCACACTAATGTGTACTCGACAGGCTATCCGAGTCACCTGGCACCATTCGACGTGCTTAGAACACCAATCAGCGCAGCAGTTACTCATTAGCCGATGGCCAGTCCCCCATACCGCTATAAGCCGGCCAGGCATTCAACTAGATTCTATGCTGGGTCTATATTATGTTGAATACTACATTGTAGCCGACAAACAAGGTGTCTAAACACTGGTCAATAATGCATCTGGCACCGGGTTACGAGCAGTCCCTAAGCTTTCGGACAAAAAGCACCATGATTTGGTGAGGTGGCAAAGGGAAGATGGTGTGTGAGGTATTGCATAATCTAATACATGCGGCAAAATAGTAATATGTAAGGTGGTTATGATCATCTATATAGATCAATTTTGTGATAAACAGTTATGAGGACATGACAAGTGATAAAATCAGCTATGTGATGCCATATAGCTGATTTAGCTGGCAAGGTAGACAATAACTGAGTAGCCGCAACTGTCTTCCGTATTCCCCTGAATGGTGCGTAGTTCCGGAAGTGTGGAGGTGGGGGCGGGTGAAATTCCTATTACTCTTCGGTGTCGCTTCTGTCCGCTGTGGGACCTTCCTATCACCATCCTTCATACAAGCGCAGCCCCCCCCCCCCAAACCATACCGAGCATGTCTTCCTCTGGTCGCCGTCAGCATACTCGCAACCACCGTACCCGCATCGTGCTGGATACACTGTTGAAGCGGCTGCTGCAGGAGCAGACCGGAGTTCTAGACGATGGACATTTCTCTCTCGGCGGGCAGAATGGCATCACGCACATTGTGCAGTATGACTTCGAAAAGCTATGCCCACTATCTTGTGGATCTACATTCCAGCCCGAGATTCTCTTCGAGCCTGTGTTGATCGACGAGGTGCGCCAGTGTAGGAATCACCCTTTCTCCATGCGGCCATTCTTCGACCTCCCAGAAGACCCGGAGACGATCACTACAGCGGATCGCACCGGGCAGCTGTGTGACTTTGTGGAGGATTACACAGTCCCCAGCATTCTCAGTTTCCAGAGACTGCACCCAATGAAATAAGATATTTCGTGTGCTCCAACACGATGTCTGTGATTTCTGCTCAAGACCGGCATTGACTAACTTGTTTCCTACTTTCCTAGTTTGCCGAGTCCTTTCCTTCTAGACCTTTGGAATCTCGATTACTATAATGATGTATCCAGTTGGTCGATCGAGTCATATCTCGAGCCAGATACAGAGGGTGATACAGTCTTACCCCACATTACCATGTTGGGGCTCCAGCCCAAGGACGGCAGGGAGAACGCCATCCTTTACGGCGAGCTGATTGCCCTGGTCTCTGCTATGCGCAACCGGGCGTTCCAGCCCAAAGTGGACACCGAAGAGGAGCAGGAAGCATTGGAAGAGGCTGACGACGAGGATCGGAAGTCCTATCCTTATCTCTTCACTGAAGAGGATACTTTTCCTGTCCTCTTCTTGTCAGCCGTGGCTCCTCGCCATGCAAGGATCTTCTACGGGTGTATGGAAGGGCGACAGCTGGTCATCAGGCAATCCAAGCTGTATAGCTTTGTGCGAGTGGCTGACGCGCCAATAGAGCTTTTTGCTTCGCTGCGACTTAGTCGTCCCCTGGTCAGATGTCCCTGAGTTCCTCAGACGGGATATACTGTTACATATCTTTTTCCGCGGTTGCTTTCCCCGCTGAGCAAGCGGTTCTTTGCAGATCTTTCCCCGCCGAACAAGCGGTTTCCAGCAATGAGCTCGCACCTCAACGTGGTGCTGGAGTCTAGTAGCTAGTATCTGGCAAAGCTAAGACGAGCTCGAAGGCGGTCTCCGCTGTCCTTTTCCTGCTGCCAAAGCAGGCCCCGCTGCTTCAGCGGTTGATTCTCTGCTGCTAAAGCGGGCTTTAGTGGCTTACTCGCACCTTACCGCGGTACTGATATTTGGTAGCTAATATAATTTATGTGATAAAGCTACGGATAGCAATTTCCATGAACAGATAAGATCCATCAATGAAACATGGGATTTGATTTCTTGCATCTTGGGCTCAAATTTCAGTCTTTTGTTGGGTGTCCTAAACGACTGAAGATGGCTTGGCTGTACATTCCACCCTTGAATATCCGCTGTTTGATATTTCTTCCTCTCACTTGAATAATTCCCCAAGCGCTCGGTTACATGTCTCTGGTGGCTACCGGTCTTAGTAACTCAGGTGATGAACGATGGTCATATAGGTAACTGTGTTTCGTCTCTGTGAATATCAAGACTTTCATTGGTAGATTTAAAGTATCCACCTCAATGCAGTTTCAAGAAAATGCGCACCTGGCAGGGAGTCTGCATCATTTTCCACAACTGCTTTTTGAAAGTTTCCATCAGAAACTATGCGGCAGAAAACCGTTTCCGGGCTGTGCAGACTCCAGTTGGATTCCTAAGCGGGGACTCGCGCCCTGCCGGATTCCCCACGCGGCGTTTTCCCCTGATTCGCTTCAAAACCCTGTCTTGCCACTTCCCTGTCCTGTGCTAGGCGCGTTCTCGCTACTTGGCTCTGTTGACTTAGTAGCTCGACTGCTGCAGGACCCTGAGCCTCCTCTTGTGATAAAGCTGGGATTCTGAAGCTTCCCACAACACAAATCCAAGTAACTACCATCAGTCTGTAACAGGCTGCTTGCGGCAGCTTGTGGAGAACTGAGTATGATACTCTTCCTTCCATGAACCTCTTTTCCTCTAACCAAACGCAGGCTGTTACTGCGCGGAACCGGTGAACAGAATGTGTTACGTCAGTCAACCGGTTTGTACGAGTCAGGGTACATCGTGAAAAGGTATCCTTGAGGAGCTATTGGTCCACAACTATCCAACATGTTTCGAGATGATACTTAAAGGACGGGTAATGCAGCATGGACATTTTTAATCACCCGTGCTAGGTTCCTGAGCACTCAGGAGGCTGTAAAACGCCTCACAAACACTGCGAGTAATAATCATTGACATAAGTGCAGGTGTACCCACTCGCACACACCGTCGGTCCACTCCAGTTAAGCCCTCCACACTGCCCCCAGTGCGCAGCCGTAGTCCCCGTGCTCGCGGCACCCGCCGTGGTAGTCGTAGTCTTACCAGTGGCAGTAGCAGTGGTGGTGGTAGTCGTAGTGGTGACTGTAACCCCCATGCCGGCCAGCAAGCCATTGTACGCGGGCTTCTTAACCAGGTTCTCATCCCAGGGTAGCGCCGCCCCATAACCCGAGAACGTGCTGGGCACCCAGCTGTACTTATCTGTCCAATCCCAGATAGTGAAGCCGACGCAGCCCGTTGTCTGCACACAGGATTGCACCAGGGCCTGGAAATCGCTCGACTGTTGGGCCAGCGTAGTGGCAGTGGTGGGCAGGAGGATGCGCACGTCGGCCTCCGTGTAGGCGACCTCGACCCCGAGCGCAGTGAAAGATTGCAGCACCGAGATGAGCGAGCTCGTACTCGGCACGGTGCCGACGCTGAAGTGGGCCTGCAGCCCAACCCCGTCGATCTTGGCACCTGCATTCTTGACCAGCTGGACAATGGCGCGGGCGCTGGCGGCTTTGGCGCCGCCGTATTCGAGGTTGTAGTCATTGTAGAACAGCTTCGCGTCCGGGTCGGCTGCGGCCGCTGCGGCAAAGGCAATGGGGATGTAGGCTTCGCCGATGGTTGTGTAGAAGATGTTGGTGCGGTAGGTGCCGTCGTCGTTCAACGCTGGAAACGTGTCAGGTTTCTGGATAGGAGTAGAGAAAGGAGAGGCTTGACTCACCCTCATTGACCACGTCCCAATGAAGACATTTCCCTTTGTAGTGCGACACCACATTCGTGATGTGGTTCTTCAACGCGGCGGTGAGAGTAGCATTAGTCCAAGTTCCGCTAGTCACTGTCCGTGATAGTCATTAGTATTCCTGTCGGTTCCCTTCACAAGGCTCCACAGAAAGACGAAGGACACATACCCCAGCTAGGCAGCTGATTATACCAAACCAGAGTATGACATCGGAGGTATTGGCCATTACCCTCGGCCAGATCTGCGATGACATCGCCATTCGTGAATGTGAAGGTGCCCTGAGATGGTTCTGTGGCATCCCACTATCGCGAAAGTTCATTAACAATCCCATGAGCTAGACGCACGGCATAGTCACCTTCATCGAGTTTCCAGGGGTAATTTGACCAAAGTCCGCGGTGTTGTTCAGCTGAGTGACGTATGGGATATCCGTGAGCTCGGGGTTATCCGTAGCTGTGCCAAAGTATTGAAGTCCTTTGGCAACTGCAGCCTGATCCAGACCAACGGCAGAGACACTGGAGAGTTAAAAAGAGCGATTAGCCGGGGTCACATTTCTGCATGTCAGCATTTCGAAGATACGCACATGTTTGGTAACACAGTCGCGGCAAGCGCCGCGGTGATTGGAAGCAGTCCGACCATTTTTGCGTGACTGTGGTGGTTCTCGAACCAGAAGAAGCTTGCGGTATGCAACAGACCTACTTATATGCCTTGACTTTTGGCAACCCAGTCAGGCAACAAGCCCATCCAAGTCCCAGCCCACGGAGCTATGCTCCGCTGTTCTTCACAGCCGATTTCGATTACTGGCCTGGGCAAAATGGCAGAATTGCTTTGTGGTGAAAGCATCGAGGCTAACGCTGCAGGACACGGAGCGTGGGGGAGGCTGCGTGCAAACATCGTGTGGCATAACGTGGATTGGTTGACAAGCGAATCGCAGGACTGTCTCCCCTGGCGTTTTAGGCTAATTGCGACGTGTAAGATTGAACAAGAACTTAGCAGTCAGATTGTGAGGCAAGGTCCCGCCACTCCGTGGCTAAACGGGCTCTCCGCACGTACTCCGCCCTTGGCGTATCGGTAACCGGCCCGACGTCCGGCAGTCATGTCGCAGTGGGACTCGTGTATTGAGCGTGTGGAGAGCTGAAGAATAAAGAGATGTTGAAGTTGGCAGACCAAATCACAATCCATGAGAGAAGAGATTCAAGTCAACCGCAAAATAACATACTGCGTGAATCCCCAAGTACTTGGTAAAGTCTTCAGTGGTCACTGGGATCCATGATGTTCCTGGAACTTACAAAGAGTTCAAGTTCTTACGAGACTCTGGCCAATCATAATCACCAAAACCAGGCCCATAGAAAGCCCGCTCGAGACTAGCCCGCATTCCGGCAACTGATAAAATGCACCTGGCAGTCGTCACCCAAAACTGAGGTCTCGTATATTCTTGATGCGCATTGCACATCTTGAAGCCTCCACTGAGGTGCGGCCAACTTTAAAAAAAGATATTCGGGGATCCCTACGCACTAAGACCTTACAGCTTGTGCAGGGAAAACTGTTTCGATAAACGCATATAATCTGTCAACACTTCAGGATCCTCGGTCATGCTCATTGGCTATACAGAGTATATTGTCGGCGTTCCTGGGTAACCTGATCACGTGACCCCATGCGGTTACCAGGCTACTTCACATGTTGGTATCTCAGATAGTTCAGCCAACCAAACACCAAGAATTCAAGAAATCGTTCCATATACGCCCACCCTAAGTGCATCAACAAATTACTTATCATTCCCGATCTCTCAGCAAGTCCGCCAAGATCTCGTTGCCAAAGTCCTCCGCCCAAGCAAGGGGCGTTCTCCCGTCGTGATCGGGAAGAGTCGGATCGGCATGCGCCGCGAGCAATACCTTGACGACGTCCACAAACCCATTCTCCGCCGCCCATGATAGCGGAGTTCGACCTTCCGCATCCTGGGAGTTACAGTCCACACCCTCCGTGGCAAGCAAAAGCTGCACGACTTCCTTCCAGCCAGCCTGCGCCGCTTTTACCAGCGGAGTCTGCCCAAAGGTGTCCTTAACATCGGGACTCGCCCCCGCCGCTAAAAGCAGCCGCGCGACTCCCACGTGGCCTTCTTGTGCCGCCATGGCCAGGGCGGTCTGTCCGTCCTCGTCGGTCGCATCGATATCCCCCCGTCCCCCAGCCCGAAGCAGAAGATCCACTACCGCTTCGTGCCCGTTGCGCACAGCCTCGAACAATGGGATGTTGCCCGCATCATCCCTCGGATGGGGGTTGACATGGTGGGTAAACAGCAGCGACTCCAGCAAAGCCGCCTCGCCATGGCCCGCCAACCACGTCAGTGGTGTCCGACCATGATCATCGCGAAGGTCGGGGCGAACGCCAGGGGTAGCCAGCAGCAGCCGGACCACCGCCTCATTCGGAGAACTCCCGGCGACCGCCGCCGCCGCACGATGCAGCGGGGTGGCGCCCCAAGCGTCTCGCGCATTCACGTCAACCCGCTGCGTCGCCAGAAGCACGCGGACCACCTCCTCGTGGCCTGCGGACGCCGCGTACATGAGCGGTGTCACCTTGGAGTTCGGAATCAGTCGCACGTCCGGATCAACGCATTCCAGTCCAAGCAGCATCTGCACGATCGTCGGATGCCCATACTGCGCCGCCAGCACGAGGGCCCGGTGGGCAACGAACTGCATCTGTGAATCAGACAGCAGGGGGCGATAGAAGTCCAGCACTTTCTGGGCGGTCTGCTGACGGCCCCCCTCGACCGCCCAGCATAACGCGGTCCCGCCGCAGTATTGGCCGTCGTACCGGTAGAGATAAGGGCTGACCAGTTGGTAGACGCGGGCGCAGGTCTGCGCGAAAGCGTTCAGGTCGGCGACGGAATCGAGTGTCGCTGCGATGTGTTGCAGGATCTCGCTTGGTAAGTCGGTTATCTTCATTTTCTGATTCTCCTTTTTGGTTTTGTTTGTTGTGCCTGCGTAGGGAAGACGTGAAGCCAAAAAGTGGTTGTGGAGACGGTAAGCACAGCAACTAGTAACCAACGTTGACGGTGTTGTTGTCACTGTGTCGGGTTGGGCAGAAACTAGCCAAACTAGGTCAGGTGAGTTGCTGTACCTCGGCGTGATAGTACTTCAACTAAGTATCGCCTTGTACAGTAATTTGTACATGCTAAGTTACTCCGTAAAAGATCTGTATGTACTATGTACGTATGTGCGTGGCAAGTGGGGGAGGGTCATCGAATCATCGGCCACGGCTAAGTGGAAGCTTAAGCTAATTAAGCTAACCAAGCCTTGTTTCGATAGTGGAGCGCCACTGGAAGCAAGCTAACTTCGATTCTGGCAGTTCTGCACACCGAAATCTTGTAGGCACCAGCGTTGCAGTGGGATTATGATTGGCTGTCTCGCGAAGTGGTCTAGACCCACTGAGCATGGATCATGAGAGTCGTGTTCGAGTCCGATAAGGAGGAGGACTAATAAATCCTTTCAAACGGGCTGTGGAGAATCATTGTTCAGACTCTCGTTCAGGTGAGGTATACAAGCATCATGGAGTACTCAGGGGCCACGAAAAGAAAAAAACTGCATTTGGCCCCCAAATCCTTCACGACTCCAGATCCACCGTGACTCGAATCCTAAGATGACACAAGATACAATAGCACAGAGTATGCATTCATGCTGCAACGCATGGCCGGAGTAGCGCATATAAATACTAGGCTCAACGTCCTCTACTCCAAACAATGCATCTCTCTCAACCAGAGCATTGTTTCCTTTTCAACTGTGTATGTCTTCCCCTCCTTGAGTCCCTGGTTTGTGTCGTACTGAGATTGACCAATTCGTGCCGCAGCACTATCAACAACAATCGCGAACCCGCTAAGCAGCCATGCGAACTCAACTTTGGACGGCCCTGTTGACCGGTGCGGCCGCCGTGCATGGGGCGTTGGCGCAAAACATTACCGTCTATGGCGCGGGGGAGCTGCCCGAAGGTGCCACCGAGACGTTTCTGGCCTGTCTGACCAGCCTGGAGACCAGCTACCGGGTGTACGTGGACTCCGGGATGACAGTGATTCTCCCGCCGGGCAGCAACCAAACCATCACGCTGGATGGCGCGGACAGCGGGCTCTACGACTGCCTGACCATCTCCGAGGTGATGACGGGGATGCAACTCGCCGTCGAGGACACGGTCGATGCCGACGCGAGCCAAGAGGAGAACAGCATCGCCGCGAGCGCGGTGACCTACGCATGGCTCCTCGCGCAGGGCGCCCAAGGCCAAACGCCGATCGGGACCCGGCCGGCCGCCAACGCCAACAGCACCACCGTCGACGACGAGGCCCTCGGGCGACGGGACGATGATCACCGGGGACTGGCGAAACGCACCCACTACCACTACTACGGCTACCTGTCCGACTACTCGGCCTGCACCGACTCGACGCTCGTGACCCGCTACGGCAGCACCTGCTACAACCACAACCAGGCCTACTACGGGGTGCGGTTCGAGAACGCCTTCGCCGAGAAGATCCTCACCATGATCATCTGGCCGCACCACCGCTGCGAGAACGGCAACGTGCGCTCCTTCACCGTCGCGCCCCTGACGGTCAGTGCTTGCCAGTCGCGCACGACCTACTCCTATTATGGTCACTATGTCACCTGCAAATGCACCTAGCGAAGAGAGAAAGACATAGACCCGACGTTCTCGTCCGACTGGAGTATCATAGCTCTGGGAACGCCTTTGTCTTCCCGGTGGTCTTTTTTCTTTGGAGCATCGTGTCTGGGTCTTAAACCTCGTTTCAACTGCGGAGTGGGCTCAGAGTGTGGTATAAAATCGGATTCTCGAGCTGTACCGGAATCCACACTCGACGTGGTGCACTGCAGCTTGTACGGTTTATCTGGACCCTCTCTGGCTGGGGCTCCAGTGGTGGTAGTGCCGAGACAGGGGTAGTTGAGATTGGAAGAGTCGAGCTTGGATTTCCACAGCACTTGGAAAGAATGACCAGTTGGCTGTGTAGGGTTGGGGTTGTGTGCCTGGTTGTTCATTTACCTAGCCTGAGTAGGTCTATTTCTGGTCTGGCCACATCCTGTCGACGTCACTCACTATGGCGAGAATCATGTTATCTTTTCTTTTTCTGGGGACATCTCTTCTCCCACATTGTATTCCAGATGATCGTGAGGGCAATTACAAATCAAAGCAGATCTTTTATCCAGTCGAGAAGAAGTAGTTGGCGTCCCCGAGGTGGTTCCCGGAATTCCGTCGGTACATGAAGTGGCGAAGTCTGGCTACAAAACTGTCCATGGTACACGTATCAAGATGGTCGTCGGGTGTATGGTCACCATTCATAGGTGAAATCAAAACCAAGAAAAGAAAAAAGGGTGAAAGAAATAAGGGGACGAAAAAAGAAAGATCCTGGTAAAAAGAATATGAAGAATGTGGTTGCGAGTCATGTTGTGATTTCAGCTATAACTGTGAAAAGGTGCCCTTTAGCAGCCTCAGTTTTCTACTATTTACTTACGTTCCCTCAACTCGATTCCCTCACCTTCGGTGGGTGAACTCTGTTACATGTTCGTAGACATCTTCTTAGATCCCAAAGCACCTGCTGACCCATTGCTTTTGCTAAACTACAGGAACCGGATTCTATAAACCTCGCCAGGATAGCAGATCTGCCTGTTTCAAACCTCCAATCATGTGGGAAGCACTTGATGCAGGATTTGAAAGAGCGTCTACTATAGATTGTAAAATTCTGTGTAAGCGCCGGCCAGGTTCGCTTTGTGGTCACATCGATACATACAGCAAGCGGGTATTAAACAAACCGAATAGTTACACCAACAGCCCCCTGGTGACTCAGCCGCGAGCACTTTCCAGCTTTCGAGTCCTAGTACTTATCACCAACCTGAAACTATCTTCTTCGACAACTCTTTGAGTTCCTCGATCGCTCCCTGAAAATCTTTATCGCTGATGAAGATGCAACTTTTCGGCTGCGGCGAGAACAGCTCCACTACAAGTCGCACAAACTGGCCCTTCCGCCCATCAAACAGCTATCTACGGGCCGCGCTTATGCTACGGCGGTTACACACACTGGTGATCTCTACGTGATGGGTTCGAAAAGCGGGCATTGGCCGGACATCGAAGACTCCAATCCCAGGGAGGCTCTCGAGTTTCAACCCGCGACGATCCCTCCTGACAAGCCTGCAAACACACAACGTCTGCGGATTCAGCATGCAGCTGCGGGAGGCCGGCATGTCGTAGCTGTCGCCACTGACGGATCTTTGTGGTCGGCTGGTGATGGGCTTTCTGGCCAGTTGGGCATTGGGGTGAGACAGTTCGGGCTATGTACCCCGGATGGCGTGGTTGACATGGAGGCCAATGAGACCGAGGAGGAATTTGCTGTCAAATGGGAGGAAATGGAGGTAGAAGCCCTTCAGGATCGAGAATGCATGGCGGTGTTTGCGAATGAGCAACAAACCTTCATCTTGACTCGGGATCCGGAATAGAGCTTGTGAAATGCGGCCTTCTGGTAGCACCTCTTTACAACATATATATCTCCTAACCTGTCTCTGTCGCTCTCGATCGAATACTCCTTTTCTCCGTCTCATTGGTAAAGGTCCTTCCTTCGAGACCCACTTCGTTGACGATTAAGTTGCGTAGTTGAAGCGAACGAGTGACCTTGCTGCCACATCAGGCGTGGTGGGTATTTAGTGTTGTTTGAGGATGTAAAGAGTAGAGGTATAGATAAAAATGGTCATGACATTAAAAAGAGAAAACATACAACAGAAGGGATTCGCTGGTGGTCACCCACCCAACTACTAACCTCCCGGCGTGTGGCTTAAGTACGGCTGAGCGGACGGGAAGCCCTGTTTTCCACACCCTGTGGTCGTATGTGCTAGACTTCATACCGAGTTGAAATATAATGCTTACAAGATAGAAAGACAGTTGATGGAGCCAGACCAAGCTACGGACGCAGCCTCAGCGCTGTCATGTCGGGACAGACTGAGTGAACACAGTTCACATGAACTTTTTTTTGTATACACGTGGAACGTTCCCGCAGCACATGATGCCAAGCCTTTTATATAAACAAAAACATTCTACACAATCCTATAAATTACTGTTTTTTATTATTGAAATTCAACTTTCTTTTATATTTCTTTAAGTTTATTATACACTTTATTTTAAGTACTTACCAAATACTTTATAAATACCTACCAAGTACTTTCTAAATATAGATTTTTATAAAATTATTAAATTTAGTTCTACAGAAGAGGAATACTCAATCTAAATAATTTTCTAAATAGTTATTAAATATTTAGAAATTAATTTATATTTAGAAATCGTTACTATTAATCTTTCTAACTCAGATAAAGGTATTACTTTTAACTATTTAGTTTATAAAATATATTAATAATCTTTCTAAGTATCCAAAAACTATATTATATAAATATATATATATAGTTTTATTATATAGACTTTTAAATACTGAAGTCAGTACTTTAATTAGTAATATTAATATATAACTACTTATCAACTACTTTCAAACTACTTGCTAACTGCTTAGTAGATATAGTATAATAAATATTAAATAAGCGGTTTAAAATAAGCAGTCTTTTCATCTTTTCTTCAGTATTAGATTAAAAAATAATTTTAGAAATATTCTGATATTTTTTAATATAAGTTTTTAAGCCAGTCTCTTCTATTCTATTATTATATTTTTATAAATAAAGACTTTTGAAAGCATTTTTAAAATATATACTAAAATATAAAGATTTCGGAGACGGATACTGCTAAATAGAACGCTTATAGATAAATAGTATTAAAATATTTATTAAATATTTCTAAAATACTTACTAACTACTTTCTAACTACTATAAAATAAAATATAGATTTTTTTAAAATTAGAAGCTCTGTATAGAAAAACTTTCAATCTACAGATCTATATTTAAGTACTCTATCCAACCGGTACTTATTACTTTTAACTATTTATAAACTATTTCAAAAGTACTTGCTAACTATTTTAAAATTTATATAAAGATTATATACCCTACGTAGCCTGTATTTATAAGATTAAAGACTTTTTAAAAAAGTATTAAAAAACTATAATTTAAAGTTATATAGTTCTTAATTTTAATTTTTTTAAAAAGCTTTTTAATAATAATATCATATTATCTACAGAGAATTGCAATATATTTAAATTACTATTATTACAGTAGAAATACTATAATAAATAGTTTCTAAGCAGTTTTAAAGTATTTATTAATTATTTATAGAAAAATAATATTCTTAAGATTCAGGTTATTTAATTTATACTATTTATAATATAGGCTTTTCTGCTTTAATTCCTAAGAATTTAAATTTATATTTTTATTTTATTTTTATTTTTTATAATATTTATAAACATCCTCCACCGCCGCTAATAAAAATATCAGAAAGAATTCTTTAAGAAATAAAACAGCTTGTTCAGCAGATCTGTAATTTAAATATAATAATAAATAAATATTTTTTAAATACTTTTTAATCAGTTTTAGATTATTTACTAAATATTTATATAGCCCAGTTTCTTTGAAATCCGCAGCTTGAAGATTTTTTACTGCCAGTATAATATATTTATACTTACTGAATTATATCTAAGCTTTTATAATAAAAATAAAATTAGTCTTATTATTTAAAAACAACATCTTTTAATAAATCTAAATAAACAGAATGTTGATGGACTAATCTTTTTATTAAATATTAATCTTTTTATTTATATAAGTATTTTATAAGTACTTGCTAAGCAGTTACCGACTATTTATTTATTAATTCTTAATATTTAATTATATATTTAAAACTAATATTATAATACAGACGGAATTATAATTTTTTATATTTATAAAAAACAGCTTCAACTACTTACTCGCTTGGAATTATTTAAAGTTAATATATTATACAAACGGCTTAAATTAGATAATATAAATAAGATTCTTTTTATAATATTTCTTAAAAATTAGAATAAAAGTAAGTACTTGCTAAGTACTTTAAAACCACTTACTAAGTATTTTAATAAAGTTATTATATTTTTTTATATTTTTACTATTTTTGATACTGCTGATGAATATTATCTGCTTTTTAAATAAATCTTTTTTCTTTTAAAAAAGATTACTAAAAAGTCTATACTTTTTTATTCTATTTATAACAGTAGATTTTATAGAGTAATTTTTAATATAGATACTAAGCAGTATAGCGGTAAGAATCTTATTAATTATTAATTAAATATTTAATAAATACTTATCAAATATTTAGAATTCGGATGTTATCTTTTAGAGATTGACCCGCAGTATCGGGATTATATATAGTAGTTACAATATTTTATTATTTTTTACCGTATTTATTTTCAGTATATAATATTAAAGACTATTAGAATAAGAAATAAGAATTCTTCTTCTGAAAGTTTTTATAGTTAAATACTGGGTCTTTTAGACTGCAATACTAAAAAAGAGTTTAATAAAATAATTAAATATTTTCTAAATATTTAACTAAACTACTTTCTAAGCAGTTGCAAACTACTTACTAACTACTCACAGAATATAAAGACGACTCTATCGTTAACTGGGCTAATTAAAAAAAAAGTATAGTTATTAAAGCAGGCCTAATTAAAGCCTGTTCTGAAATTTCTTTAATTTTTTATAATTAGTTATAATATTATACTAACGCAGTTGAACAATTTTATTAAAAGTTTTATATATTAAAAAAATATCTAACTTTAATAAAAATAGTAAAAAAGTAAGTACTTTTCAACTACTTTTTAAGCAGTTTCCAAGCACTTGAAAACTATTTAAAAAAAGTCTAAAATAATAATCTATATTTTAGTTCTGTAAAGCTGGATTAGAGTAATATTAATTAATATAACAGTTATTTTAATTTTAATCTTTATTATTTATATCGCACTTCTACTATTAAGGCTAATTATATATATTAAATAAGTTTAAATAGTAATAAATATTTGTAAACTATTTAGAAAATATTTATAAACTAATTATCTTTTAGAAAAATATAAAAGAATTTATTTTATACTATTAAATTAGAAATCTGATTAATTTAGTTCTTCTAATCTTTAAGCTTCTACTTTTAAAAAATTAATATTATAATTACTTTCTCAGACATCCTTCCAGATAGATAAGATTCAGTATAATATTTTCAATTCTTTTAAATAGTTTTTAAATATTTATAAACTATTTAGATTAATCTCTTTCTTCCGAAGGGGTCTGCGTCAGACTGCTTTAATTAATCTTTTAAATTTAAAATAAAGACATCAGGAGCTTGAGATTCAAAAGCTTTAAATTAAATTTAATAAATAGAAAGCTGAGATTAAAAAATAAAGAAAAAAGATATATAAAAAGATTTTATAAAATAAAAAGTATAAACTTAATCTTCTTAAACACCGCCGCCGTCTATAAAAATTTAATTTAAATAGTTATTAAGCAGTTTCAAAGTATTTAATAAATATTTTTAATATATTTTTATAGCTTCTATACCACAGAGTACTTTATAAATTTTATATAAAAAAAATACTTTAAAAGTATTAATTTAATATATATCAGATTTTTAATAATTTTAAATATTTTTTAACTATTTAAAAACTATTTATTTTATTTCTTTTAATACTCCCTACTTGCCGCATACCCTGACTCAATATATATATTAGTACTCTAATATTAGTTTATAAAATCTATATTTTTTTTAATTCTTATATAATTTAAATTTACTTTTCTTAAATATTTAAAAAGTAGTTTTTAATTACTGAAGTATTTCTATACCAGTTAGATATATATTCCAAATTTAATTTTCTCTGTAGATTTAAGCAATTTTTAAAATACTTACTAAATATTTTTAAAATAATTAAATTATATTAATATTACTGTTAACTTTCTCAGCAGCACCACCAGCCGCAACTGGATGCAGATTTCTGTAATTAAAAAAAATAAAACTAATATATTTCTAAATATTACAACAGTAGGACTTTTTATTATTACAGTTCTTATAAAACACTGAGTCTCTAAAGTAAGAAACAATATTATATATATTAATAATATAAGACTAAACAGTTAGTAAATATTTTTTAAATATTTTTTAAGTAATTAGATATACTTACTTTGCCGGCCTTATTCAGCAGAAGTTTAAAAATATCGAAAATATAATTAATCTTCTACTTTTTAACTGGAGAGCCAGCAGCAGAACTAGCAGCAGAAATACTAGTAGAATTAGTAATTTTAAAATTATTAAAAATATTATAAAATTATTTAAACTTTTTACCACCAAAAAACTTTTATATCAGACTAAACAATTAGCAAGCAGTTCTGAAGTATCTATTAAACAGTTAATAAATACTTACCACCAGCCGAATCCACCTTATTCTAGCTGACCCGGCCTTTTTTATTATTTTTATTTAAAATCATACTGTTATAAAACCGCATATGCGAGCGCAGATTGTTTGTACTAGAGAACTACTTTTAAAATAGTTAAAAAATAGTTAATATAATATTATATAAATAATTGGAAAGTACTTATTTTATACTTACTACATTCATTTATATAACAGTAGATCTTACTGTAATAAATCTGAATCTCACTACTTATATTCTAAACAATTAGCAAGTACTTGTTAAGTAGTTAGAAAGTAGTTAGAAACTTATAATATTAAACTTAGATAATTTAAGATGCCCAGCTTCGACTTTACGTAAGTACCACACATATCAGAACTATTTCATTTAAAATTTATCAGTTTTTTATTAAAAAAATTACTTTAAAATTACTTTTTTATTATATAAATAATAATAAGTAATAAATAAGATCTTAATAAGCAGTTATACTTATATTTTCGCTCAGTTGAGCCATAGTTGCGGATGTAGAGAAGAAGAGAAAAATAATTAGTAGTAGAAGATAATATATAAATATACTGAAAAAGATAATATAGAATAAAATTTTCTGTTTATATAGATAACCGGATCGCTTGAAAGTCACATGATCAAACTGCTTATTAAGCAGTTTTCGTTCCACGCGATCCGAAAAAGCAGCACAGCTGATCTGCAACCACACAGACTGACGGCCGCAACCGCTGTCTGAGAGGTCGTTGACGCGGTTCCTGCCTCAGGCAATCACAACAAAGTTACTATGGCATAACATTTATGCGGGACCAAAATTCCACATCTGAAACGAATGCCCTCCTGTTGATTTCTAAATCCATGCGAACTGCCATTTCCATGTCTTGCGCACTTTTCCACTCGTCGGATAGCTACTGAGTAGACTACCGTATGTGAAGGTATGGCTTGATTAACCAGAGGCCTATAGTACACTGATTCCCTAATTCTTTCCAAGTCTATCAAACAGAGTAGAGCAATAGTATCATCCCAGAGGTGCGCGATTTTCCCGATTATGGATTTATGATTACTGATCATGTATTCAAACCTCCCCACACACCCTCCCACTGCGCGCGGGATTCGGTAGTTGCCGCGGTCAGGGCCATAAATAGTTCCAATATTAGAAGCGATCCTTATCGCGCCAAAGTATATTTAGACCCCGTCAACAGACTTATTGCCGAGATATAATCCCAGCCTCCCAACTCTTCTCTAGCATCAGACTTCCACAAATTCAAAAGAGAACAAGCAAAGATAAACGCCCCCAAAAAAGGAAAAAAAAAAAAAAAACAAAAGTCAACGAAACAAATGACTCCTCCCCCGGCCTCGAATACACATTCTTCCGCATCCCCAAAGATGATACCCTGAAGGCCTCCGCCCAGAAATACAAACAGCTCCGCCTGCGCGCCCTGTCCGTCGCCCCGGCCTCGTTCTCCTCGACCCACGAGATCGAAGCTGCCATCCCGGAAGACGGGTGGGTGAGCCGCCTCGCTTTGGACGGAAAGGAGACGTTCATCTGTGCGGCGACCCCTATCGCTGGAGATTGGGATCCAGCAAGTACACAAGAAGGGGGAGACCGAAGTATCTGGGTGGGTCAATTGACCTTACGCGCCCTGAGTCCCGAGGAATTCATCCTGCCTGACGAGTCGGGGCAGAAGAGACCTACCCTTCTCACTGCAGAGCCAGAGCAGGAGGGGGAGGAACTCTGGCAGATGCTCAGCCTATTCACCCTCCCGGATTATCGCGGGTGTGGACTCGGGAAAAGACTGTGTCAGGAGGCGTTGAGGTACTTGGCTTCTTATCGGTCGTCCCCGTCGAAGGTGTGGGTGCGGTTGATGGTCAAACCGGAGAATCATGCGACTGTGGGCTTGTATCGGAGTTTGGGGTTTGGGGAGTCGGGGAAGTGTACGCTGGCGGAGGCTTTGGTGGCCAACGGGGATGCGGAGCTGCTGCCGGCGGATGTGAGTGGGGAGAAGTATAGTTCGCGGAGCGGGTTGATAATGATGTTGGAGTTTAGTCGGTAGAGGTTACCTACCTAGTATGCATTAGCATTGGTAAAGAGGATAGCATAGGCATGTTTGGTTGATTTGGCTTATAAAGAAAACACATTCTGGGTGAAGCGTAGGCTTAAAATACAATCATAAAGCTTCTATCAGTTAATGTCTTGTACATAACGGCACAACTACTAGTTGCTTTCTTGGGAGGGGGGCACCCTACGTGTATAGGGGATAGTGTCCACTGCGTAACTTGACTTTTGCGTCTTGCTTGCCTCGGTGTCTATTTTTTTGCGGGGGAGGAGGATGAGCGAAGAGATCAATAACGGGCACTAGATTCAGTCTACCAGCCCTCCATATCCTAAATCTGCGTCGCCACTAGAATTTAAAAAAAAAAAGGAAGGAGAAAAAGAAGAGAGAAGATCAGTAAGAAAAGAGCAGACCGGTGAGAATAATCAGGCCAGAGTCACAACTTCCTTGTGATCGCCCGCTGCTCTCCGAATATCAGTCTTCCACTTCTCGCTGCAATCTTCAACTCCCTGCACCGTATTCAGAGTGAAGTATCCGACCCTCCGAAAACTCTTAGTATCACCAGGAACCCCCCTCAACACGAGTCCACTCCACTGTCTCAGCCACTCATCCTCTCCCAGCACTGCCAACCGCAAAGCTGATGGTTCTTTTTCATCCTCTTCATCCCACTCCACCTCAACCCAATACCTCTCACCATCCAACCCCGTCACCCTTACCCTGTGCCCTCCACCACCGACCAACTGCGCGCCAAGCACAAAGGCCTTCAAACTGAGCCTGATGGTCTCTCCCTCTGGTGAGTCTCGATGATATTCCACCTTTTCAGCCAGACACCGCTGGTCATCCCTTGCACCCAATTCCTGCGGGGAAAACACGCTTCTTCCTTGAACAGACGCCCAACTCCAACTGGGCATGCGACCGTCTTTCTTTCCACAAGCACTTTCACTAACACCTGCACTACCAACCCTCCAGCCGAGCGACAAAGGCATCGACCCCCAGAAATGTCCCGCCAGATACACTGCTGCTTCCTGTCGTTTTGCAATATCCTCCTCGTCGTCCATTGCAGAAACACATATAGCTTTCATTCGCTTCCCCACTTCACCCGCCAGCCATTCCAATCCCGCCAACCTCTTCTCCGAGTTGATCATCTCTCCCGCAATTGCAAGGGTAGCAGTGTGCTCGTTCACGATCCTATACCAGAAGTGTAGCAGGGCATTCCAGTCCGCATCAGCGGGGATAGCGGTGTCGCGATGGGGGAAGCGGTCCGCTCCCGTCAAAAGGGAAGACGGGAGATAAGGGAGAATACCACCGGGGAGAGTCTCACTGGCGGGGGTGAGGTAGGTGCATTCCCAGAAGACTTCTGCAGCGGAGGGGAAAATTGTCAGCAGGCGGGGAGTGGCGAGGCGGGCCTGGACTTTTACGGAGGAGTTGTGCTGGTGGTGCAGGGTTTGCGAGAGGTAGGTCCAGGGGATAATGGTGAGGTTCGAGCTTGGGGAACTATCATCATCAACCAGATTGCTGCTCATGAAACCCTCGCTCATAACTCCAGACACATTGGTGACCTGGAAGGGAAGGAGATGGACGTGCGAGGTTGCCGGGGAATGGCTCCAAACACTCCGCGCAGGACCTTCGGGTGTGGGCACCGCAATGGTGAGGGCAGCGTTGGAGTAGAGACGAAGCTTTTCGTGTTCATCGTTGATATGGTCAAGCTGGTCCGCTGGTTGACGACACAACTGCTCGATCCAAATGTAGTTGATCCCAAGCGAAAGCAGGAGAGACATGACTTCGCCGATCGCTACGGGAAGACCAGGAATGCCCACGCCGGTGGTGCGCAAAGCTTCCACAATAGAGAACCATTCCCCTTCCTCTGTCGCGGAGGAATCGAAGCTCAGCACCGCGTATGGTCTCTTGAGCCCTGTCTCGACTGAAGTGATCAAGCGGACGTTATCACCACGCAATATCTCCAAGACCTGCGATGGGTAGTACTCTGGTTGGAAGATCCGAGCACAAGCATGCTCATTCTGGCAGCGCTTCATCCAGTTCTCCACCGTAGTGCTAGCATCGCGCATCCGAGTGGCAGGGTCCCTAAGGCGAGGGCCGGGATTAAATGGGATGGTGGCGCTTGGGATGGCTATCAGAGTGTAGCAGGATGGGGTGCTTTCCTGAGACTGCGGGTCATCCCTCTGGTGGTCTAGGATCACCTGGGTGTAGCCCTGATTGACATAGATGCGATAGTCCCAGCTCCCGTCAAGGGAGTTGTAATGCTGGTATCCATCGTGCAGCATAGGCTGGCAGATGTAGCAGCCGCTGCTGGCTGCCGCGGCCAAGGAGGCAGCATTGGGATGATGGGTCCCGCTCCAGGTGGAGCAGTGGAAGATCCGGTCACAGTACTTGCAGAGCATCTTGTCTGATGATTCGAATTCAGAAGACTTGATGAACAGGAGTAGAAGGTGATTGCTGTGGATAACGAGCTGATTAAATAGGATCTCTGAAGGCGATGATGCAAGTAAGTGCAGCCACTCACAGGCCTCATACAACGGTCCATTCTGGTTGGCTGCAGGTCGACTGCGCTGCAGCCCTTATCTGATCCTCGGCCCTCTCGCCCGTCAGGTCTTCAACCACGAATAAGACATCGCGGTCTCGAGAAAGCATACGATTGGCAGTCTCTTCCTCCATTTTTTTTCCGATGGCAACTGTTGTGCAGGCGGCTGCAGACCATCCAAGGGGCCACGGGACGCCTTGTACCACCACCATGTTCCATCCAGTCGTGCCTGTACCCTCCGAGACTGCGGGAATATAACCATCAGCATGAAAAGAAGAAGTACAGAGTACATCATTGAGTCAGTTTTGAGTTGTTAGCAGGTGCATCCACGCGTTTGGGGGCGGCTCCAACCCCAGAAGTATACGAGTTTTGTGCGACAGAAGCGAAGTACAGCTGTGAGCCCGCGATCCTGAATGGTTATGTCAAGCAACGCCAAATGCTTACGTTGGATTGATATTCCTCCGCCAGAAACAATATCCCCACAGTTATGGAGAAGAATATGAAGTGGTCAAGTATGTCTGTGGAGCGGAGTGGGAGATTCGCAGGTATAAAAGGACGCTCGTCGTCTGCAATTCTTGAGGTATTCATCCCCAGAGCAGCAACTCAGCCTATCGATAACATCGTCAGACCAAGTCGCAATAAATTACCACCCCCACCATGAAAGCAAGCATCATATCTCTCTCCCTTCTTGGCCTTCTGTGTGCCGGAGTTGGCCTCGCCGTCCCGGTAGACGACGTTGCGGATGCACCACCGGCTGAGGTAGATGGAGATGCCTGCACCCAAGAGATCCTGCGAGGGGTAAGTCGGCTTTAACTCTGTAAAAAAGCACTACTGACACACGCACAAAGACCTGCAGCAGCGTGACGCAGCAGTGCACGGCGCAGAAGCGCCCGGGAAGCGTCTATCACGCTCCGTGCCCCAACAACCACCGCGTGAGTTTCTTTCTCATTCGCAAGATGGGACGTATTAATCAGAGGTAGTGCGGGGCGAGACATACTTGTAACCTCGACACCATCCGGCTCACAGCTGTTTGTAGCTGAGCGGTTGTGGTGGTCAGTTTCGCCTTGAGCTTGGAGGATTTGAAGAGGTCGGGTCGTGTCGGCCGGGAAGATGCTCGGGTTTGACTGATGCAGGGGAGAGAACGAAAAATTCCGCTACGGTCGGTTCATTCAACATGAGTCTGCTGTTTCGTTTCGCTTGCTGTGTATTTGTTGAATAAAACCCATTGGATCCACATCGTACCATCTCGTAGACTCTGCACGTCGTCTCAGGCGATCTTTATCGCCTCTAGGCTGTGCTGCTGACCACTTCATGCCGATTGGACCTTGGTAACTGCCGGATGGATCTTTGATTCGTTCCCAGATGGGTCATACTAATATAATCGCGAACCTGTCTGTAGGACCCTATGATACACAATTCTTGACATCATGTCTCAGGTAAAAGCACGATTGAGCACCTTGTCAGTTAATATGCGTAGAGCAATAGTTAGTCTAATCTGGTCGGTTCTCCACAACAGCTGAGACACTACAAGGACCCTGGTTGCAAATGCAAATGAGTAAGTGCCAGGTTGGTCTACTAGTATCATCTGTCAATGGCATCTGAGACATTGTGAGAACCTTGAAGGATTGATATGGCACCACTCCACCTTACAAGTTTCTGACCTATATCTGGATTTGTAATGATGGGTGTGGAAGATGACAACCCTGGTGGGACTTGCGGCGAGGTCCACATATAAAATGGCAGTAAGGTATCATCTTTTCTCCCATCATTCCATCAGCAACGCACAAACATTGCAACATATGATCACTATTCCAATCTCCAAGTCCAGTCAATCATCTACTGCCAAAATGAAGACCGTCTTAGCTCTGTCCGCTGTCATCTCCGGCGCGTTCGCCGCTGCCGCCGTTTCTTCTAGCGCCTCTCCCTTCCAGCTAGTCATCAGCGACGCTCAGTCCCGCGCCACCGAGCTCAAGGGCCGCGCCCTCATCAGCCAGAGCGACGCCTTCATCCTGGCTCCTGCGGGTGAACATGGGATTAACTTCACCGGTGGAGATGGCTCTCTGGGCATTCAGAACGGTGATGTTGGTGAGTTTTGCACATTATCACTCCCTTCTCGCCTCTTGGGGTATTAACCAAGGAACTCAGTCTACGTCGGCAGCGACGGCCATGTCGACCTCAAGAGCACCAACGGCATCGCCGCCGGAGGTCTGACCCAGGGCTTCACCACGGGCAGCGACAATGCCCTTGAATGGGCCCAGGGTCAGTTCTTCGCCTGTCCTCACGTGTCTCTGTACGCCGCAGGTCCTCCCACATACATGATCTACGCCACCCGGTCCGGTGTCGCGCTTCCTACCGACTGCATTGCGGTTGACCTTGCTAAGGTTGCTGTCTGAGTTTACGGCTTGAAGTCAGGGATTATAGAAATCGGTGGAGGGCTATTGGGTTCTGTAGATAGTTTAACCGATACACTCGTTTACAATTGAAGCATTTATTCAACAGTCACTTTGCAGCTGCAGGGGATAACATGGAGCCAATTATCGTAGACTCAGAGAGCACAACTGTTCTACCCACAATTCCGGAGATGCTGTGTATTCACGGATATTCTATGATTCGATGGTAATTGACAGGGAATATACGAGCTGCCAAGAGTGGGCGGAGGATGCCAAGAGAGGTTCCGAAGTCCCGGGGCTACAGTCCAGGCTCTCGCCGTGACTACCTTGGCCGTATCTTCTCGCATCACTTGGACTGTGCACTGCCTCATGCGTCTTGCTGTGCATTCTTATTCCGGCCTAAAGTTGTTCTTGGCCAGTGCTCGAGTACGCGAAGATTATCTAATATCGAGCTCAGCCGCACCTTCTGGCCCCGACTTCGTATAGGGTCAGATCACTGGGTTCCGCCAAGACCATCGAACCCCGGGTCCCCAGCTCCGGAACGATGGGGCCTCCTCGGATGATCTACCATTAGTCCTGACAGTATAGTCTTAACCAGTGGAACACTTCTCGACGACGAAGGTCAAGTGAGGCAGTACGAGCGGACTCCACTCAGCACAGCCTTACATGCGGAGTGACTTGCTGTCTAGTCCATGGAAGTAGTAGGATACACCACCGACTATAAATTTTCCCACATTCCTCGCCCTACCTTCACGATCGTAACCATCTCCCACAACAATATAAGTTGAGACACCCACCACAAAGCATATCAGCACATCATGAAGCTTACCCCATACCTCCTCGCCGCCCTCCTCCCCGCCACCATCCTCGCCGCCCCGGAAGCAGAACCCGACCCCGTTGCGGACCCCGAGCCCGAGCCCGAGATCGAAGCCCGCCAGGCCACCACAGGTCCAGTCTCCTGCTCTATCTTCGGGACCATCGTCAGCAAGAAGCTCCCCGCGCCCTGTGCGGTCAACGGGCCTACCTTCGCCAAGAACACCAGGGTCACCTTCACGTGTCAGATCCTGACCGACGAGTATGCTCCTGCTTCCTTAGGCCTTTCTTCATAAAGCATTCATACTCATTAACAACCTAGGACCTGGATAAGAGTCGGACAATTCGGGGCTGGAAGCTCTTGGGTCCGACGGAATGACCCCGCTGTGCAGCCGTGCTCTGGATTCGGTACGTTACCTCTCCCTGTTTTGTTTTTGCCGAACCGGGGTTAATGTACGTGTGGAATAGCATCTGTCAAATTGCCCAAGTGTTAGGTTTGGTAGAGCATGGTTGGATCTATGGTAGATTGGCGGGGTTGGGTGTGGAATCTCTTTGCTTGGTTTCGTTTTCTTTTCCCTTCTGCCTCTGCTTCTTGCTTTGTTTTCTCTCCGCCACTGTATCCGGTTGTTGTTTGAGAGCTTGGTGTGTCGCTTTCGCGATTTATTGACGATTTTCGGTCTGGAGGGGAGGAGACAATACCTTCATTGCGCAGGCTCCTTCCTTGAATGTTGAGGGTACTGTACATCTGGGGCGTTACTATAAATGTTTTGGATTTTGATATAGTGATATCTTGGATTTCGATATAGTCGAATACCAATCGTCATATTGAACTTGTTTAAAGGGTAATCAACTGCAGAGAAAATCTCGAATTCGATTTTCGGATCCTGCGGATACGACATCCGAGCCCGACGCTGTGGCACGACATCCAAATGCGGGATGCAGATTAGGGGCTAGATACGGTTCCGGCCCGTATACCCCGGTCGCCCCGTGGTTCGTGGTGGTGCCGTCTTTGACAGTGAAACGGTTCATGGGCTCGGGCTTTTAAGGTTATGAGGAGGTGGCTGAGTAAGTTGCTGGAAGCGGTGTAAGAAGGTCCAATCTATTCATATGTGTCGGTGACTTGCGCCTGTCATCTGAATTGTACTTCTTTAGTCTTTTTTTCGAGAATAAGGATGATCCCATAGCCGATGGAGAATGTTTCAGTATGGAAAAGTGTCTCGATATGAAGCCGGAAATCGATTATCTGCGACCAAAAAGGTAAAGAGTCCCTTTTGTGAAAAGGCAACTTGGCTTCTCAAGTGACGCATGAGCTAGTACCTTACTATCGTACAGTGCATGCAGTTTAAGATTTCGATCTAGTCTCTCCGTAGATCTTCTGGCCCAACTTCTTAAGCTCGGGGGAGACAATATAGCACAGCATTGAAGAGCTTGACAACTTGAGCGTCTCGAGTTGAGAGCAATAATCTGCCTTGTCGGGGGTGAAAGTCAATGTCGCTTCGATTCTCAAGTTACCGGCGAGGTCTCGTTATCTTAGACGATAAAGACCACCCGGGAGGGTCGTTGTTGCTTGCACAATAATACTTTGCTGTGACTTTCCTGCGAGCGGAAGTGCTTATTCTTCTAGAATGGTCACATGATAAGATGACCCATTTGGAAAGGGCCTGACTAGAGTCACAAATGTGGAACATGTGTATGTGCCTAACAGAAACCTATAATAAACCAGGCCATGAGCATGAAGAGTCTGTTATCAGATCAAATAGCGAGGTATTTGATTTGTAAGTCTCCTCGTGCGCAGTATGACCCGGTCTACGATCGGTATATCATAGCGCGGTCCGGAGTCACGCATACGAAGGACAGCGATCTTCGTGGTATGATCCCTGGAAAAGCATCGCATGACCTGTCCCTACTACTTCGAACTGGAAGATCATCATCGCAAGGCAAATGATCTTATGTGATGACTAGGTTGTTAACGACAGGAGCAACAAGCTCGCCGAAGTGAGGGTGGCTGGTTAATGCCTCCACCACGTGCACTAGGACATTGTCTAGCTATCCTTGCCTAGATGAATGCTGTCAGCGCAGCTGAGTAATCCGGCCACGTGATGCAACGCGTTGCCAAGTTGCTTCCCATGTTGATACGTTAGTTCCAATTACTAAGAAAATTAAGAACACATTCTATACACCTCACCTCTGAGACCTTCAAATTGCTGATAAATTATAAGCCCGGAGCCTCTTTGAGATTCTGGAATATATATTATTTATTTTTTATTTATTAAACTTGAAGTTTTTTATAATTGCTAAGTTCTTTTATTAATAAAATATATTATTGCTACTGCTAAAATACCCGAAATCTTTAAGCCTCTGTATATCCTTACCGGCTCGCAGAACTGGTATTTTTAAAATTTTTATATCGAAGTTTAATTCTATATTTATTCAGTCTGAAATATCTTTATTAATAAGACTGCTGACAAGAATAATAAAAACACAGCGGAGAAGATTAAAAAAAAGTAAAAAATTACAATCGGTTTAATTTTAAACTTGCTGTTCGATTTAATTTTTAAATCTCTGTTTTATTACACCGATATTAAAGCTCTTTAGCAGTTTCTTAAAAAAAATATAATAGTTCTAATAAAACTCAGTCTCTTCAAGGCCTTTAAACTGTAATAAAAACTCTTTTAAATAATTATCTGTCAACTATATAGCCAGTTGGTAGCCTCAGGCTCGCCAGTTCGCCACCTCAGGCTCTCCAGTTCGCTGCCTCAGGTTAGCCAGTTCGCGGAGTGGATTTCCGAGTTCCGGTGACCCCTCAGTGGGGAAAACGGTCTGGAACAATCTTCTTCTATTCATCCTATTGTTCCTGTTCAATAGGAATTTATTCATTTATTTACTTTCATGTGTTTTTCATATGATCGCGGAAAGCCTCGGAAAATCAATATGGCTATTCAGCTATAAATAAGAGGTCAATTCCTATTGTTCTTTTAGTTAGTTGAGCAAGCAGTTTCAGTTCAGTTTCAGTTTAAATTTATTCAATCAGTTTAATCAGTTACTTATTCAAGAGATTGATTTTATCTATCTTTTACTTTACTTTTACTTTCACTTTACCCCTTACTTAAATTTTGTATGGAATCCCATATAAAGTTTGAGTGAAAAGTAAGGTTTTATTAAAGTGGAAGTGAAGGTATTCAGAATTCTTCTTATTATCTTAATATTAAAGACTATATTACTAAAATTAAGAACAGTATTTACTTAATCAAATCTCGCCTTTTCTCCGAGAAGAAAGAACAGTTTTCGGAATAGTTTTTATATAATTTTTTACTCGCAAATCTTAATAATCCACACTGAAAGATTTTTATTACTATTTATTTTAATAAATCTAAAGAATTAAGCTTTAAAGACCTCGCCGTCCAGATGATTAAATACAAAAAATGGATGCAATATTAAGACTTTTTATTAAATATTATTAGAACTAAGAAGAGCAAGCAGTTGGCTAAGGCTTTATATAAAAAATATTATAAAGAACACTGTAAAAAATATAAAACTTAGATCTGTAACTACTATAAAAAGAACAGTTATAAAAAAAAGTCTGTTAACAGCTATATTCGGAATTAAAGTCGGAGAGATTCAAAAACTATACTAATTATATTAATATTATTATTATTTTTAAAGAAGAAACGCACGCTGTTTTTTAATATTATTTAATATTAGAATTATTATATAAAATTATATAAGAACTGGATTACCGCAAGACTGCCAGACCGCCCGGGGCCTATAGATAAGAACTACTAAAAATAAAAAGAACCGCTATAAATAAAAGATTACTACTAAGAAGAAAATAAAAAATACTATATATTTTAATTAGTCTTTGTTTTGTATAGCCGCTTTGGCTTTATATACAGCGCGGATTAAAAAGATATATCAGCGCAGCTGAGTAATCCGGTTATATAAGTTAATATAATATATTACTAAGTTGCTTTCCATGTTAATACGTTAGTTCCAACCACCAAAAGAATTAAGAACACATTCTATACACCTCACCCCTGAGACCTTCAAATTGCCGATAAATGCACTTGTTTGACTTCCGACGACTTGAGTGTAGCGTGATTAGAACCTCGATCATGCGGTCCTCCAGACAGCCAGCGACGAACAGGGATGGCGATGTTTCGATCCGGCCTATTGCCACCCTCGTGCAGCTGCGACTCCTGAGGTGACATATATAATACTATTTCGAGAACCAAACTCTGTCACTGGTAGTGATGATAAGTCTCAGTCAGCCATCTCCCTTCATCATCGTATGCGAAGAGTCAAATCACTAGCCATAACACCTATACCACTGCATTATAAGAGAGATTCGTGTGGAAGAGCATCTACCATGAAGATACGTAAGTACTTTACTCACCTGGCAGTCAACCCTCCCTTCAAACCCTCCCTTGAAACCCTCCATCCCACTGGACCCTCAACACCTGAACCCCCTTCCTTCTCCCCACCAACTACCATCCCACTAATATCCCTCGAACCTGAACAAGAAACCCTCCTCCCAGCCCTCGCCCTAGCAGCCACCACACAAGCCGCACCCCGCTCCCCCCCCAGACCACCCCCCAATCTCTGTGACAACGCGCTACATCCTCTTCGGCAAGATCCTGACGACAGACACCTGCGTCAGTCTGACCCCGGACGGCGTCAAGGCGTACTGCGGCTACCTGCGTGCCATCCACAACTGCCCCTGCTCCGACCTTAACCCCGAGGGCAATATCGTGGTGGACTGCTCCATGACGCTGAATGTGCTCGGGGCGTGCAAGGGGATCTTCGTCTCGGATCAGGACGCGTGCTCGAATGATGGGGGGGTGTTTCGGTCGACGCTTTAGGTCCCTCTTGGGTTTTTTTGCTTTTGGTAGATGGTGTAGAATTGGTGGTGTTAGTGGGTATCTCGTTGAATAGAGGGGAAGTGGAGAAGCTGTTGTGTTATTTGTTAGATCTTGCACAAATCCAGTTATACCGGTATAATGTATGCATAGCCAGTGCTTACCAAATCCTCAGTTGTATGCAGACGAAATGCGGGGTAAAGCACCACCGCAAGCTCGGTTAGAGTGCGGGGAACCCCCGTATCGAGTCCTGATCGTCTACCTCAAGTGGAGAAAATGATTTCATCCAACTTTCCATTCGGCTTGAGTAGACGGGACTTCCTGTACCTGGACCGGACTGTAAACTGCAGTAATAAGATACATCATTACAGCACCTCCTACAGCCCGAGGTAATTATTTGTAGTATCGAGAATCATAAATATCAGCGTCTATTCTGCAACCACACTGGCATTGAGCTCAATCACACACTTGAATTCCTTTGAGAAGTCCACTGAACAATCAAAATGCACCTCCCAGCCCTCACCACCTGGTTAACCACCGCCCTTTCCCTCTCCCTCGTCACCGCCAAAGCCACCCCACCCTCACCCCCGGCCCCCGCCCTCTCCTTCCTCTACACCGCCTACGTAGAATGCACCGAGACCCTCATGCTCTCCACGGGGCCCCACGGCACCCGCAAAGCCATTCCCATCGTGGGCGGCAATTTCACCGGCCCAAGATTATCAGGTACAACCCCACCCCGGGATCCTGTCACTTACACTAGATCAGTCATGTGTCTAACAACTTGAAGGCAAAATCCTCGATGTAGGCGCCGACTGGGGCCTCGTCGACCCCGCCACGGGCATCTTCTCCGCCGACACGCGGTACAACCTCCGCACCGACGACGGGGCGGACATCTTCATCCAGACGTCGGGGCCCAAGTCGCCGAGTGGGCAGTTGCATCTGCGGTTGGTGTTTGAGACGGGCAGTCGGAAGTATTATTGGTTGAATAATGTCGTGGGTATGTATCGTTCCTCTATTGGGAGGAGATGATCTGAGCGGGAATAAGGGCTCATCGTGCGTGGTGTGTGGTGAAATATTGCTAACAGGTAGACTAGCGATCGGGGTGCTTACGCATGCGGCGGATATTAATTCGACGTCCATCTTGAGGATTGATGCTTGGAATGTGAGTACATTTCTCTTCATCGGGTGGTGCGGAAGTTCGTTTAGATGCCAGTGCCCTGTGCTGATGTGAATTCTAGATGGCTTCCGATTGGAATTCGACGACGTTCTTGGATGCTTAAAGCTTGGTTGGATAGCTCATGGATTAGTACCTGAGTTAGAGTAGGAACATATCCGAAGAGGTATCAAAAGGTTAAGAGTAAACGCGTGAACAAGGTTGTTAAATCAAAACTAGAAGGGAAAGACAATGATATAGCCTGGAATGTTGTTTATAGCAAGCCGACATAATGACAATCCATAACATGTCGACTTAGTCTATTCTCTAGCCGTAAAAGTCAACCTGCATGTCTGCCCCTCAGGCCGCGAAGAGATTATCTGATCATCAATGTCCATAGATCCAGTCATATCAACGGCCACCGTAGTACGATACCTTGAATAGACCTCCCGCAGGAGGATTTTCATCTCCACTGTAGCAAGACTGCAAGATCTTAGCTTATGTTGACCCTCGAAAAGAAACGAAAAAGCAAAGAGTCAAATGACATGAAAGCAAAGGAAGCGGTGGAGAGGGATGAGGAGGAATAAAAACAAGCTCAGGCCACCTACTTTCTCCCGGTGCAGCCCCGCCCTCCAGTCCCGAACGCAAAGAACATCCGATTCCGCTCTGTCGCTCCGTTCTCGTCCATCCAGCGGTCCGGACTGAAACGATCCGGTTCAGGAAAAATACCCTCATCGAAACGATGAACAGTATACGGCTGACAACTGACGATTGTTCCCTCGGAGACAAAAGCCCCATCGATCGTCCTTCCGCCGCTGGGAACATACCGAGGGAATGACATCGGGATGGGCGGCGCGCAGCGGAGTCCTTCTTTGATGACCGCCTCAAGGTACACAAGCTTATCGAGAGGTGTCTCCGGTGCCTTGGCGCGTAGTTCCTCGTAGAGTCTGTCTTGGAATTTGCGGTTCTGAGGTTGGGACAACTCCCACATAAGAAAGCACAATCCATCCCCTGTCGTGTCAATCCCCGCCGCCATGTGGTCTTTGCATTCAGCCGCTACTTGATCGTGACTCAGTGGAGAGTCCTTTCGATTGAGGCGGCCGAGAAGACTGTGGTCGTCTGGATGCTCTTGCGCTGTGATGCTCTGAACGTACGCATTAGTCTTGGGCGCGCGACGCGGCTTGACCCAGCTGGGGAAGTATGGGCTGAGTGTGGGGAGGTAGTAGTGAAGCAGGTTCTCTGCGCAGTTTAGTACAGTACTTTGTCGGATTGGGGCTGAGAAACATACTCTGCAGGCTATGATGATAGGTCAACTCCTCCATGATCTCGAAGTCCTTCTCGTTGGTGAGTGAATCCAGACCTCCTGGGTTGAACATGAAGTGCGTCACGCAGTCAAGAGCGTAGCAATGGAGAAAGACCTGGAACTGTCAGCGCCAACCTTATCTTGACAAGAAATGCGTACATAAACATCTACACTCATTCCCACGGCGGTACACCTCGAAAGAAAAGCCTGTGCTCGGTCACGAATGGCTGATACGTGGCTCTCGCGCAGGATATTTGACATGGCATATCTGTCGGCCAGTTCCCGCTTGCGCTGGCTATGCTGCTAACTGTTAGCTTTCTTCCTCCTGGAAACACGTGGCAACGGACCGAGTATTTATCCAAAGTTGAAAACATAGTCCTAACAGGCATTAGCAAATACACCACCCACACCAGACGAAGCAGCATACTTGACCCCAAACTGGCGGAACATGTCGTAGAATTCAGTCTTATCGTAGCCGCTCCCGCCCGATGCGTAGATCTCGCGGATGGCATCAAGAGACGCAAATGACACCTCGTTCGGGGCTAAACGAACCACTCGTCCGTATTGCTTATGTAGTTGGTGAATGTACATGCGCCGATTGGCGCTGAACTCATGGTACTTGATCGGTAGACTCGTGAATTTGGTAAGCCATGGGCCGGGTATTCTGGCAATGGGAGAATATAGTCGTCTGACAAGGAAGGAACATAGTATTAGGGCCGCTGCCACCCACGTTGACAACATTCTGGTTATTGCTTATATGGGGTTGGGCCATTCTCTGGTAAAGTTGCCAATACTTATAAGTTTGGTGTATATGCAGTACTGATATCGGCAAAAAGCGAGCTATCCCCAAGGGGAAACCGTAGGAGATGCATTGATACGGGTTGCTATCGCGCGGGGTTCCGAGATTGTCTCGGGCTGATAAGATACGCAAGCAGCAAATGGGATTGAACCAATGATAGGAAAGAAGCACTCTACTTTGATCAAAGGTCCAGGGGCCTCTTAAAGGGTTCTGTCAAATCTTCTATTGAGCTTTGGGCGCACGACTCTGTTTCGTTCTCCTGTCCGTCATTCTTCGGCATCATTTCGTCAATGAACCATGGCAAATATGCCTTGATCTGCTGATAAATTACCCTGGAGTTGTAACTGTAGTATCTTGTGTAAGGAATGGCTGGAGGTATTTTCTTCTATGTTACAAGCAAGAATCGTTGTTTAAATACCTCTCCATCCAGCTAAGCTACAGGTTAGCGAAGGAGCTTCGGAATCTGGTAGTGATTCAGCACTCGTTGGAGTAATCACTTTAGTAAGATAACCAACTCGCAAAGACCTTTCTAACCTTGAATATAGTTATTCAAGCCATGATCATGAAGTTGACATTGAGGTAGCCAGAGAAGGTATTGAGCCCCGAACTGTGACATCACCCGGCCCCTGCAGGACTTACCACTTTCCTTTTTCATTCCATCCACGCTACTTGCCATCCTCAACGACAGCTCTCCCCTCTTTCTCTTTGACTACTCGGCGCAATACCTACGAAGAAACAGGTTTCAATATGTCGCAAAACTATCTACAACTCAATCAGTACGAGTTGACCAAGAAGGGCCGAGTACACAGACTTGACCCTGGAGTGTGACGGCACTGAGTTTCCCGTCCACCGTGTCATCGTTTACCCGCATGCCGCCGTCAAGGCGGCCTGTGAGAAGGGATTCATGGTGAGCGCTGTCAGCTTTTGGAAGAAGCAAGCTAACTCGGTATCTGGAGGAGACGTCGACTCGAGTGTACTCTCCATTGAAGAATTCGAACCATCTACTGTGGGACTGCTCAGGGAATACCTCTACACTGGGGACTACGTCACAGAGCACGAGAAGCGTGATGATCATGGTACAGCTCTCCAGTCTTTCCTTTCCTCTTCTCAGTCTGACTTTCAGCGACAATTCAAGATATCAATGTAGTATGAGCTAAATGAGACAGGAGCTGTTATCCTGGCAAATAATCCTGGCATATCCCAAGCACTGATACTTCATCTCCATGTTGCTGCAATCGCGGATTACTTCGATATACAGCCACTGCGGAACCTCGTCCACAGCAAAGTGAACAAAGCCCTCGACATGCCATGGTCGTCAGAAGGCTTCGGAGAGGTCGTCAATTTAGTTTTCGAGGGGAATGACGAATTCCTTCGTAATCAGATGGCCACAACTGTTTTCAATCATTTGGACGACTTTATCCGTTGGGATCACCCTGCACAGCTCTTCGCAAATGACCTATTCAGACGAGTGTTTGACCCGATGCAGAACAGCAGACGCGCCATGGAGCGAGAAATCAAGAATTTGTCGGACGATAAAGCAGCCCTCACCAGCCGGCTCGACATAGCGCGCATAGTCGTGACCGGGTACCAAGTGTCTGTTGTCTCTCGTGGCTTTAACTACCTGTTCCAAGGTACTTGTGTCAGATGTGGACAGACTAAGAATTACAACTACAAGTTAAATGACGTTATTGCACCGCAATGGGAGAGATGCAGGAAATTGTGATGCGAAGTTTATTAGCGTTCTTCAAGTGTGAGGATGTTGAGCACTTGAATAAACCGCCCTTGAAATCCAATTTACTTCATGCCGGTTGCGCCATGATTACCTTCTACAGCCTCGCTGGGATTTCCAAAGCCTTCGGCATAATTATCATATGCTTGTATCCGATTACAATGAGCAACGAGCGATGATTCTGCCTGACCAGTCTCAAAACTAATCGCCTCATCTGCTTGTCTTCGGAGATGAGAGCAACTTCAATCTATGCATAGTTAGACTAGCAAGTCTATAGCATCTCGACAGTTTACCACAATTTACTTACAATGCCATGATCATGAGTAGTCTTACGCTATAACTATGTCTCCTGCGCTATCCATGCACTGTGGGTTAGCCCTAATCAGGAGCGATGAGTGATTCTGAATCCAATGCAGTCACATTCGACAACAATCAGTTCAATCTACATATTTGGAAAGATTCGAGGATAAATGCTGGCTTGCCGCATGGGAAATCGTAGGGAGCAGTAATGAGGTAAATGATACAATGAGTCATGCAGGTCACGGGGCCACCGAATTGAGACACCGACAACACATCAAACGGAAGTAGTTCTTGTTATACTTACTAAAACAGTCCACCCTCCTCTCTTGCATCTTCACTTCACCATCATGAATCGAACCTCAGTCATCATTGTCGGGTAAGCCTAATTGCACCTCTTTTCATTAAGTTGAGCGCGCTAAGACCCACGCAGGGCAGGAGTCATCGGCCTCAGCAGCGCCATCCGCCTCGCTCAGCGCGGCTACCGCGTCACCATCATCTCCAAAGAATTCCCCGGCGACTTCCACATCGACTATGCCTCCCCATGGGCCGGTGCACATTTCCGACCTGTCCCCAGCATCAAATCCGAGGACCGTCTCGAGGAGACACTGATGCGAGAAACCTACCGAGAGCTTGAACGATTGTCGGCAATCCATCCCGAGGCTAGCATACAATTCGTCCCTGGCGTGGAATACTTCGACGTGGCGGACCCGGCCTACTTCGACCCGAAGCTCACCCAGGAAAACGGCTACGCCTCGTGGCCCGGCTTTCGCGTTCTCGAACCCTGGGAATACCCACAGGGGCATGGATCGATCAAGCTTGGAGTGGCGTATACTGCTTGGGTGTTGAATTCGCCTGTGTATTTACGATGGTTGGAACGCCAAGCTGAGAAACTCGGTGTCCAATTTATACATCGGGATCTGGCAGCGCTCGAAGAGGCGGTCTTCGTGTATCGGGAACAGGAATACCGTAGGGATAAGAGTATCCTTGCGGTGGTCAACGCCAGTGGGCGTGGCTTCAATGATCCGCAGTCGTACCCCTCTCGAGGGCAGTTTATTGCGGTTGCTAATCGCTGTAACAAGACTGTGAGCCATCATTGGTCGGATGGATCGACGACCGTCATTATTCCTAGGCCCCTTGGTGGGGTCACGATTATAGGTGGGACGAAGGAGCCTAATAATTGGTACGTGCATCGCTTGCGTCTTTCGCCTAGTGCTGATGGTTTAGGTCGCATTCCATCTCTGATAACGCAACGACTTCTATTCTTTTGAGAGCTGCAGCACTTTGTCCGGAGCTCCTCATGGGTCAAGAGGATCGCACCAGCCCAACGCTGGGATTCGATGTTCGCGAGGTGTATATTGCTCGACGTCCGATGCGACATGGTGGACTGCGATTGGAGAAAGATCATCTTGTCTTTCAGGATACAGTTGAGAGCGGTATGAAGAACGAACAGAAGTCTGTCCCGGTGGTTCATTGCTATGGAGCTGGTCCAAGCGGGTACAAGTTGAGCTGGGGTATTGCGGATCGGGTAGATGACTTGGTTAGCTTGTGCATCGAGGAAAGTCAAGCTTGATATCCCGACAAGATATCTTTTTCAATATCAGCACGCCTGTTTCTCGAGTTAACATGCATAATGGGAAACCAGTGTGGGCCCGTTGACATAAATTACAGTAGGATCAAGGAAATAGGCAATTTGACCCTTACGGTTGGTGAAATGTTGATGAAACCCATGGAGGCAAATAGGAAATCCTGCCTGGAGATTTGCTCAAGATCACGTGGCCGGATTACCCAAAAAGGCAAACGCCTGATTCTTTCTTTTCAACTGGATTTTCGCAGCCCCTCTTAGGCTTTTACGTTGTGCGTGAGACCACGCAGTATTTCTCTAAGTTGAAATTCTCAGTCAAAGGCTCCCATTATACCTCATTATCAACTATATATCCAAAGTTATATATGTACCACACATATCAACCAACATGGCTAGATATGAAAAGCATCCACATGATCCAAAATGAAATCATACGTGCCGTTGCGGAACGTATCCCCCATCAGTCCCACCGCATTGGCCTCGAAGTTCAACAGCTGCCGATTCTCCTTCCACTGGGGCCATTCCGGATAAACGCCGCGATGGGCGTTGGGGTCGAGGTCATGCACGAAACTGAAGTAGTATGTGTGGCTGGACTTGGCCGCGTAGTTGGGCCAGATCCCGTAGAACACCTGTATCAAATCACTGCCGTGGAAAGTACCGAGGATTGGGGTGCCGTAGTCGTAGCTCGACAGGTAGGACCAGGTCGGTAGGTTGGGTGCTATCTCGGCGGCGTAGGCCAGGAAGGCCCGACGGGTAATGGTGAAGGTCAGGTCGCCGAGGATGGCGGCGAGGCGCTTGAATTGCGGGTAGAGGTTGTTGCCGGTGCCGGTGCGGAACGGGGATCCGTAGGTCGTGGTGTCTGGGTAGAGGTCGACGAGTTCCTGGAGTTCCTCCTGGCTGGCGTCATAGAAAAAATAGTCGGCGAGATACTTGACTAGCTCATCCGTTGTGGTGATATTGCCCTGAAAGAGGGCGAACAGTGTTCCCTCGTCCTCTTGGTCGCCCACAATGAAAGGCACCTGCGCGAATTTGCCGGCCTTCCCAAGGACGTCCGGAGATGCGGTGAGCACCTTTCCGTCCGGTCGTGGGAGATACGACAGGGCGATGGAGCTGTAGCTCAGCAACCCAGGCACAGAGTTCACGGAATTCAGGAATTCGTCGTACGACAGGTCTCGAAGACAGGCGAGTGTGTCGTTGGAAGAAGAACATTTAGCAGTCGAGACGACGGTGTCGTAGATTGCTTGTCCCTTGACCCCATCAACTGGATCAGCCGGTACAACACTTCCTGAGTCCATGATACCGCCTCGGAAAAGCGGTTTACCCTTGTAGGTGTTGTCGCCGTCATAGAGCACCATCTGATCGAAGACCGAGATCGCGCCCGCCGATTCACCCCAGATGGTCACCTTGTCTGGGTCTCCTCCAAAGGCCGCAATGTTATCAGCCACCCACTCCAGAGCCAAACGTTGGTCCAGCAAACCAAGATTAGAGGACCCATCCGCCTTGATCTCCTTGCCGGGCAAAAAGCCGAAACCACCCACGCGGTAGTTCATTGCAACGAAGATGACAGGCAGGTTCAAGTCAATTGAAGACGAAACCAACGACGTTCCATCATACATGGACTTCGACCCAAGCTCGAATCCACCTCCGAAGATCCAAACGAGCACGGGCAATTTCGAGTCGGCGGTAGTTCCAGCCGGGCGACGAATGTCGATGTTAAGGCAGTCCTCGCCGGCATTGGTGGCGACTTGTACAAGAGGGTTGTCAGCGAGGATACCCAGAACTGAAGCAGGGAAATCGCTCGTCGAGAAGTAGAACTGCGGGCATGACTTGGAGCTCCCGGTCGCCTGAATTGTTCCAAGCGACGTCTGGATCGGCTGTGGGGGCTTCAAGCGCAGTGAGCCGGTGGGCGCCTGCGCAAAAGGAATGTTGTTGAAGACTTCCACATTGCCAGCTTTTCCAATGACAGTCGCAGCTGGACTGGCAATGGTCACAGTAGGCGCTGCGGCGCGCGGAGCGGGCACCGCGTGAGCCACCCACGAAAGAGCAAGCCAGAGGAGATAGGGGGCCTTCATGATTGCCTGAGAGTCGAACCTCAACGTTCAACAATATTACTCGGTAGGCCAGCTAGCTCGTGGGTTATATAGGCCTCCATTTTGTCTTCATGAACCCATTTTTGGTATGCAGCCCCTCATCCTCACCTTCCGACATGTCCTCTTGAATGCCAGGATGCGACAGTCATTTGTTTGTCCATGTGTCTCCTCGGTTGAAACTCTTGTCTTCCCCTCTCCGCCATCGTATTCGAGAAATCAGTCGCATTGGCATGATACGATCGGCCGGTCAGGAGACTGCGCCTGGCACAACCCAAGCCGACATGAAGTGGGGACGTCGACAAGTGGAGGACCCTGAAGAAGCGGCTGTTTGAAGATTCACACATGAACCGAGGTTTGCGACAGCCTAATTGCTTTGAAAACCAGACGGAGTCGCTGCTTTTAGGGCTGAACTGCCGAATGCCAGGATGAACAAGAGGGACCATGCACTCCTTCCCCGCTGTTTGTATGCACAATGCCGGTGATCATTTCCAGGCGGGGCAAGGAGCTCCTCCGAAGGATTTTGTCAATGCGCTTTCCTGGATTCTTGCCAAACTTGCTGGTCGACAAGTCATTCGTCCTCTCAACTCAGCATTGTCTGCTTGGACGTCGGGTTTGCATTGCCTTTTAGCCAATTGATTGCTGTTCCTGATCCAGACCCAACATTTCAGTGGGGAAGTTGTGAAGAATTCAGGGTTGGTTGTTTGGGTCTCCCAGCGGACCATCCGAAAAGGGTAGAAACACATGAAAATCCAGGTTCGTGGTAGCGAAAATCATCCGCGGTTCGTTGATTCTCAAAGGCCGTCCGGCCCCAAAAATAGGTCTATCATTCAACCAAAGTCTAACCGTAAAAGCAGATCACGCCCCTGAAATCAAACCCATTTGCACTCAAAAAGAGGTATATACGCCCATAAAAAGAGAATGCGACCAAAGACAACTCCATCACTTTTCCCATCCGTTCCATCGCTCGAAATCTCCAGTGTCCAGATCGAACAGATCCAGCATTCGTCCGACACTCTGGTCGATTAACTCATCAACACCTGCCGCTTTAATGTAGAACGCCGGTACGGGTGGGAAAATAACCGCTCCGGCGCGTGTAACCTCGAGCATGTTTCGCAGATGAATCTCGCTTAGCGGCGTCTCGCGCGCCACCAAAACCAATCGCCGTCGCTCCTTGAGCATCACATCCGCCGTGCGAGAAATGAGATCATCACAGAATCCTGAGTGGATGGCCGCCAAAGTCTTCATGCTGCAAGGTACCACGATCATCCCGTCCGCCCGGAACGACCCGCTCGATATCGGTGCCGCCATATCATTGATATTGTGTACGTGGTCAGCCAGAGCCCTGACATTTGATGGATGGTAATCGGTTTCGTATTTAATCGTAGCTTCCGCCCATTTACTCAAGACCAAGTGGGTTTCCACGTTCAATCGACGTAGAGCAATCAACACTTTGATTCCAAGCAAAGCTCCGGTAGCGCCCGTCATTGCAACCACAATGCGACGTCGACGGGTTGTGGGCGCGGGGTGCGCTGGACGACTTTGTTCGGAGGTCATGTCGTGAGAGGGAGAGGCGGAGCGACCGGAATTAGGTGTAGCAGTACCGGGAAGGATTGAGCTGAACATGTAGGCGAATTCAGGTAGTTTGTATCTGAAAATGTATGCGTGTGATGAGTCACTGTGAGTGCTTGAAGAACTATCACCGATGAGGCATTCCTGGATAGTTATATACGTCTCTCGTGGCGATCCGTCTGATAACTCGCAGAGGAGTTTGTTGCTTCTTCTCACATATTTCTTTGCCTTCACTCGGGCTATGGCACAGAGGAAGACATACCGCCCCGAGGCTCCGAGATCTCCGAAGTGCCGAGAGGCTCCGAAAAGTGAAACGGTCTAACTACGTCATACATTCCAGTCGGGAGCCGGCTCAAGAGAAATCAATTTCTTGGGAGAGATCAAACATGGGCACTTCTGCTGTCAGCAAGATGAATGCACAACAAGCGACTGACTTACCATTCATGATTGAATCGAGATAGGACATGGGCGAGAAGTCCTGCCCCAAGACATCAGGAAAGCCGTTGGGGATCCTGCACCATTGTTAGCATTCCGTCAACCCCACAAGTGGGTATGGTTCAGTGGATCACATACCCAAATGCGGGCATGAAGGTCTCGGCCTGCTCCGGATTATTCGGTGGCCCGACGTCGCCCTCTTCCTTCTCCCGCTCCAGTGCCGTCCGCACCGCGTTTCGCAAGGTAATCAGAGCCCGAATGTGTCTCTCCGACAGCCATTGCCCGTTCTCCGAGCCCGGTCTCTCCACCGAGCCCACGGAACCGGCGGCAGAAAAGACCTCAATCACCTTCTGCTGCAAGTCACGACACTCAGCATCGTTGCGCGTCTCCTCCCAAATGCAGAGCAGTAGAGTCGAGCTAATCACCGTATGCACCATGGACCACGTCCGCAGGGGCACCACGCTGAGAGCCTGAAACTCGAGGAAAGTGTTCGACGCGTCGATCAGACTGCACTTGGCGCGCATCCGCAGCATGTCCTGGGCCGAATCCCGGATTCCAGATCGCTTTAGTGCAGGCCGGGTCACGACTGAGACTGCGAAAGCAATGTGCATCTTCAATGCCAAGTGCTCCAGATTGTGTTGCAGCGTTTTGCATTCTTGCAGGATCTTTAGGTGAGGTTGCGCCCGTTGGCAAACACTATCCACCGTGGCCAATATGTCCAGTAACCGAGAAGGCTGCTGCATCTCCATCTCACTAGCCGTCAGTATATCCAAAGCGATCCGACAAAGAAAATGCATCATATCCATGTAGTTCAATTCCCTTCCCAAGAAAGCGGAATCGTCGAGGGACCAGCCGGTCACAGTGACAATTGGAGGCCGATCGTAGCAAAGACATAAGAGGCTGTCCTGCCACACAACTGTGAACCTGTAGTAGGTTAGCTCTCAATCTGTGAGCATTCCGATGTGCCTCACCATAATCTTCTCGCTTTGGACTTGACATGATCGGGCAAATGGGCGACGCTCTTTTCGGTATGAAGTCCAATGGTCTGAGCTAGACGCACTGTGCTGCCAAGTAACGCCCAAGCTGAATCTGATTGACCAGTATTCTGCAGTGTGTTTCCGAGTATGAGCAGAGACTGGATAATGTCGAACGTTGGTCGGAAGAGAAAGTTCGCTAGACGTAAAGCTTGGAAGGAGCGCCTTGCTTCAAGAAGTTAGCATACATCATAACAGATAATTGAAGATGTGCGTAAGATGTGCATACCAAAGTCGAGACACAGCTCCGAGCGCTGTATATGCTCCAGGTCGGAGTAGTGTGCTCCAGCGGCCAGGGTAGCGAGGAGCAGGCTGATATGAGCAACCGACTTCTCGCTAGCCCAGCGGTCGGAAATGCGAGAGGGATCTTGCAGCTCTCCACTGGCCAATGCATTCAGATATGAGCAGAGATCCAGCTCGAACCGCTCAATATCTACAAGGATAGGATTAAATGGATACGCCGATAGGCGATAGAAGTGAAAGAACCTGTACACGGTCAGAGAGAGTGACAACTTGAGACTTTTGAATGCTTACTTCAGAACCTCGGCGCGCTGGGGGAGGATGCGAAGCAGTTCTCTCCATCGATCACCGGGGGTTCTGAACTCCATGAACGGATAACTATGATAGGTATTTTGGAGACCGAGAACCGAGCCGACCTCACGAGCCATTGAGCCGTTGGCGTCATGTGTACGATTACGCAGGATCGAGACCACTGAATTATCACCAGAGTACACAAATTCACTTTCAGGGCCATCAGGCGGATAGTTCCGAGATGGGTCGAGCTGTTGCAGATGTGAGAAGGGGGGCAGAACTGTCTGGCTTGGAGCAGGTGGCTGTGCCAGTGGCTGTAACGGGTACCCCAGATTCGATGCATCCTGTGATGCGGGGAGTGGGTTGGGGTCCCGAGAGGCAGTAGCTGAGGCAGTAGCTGAGGCAGTAGCTGAAGTTCGTCGACTTGCCCTCCGAGCGCTGCCATGTTTCGGTGGACTCGGATCATATACACAAATCTCGGGATGGCCGCGTCGGCGACAGGTTCGGCATGGCTGGGAGTTGTCACATTTAACCTTGCGTTGGCGACACGGGTAGCATGCTCGGGCCTCGCGCTGAGTGCGCCTCAACTGCAGGACGCGGTCAATCTCTTGGCGATCTATAGGCGCTGACATTGTTTCTTGCGAGATGCTGACAGGTAAAATGACATCTCTTGGCATAAAATACTGGATGGATGACTGTGTATGATCCTTTCGCTGAAAGAGTGAGAGTGGTTGGTTGAGACGCGGCCATCCTCCGCCGACCAGCCACGGGACGCCCGGAAGCTCGGATCCGGCTGAGTCAGCTATTTTCTCAGCAACTACACTTAAGTAGGACTAAGAAAAGTTTAGATACAGCACAGAAGTCTTGATGCAGTGAGGCATAGACACTGAATGGGTTTTACAGAAAAAGTATGGCTTTGATAGTGGCTGATTTTCTGTAAGGCTAACAGCAGTTCAAGGCACGCTAATTGTCGATCTCACCAGACTGCCTCAGCATGGATATACAGGCCGAGCCGCGGGAGCTGCGCTACGTGGGTGGCCGGCAGGCATAGCAACGAAAGAAGGGCACAGAGACTTTACACCCAGACTTGAAAGATTCAGGCTAATGTAGATCCAGTACTTCGATCACTATGCTGTTTTGCGTCTTTTCTTGCCTGTTCAAGAATGAATACATACTACAGATTGTCAAACAAAACTTTTAAGGGGTAAATTGTGAGGCAGCAAGTGCTCTTTTCTCGGTTCTCGGCAGCCGGTCTCGGAGCCTCGGGCTGTGCAACAGCGGGGGCAATCCATTCCACTCATCACTACTCATATTATGCGGTAGAGGCATAAATGAACAATACTTATGCATCTTCTTTGATAACATGACAGCTAGTGCTGGCACTTATCGAAGTAGTTTATGCAATCTTGCAGCTATTCATGGGTTTTGCGAAATCAGAACTTAGCTACACTTAGAGTCTTCTTATGATCGATGCCTTAGGTATACAGGCTTTATTCTCTAGGCGAGGCTGCAAGAATACTACAATATACCTACGTACCAAAATTATAGGTATTTGGTTCAGTAGTTCTAGACAACATAATTTCTCTACCACGAGTCTACCCACACTAAATAATTGTATACTAAGCTTGCCCCTGGCCTTCCCAGCAACATACAGGAGTATTTCCTCTTACATATAGGGCTTTAAAAAGCACTGTAGACAGCAAAATGTTTGCTTCGAGTGATCTGGTGAGCGTGCAGGGCATATATTGACTAAGATACTACCATCATTACTCGCGGACTATTCACTTACTAACCTTGATAGCACACCTTGAATATAGAGAGCCCACGATCACAGTAAGAGCACATGAATATCGTAGCAGACGATGTGAATCCTAAGTTCGTCACAACCTACCCTCATCTCGCCGAGTTAGCTATCAGTCGGTCACAACTCAAACTCAGCGCAACATCAACTCCCACACGACAACACCACCACAAACCAGCCACGACGAGCGAAACTCCTCTCCTTCCAGATGTGTCATACTTACATAAAACATCACTACCAACCAGATACTTCCTGAACCCCCTGTTCAGTGATATCATTCTCATATGCGACGGGCAGTACTTCCCCGCGCATCGTCCGATCATCTGTCTCCAGTCGCGGTACTTTGCTCGGACCATCGATCAATCATTATCCTATCCTGAGGTAAATCCACTGCTTCCAACCTTACTCAATACAAACTTCTAACGGTAGCCGCGAGGACCACAGATGAACAGGACGAGACCCATCCTCCTCCGACACACCCCGCCCTACCTGTTGATCAGAGTCCTCGAGTTCCTGTATAAGGGCGACTATACCGTCAGTAGTGCCACGATCTTAAGCGCAATCGATAGCGGCCTGCTTCACGAGAACACCGCCGTGACACGTACCCCCAACGCCAATATCGCCAACGCAGTTGACCGCGACAGGCTGGCAATCCGCTACGCCGCGTGCTTTCACGCGAGAGTGTACGCGCAAGCGGAATACCTTGTGATCGAGAGTCTCCATGCCCTCGCGGCGGACCGCTTCTCGACCGCGCTGTGGTAGCTGCGTCAGGACGAGGACGGGTTCGCGGCGGCGATGGCGGAGATCTACGACCGCCGCGCCTGGAACTATGTGCGTCTGCACCAGCGCGTCGTGCCTGAGATCCTGCATAGTCAGACCATCTACCGCGCGGGCCCTGGGTTTCGAGGCAGGGCCTTGACGCCGCAGTTGCTGGAGCAAGTGCCGTGTCTGGGGCGCGATTTGGCGTTTGTTGCGATGGATGAGGTGGATCGGCTGCGGCGTCGGTTGGCTTCAGCGGAGCAGGCGCTGAGTTCAGTGGTTAATCGTGCGGAAGCTCATGCGCGGGGGACAGGAGGCTGGATCTTTGGATATGTGACTAAGCAATTGGGTGTAATTGCGACTGCTTTGCACGATTGCATAACGCGTGGCTTGTAGGATTACAATGGTTGATCCCCCTTCCAGGGTTCCACATCTTGTTTGCATTCCTCATGTATCTAGCAATGAATAGGTGTAGATAGAGGAATAGCGGATTGTAAAATGGTTGTATGTTTCTGTTAGGGTGTGAATTTCTAGAGCATAGCACGCTACTTACAGCAGTGCACACACACATGTACGCACATCAACCTTCATTGGCCAAGGCTCCCTCGCTCAAGTGTTTGAACGTATTCACCTCCTCTTTCTCAATCTCCATGCTCTTCTTCTTCCATTGATCATTACCCGAATACCAATCCAGATACCAAGTCAAATCGTGCTCGCCAGAGGGAAACTCCACGTCCACAAACCCGGAACCAAGATACCCGAACCGATTGCCGCTCCAATATGCAACATCATAGTCACTCAATGTGGGCGTCCGCAACAGCTCAAAGAATGCCAGACGCGAACCGGGCCACACTATCACCGGCCCATCTTTCCTGCCTTGCTTGAACCAGCTCGAGCACGGATCCGCCCAGCAGGTCCGAGGGAGGTAAGTCCGAGCATGCTCGACAAAGTCTTCCACCGCGGTGGGCTTGGGACTCAGGCGACGGATATGTTGCTTGCGCATACGTTGAATTGCCTGGATGAAATAGTGTGTTATATGCGAGAGGATCGGGAGGATGGAGCCGTGGCCAACTGGAGCGAAAGGGCCGGAATAGGTGAAGTAATTCGGAAATCCGTCGACAGCGACGGCAAGGTAGCTTGTTAACGTGTCAGACCACTTATCTGCTAGACTAACCCCGTCTAGACCGATAAGCGGAAAGCGAGGCTGGTAGGAGGTGTTGAAGCCAGTCGCACAGATGATCACATCTACCTCATGCTCGGTATCTGTAGCGGAGTCGATGAGGCCGCGCGGAGTAATCTCTTTGATTGCTGAGGTGAACACGGTTGTCTTTTCAGAAGCTATAGCTTCGAGAAAGCCATTGCCCGGTGTAGGTCGCCGGCAGGCAACGTTGAAATCGGTGGGGATGATGGCATCGCGGACATGAGGTTTGGATTGAAGCTTAGTGTTCATTTCGCTGTATGCGTACTATAGAGGGTGAGTATCCGGACAAGCGTTTGCAAGAGAGTACTTACTGCATTAGCAGCGTCGGACTCTGCCGTATCGCGCAAAGCGAGCTTGATGCGCTGATTCAACTCGTTCTCTACAGCTTTCTTGTACCGATGATACTTCTCCGGGTCGAGCCTGAAATCTTCCTTTTGCTCAGAAGAGTCTATTACCTGTTAGAACCAAGAGTCTCACAGATTGGACAGACAGCTTACAGTCAAAATTGCGGCCGCCCTTCCCAGCAAAGCTTTGTCCAAAAGCCGCTGTGATCCACACAGGGCTTCTTACCCAGGTGTATAGCTGAGATACGTCATCTTGGATGCTAGCCACGACCTGCACACCTGAGCTACCCGACCCGATGACGGCCACCTTCTGATCCTTCAGGCTCAATCCCTCGGGGTATGCAGCTGTATGGAAAAGCTTGCCTTGGAATGAGTGTAGTCCGGAGATATCTGGCCACTTCCACGCACTAAAGACGTCAGTTCTCTCGCACAGGGTTTGCATAGCCAGGAGCATACTTGAGGAAACCACATCCATTGATGAACATATCACACTCTTCCTCCCACTCCTCCGCATGTCCATCATGGTCAGTCCGCCGCAATTTGATCAGCCACTTGCTTCGACTTTCATTCCACACAGCCGATGTCACCGCCGTTTTCAAGCGAATATACCGCATCATCCCCTCTTCCTCCACAATCTGTTTCATGTACCCCCATATCTCCTTGGCACCGGAATAGTAACTCGTCCACCCTGGGTTACTCTTCCAAGGAAACGTATACGCCACACTGGGAATGTCACACGCACACCCGGGATATCGATTCTCGTACCATGTGCCCCCCACATCGGCATTCTTATCGTAACAAATAACCTCAACGCCCAGGGTCTCAAGGGCGGCGGGTGCATGGTGCAAGAAGTCTATTCCCGCCGCCCCTGCTCCTAGGATAATGATTTTGAAGGATTTGTGGTCTGGTGGCGGTTCGTTGATCAAATGGTTGGAAACGACATAGCCACGGTCGGATGGGATGTCCCATTCTGGATGGTGAACGGGGCGGGTGGAGGATGAGGGGTGCGGTCCCGCACTGTTGCTCCCTAGGCGAGGAACTGAGTCCGGTATGCCGTAACTCTGGAAGACGGGGTTGGGTGGGTCGATGAAGCCCATCTTGGTTCTCGGCTGACTATTCTGAAGTATAGAACTTATACACGCTGGCTGAGATCTGCTTGTATGCGTGGCCTGGAGGTCTCAGGTCAACAGGAATGCCATCGAGATAAGAGAGGGGTTTATCATTATGCGCCCGGGACCCGTGGACATTGTTGACATGCTTCAGGCTAATAATATTGCAGGCTTATCTGAGTACGTAATAAGAACCGTGACACAGCACCTGCATGCCGTTAATTGACCCCGGTCATATCGAGAGGTGCAGCGAGTAGGAGCTTTTTCTCCCCATGGGGGCACTTAACAATAGAGCGTATGCTGACGAGAGATTGGTAACTTTGAGGGGAAATGAGGGGAAGGCCCAGGACTCGGTCGGCCCGTTGCGGTAACGATAACGGTACGCCGCAGGCGGTGGGTGCAGTAAAAAGACTATCACCAGCCAATACAGCTAGCGATAGCTAACGAATGAGGTGCTTGGGGGCTTGGATTTCGCCGTATCTGTTAGCCAGCTGTGACTTGAACTCAGTATATGATAAACTTCCCCTTCCTCTTAATCGAGCATCCTCGTCGAGACCACAACCTATCCCCATTTACTTTGAAACAGAGACACGCAACAATGGCAAAAACGCTGGATATCCCACAGTCCAATCACACAGTGCGAGTGAAGATGGTGGACACAACCACTATGATGAGCATTCGCACAGAAACTCTCATCCAGCCCGTACAATCAGGCCATGAATTTCTCAATATGACAGACGTCGCATTCCTTATCGAGAGCGAAGCGCTGAACAAGAAAGTCATGTTTGATCTTGGCACACGGAAAGATTACTGGAATCTTCCCACGGTTGCGAAAAGCGGAATTACCAGGATCATACCCGCGCTCAAGGTAGAGAAGGATGTCGGCGAGATTCTGACTGAAAGTGGAATTACATTGGAAGGAATCAGTAAGTTTGAGGCTTTGCTCCAATGCATCAAAGATGAGACCTAATACGGCAACAGCATCCATCATTTGGTCGCATTACCATTGGGATCACGTCGGGGACGTATCCAAGTTTCCGGCATCAACAGCATTGATTGTGGGCCCTGGATTCTTGAAAGATCCAAGTCTACTCCCGGGCTACCCTGAGAACCTCAACTCACCGGTCCCAGCAGATGCATTTCAGGGTCGTGAGGTAATAGAGCCTGACTTTCCACTGAATGTCGCCGGCTACCGCGCCCACGACTTCTTCGAGGACGGGTCTTTCTATCTTCTCGGTGCGTCAATTGATCTCTTCGTCCGAAACCGGAGTCTCATCTTTTGATTAGATACCCCCGGTCACTGTGTCGGTCATGTTTGTGGCCTCGCTCGCACAACCAAAGACACTTTTATTCTCCTCGGAGGCGATATCTGCCACTTTGCCGGAGCGATAAGACCCACCGCAGACGTCCCATTTCCCGCACACTTCTCTGCCGAGACCCTGGACAACGACCCCTTCTTCCCTGTCCCTTGTCCATGTAGTATTTTCGCTGATCGTCACCCAATCACAAAAACCAACCAAGATAAAACCCCCTTCCATGATGTATCTGCCTTGGACGCCAGCGTGTTCGATGACCCTGCGGTCGCACAGCAATCTGTGGAACAGTTACGCCGCATTGACGCTTCACCAAATGTGTTGATTTGCATCGCGCATGATCCGGAGCTTTTACGCCATCTCCCTACTCTAAACCGGTCGCCTGAGCTAGACTTGAACGCTTGGAAGGAGCAAGGGTGGAAGGAGAGGGTACGGTGGGGATGGGTAAATGAACTGCCTCGTGCGGCTCGGCCGGGGAGGCAAGCACTTGTTGAAGGATTTTGGCGGGAGGGCAAGATCTGGGAGGGTGCATTTGAGGAGCTATGCGCTGAGAAGCCTTGATGGACGTCTGTACTTAGCGTCCGGGGAAGCCATCGGTCACCATGACACTAGCCCACAGTTCACAGGTGATATTAGAAGAGCCATGACTAGCGGCTTGATATACCTGAGATGTAGGTTAGCAATGAACGTGGCAAGTATGAACCACACCGTATTGAACCAACCTTTTTTCCAAATATGGGATAGCATAAAAGTCTGAAGCGAACAAGTGAAAAAGAACGGCTATCAACTCATGAAGAAGGATTTTCCAGGTTCTGTGAGATAACCATGACCTGGATAGAGGTGGTCGTGTCGTGTCCATAGTCAACATTCATTCTTATCGATAAGCAGCAGCAGCTACGCTCCTTGACCGACCACAACCAACCACGGCCACAACTCGGAGGGTGGAAACTGGTTATGATCCTACCGCCTCCAAACGCAGAATAATTGAACAGCCGGCGAAAACTCGGTAAGAATACTGTTCATCCGCTGACCGCCCAAATCCGGCAGAAAGGAGTCGAACAGCGGGCGAAACTCGGGGATTGAGACTGTTCTTAATTGACCGCTTGGGCCGGCAGAATCCTGCTCGACAGCCGGGAAAAACTCTGACGGGAAACTGTTTATTTGATGATCGCCTCCGTCAGAATCTTGTTCAACAGTGGGCGGAACTCGGAGCTCAGGTCTGTTCAAGAACTTACCGCCTTCCTCCGACGGCACAATGATCCAGCTTCCAGCCCTGCTATCAATCTCTCTTTACAGATAAGGGAGCGCTTGCACTTAGCACTTTAATCTAACACTTATAAAGCAGCGAATATATCGGCGTGTGCGTGTAACGCCTCGCTTCAGCGAGGTCACATGATTTCAAACAGGACTACCAATATGTAAACACCACGAACTCGTGTAGATTTCTTCCTTCCTTACCAATTCCAAGAATCTCGAGGCATCAAACTTTCCTCTTTAAGCCAGTAAATCCATCAAGATTTCATCATTTCCTCTACAGAATACCCTTAGACTGTATATAAGTACTCGAGACTCAGGGCTTCGATAGCATGGCGTGCGACTTACGCGATTCAATGTCCTAGACGTTTTCGAGAAGAAAGGTTTCATTTGACAATATATCTTTTTGTCAATCCCCCGACATTGAATGGTACACAGGGTGTCAACAACATGAGTGTTTCGACTATTTTCATCTCTATCTTCACAAAATATGGCCAACAGATCTCCGTAAGCTACATGGAATCTCGTATGCCTGCCAGAGAAGGCTGAATAGTTGGATGCCTGTGGTTAATCCGTTCCGCAAGAGCAATGGAGTACTTCCTTCTGACCTCATTGGCCCGTGCCGAAAAAGTGCAAGATATTCTGCCGAACAGTGGAGCGGTCAGACAGGCGGTCAAAAATCAAAGTAATGCTATGTTGCGCCTTGCATAAGTCTTCAAGATTTGATTAAACAACTCTAATTGATCATCCTTAATCTTTGATCTCACTTGACACGCAAGTCCATAAGTATGCATGTCATGCAGCAGTCAGTTGGCTCCTATTCACTCAAGCAATGAACAGCTTCCATGAGCTCATCTTAAAGCGGAGCACGCCATCACCTCGCTCTAACCGAGCTCCACAATCAAGGGCGCGTTGGTCGCTGGACTCCTCCCGGATGGATCCTTCCCACTCTTCGCCCATTCAATCGAGAATGCTTTCCCCAGAAAATGGGTGGAGCTTGTCGCCCGGGTCTGGGCTCTGCCTGGGCCAAGCACTGCAAGGAACCATGATTTATTGGCTATCCATGGTGCAATCCGCCGCTAAAAAGAGCATAACCGCGTGTCGTCAAGGTGCCTCTAGCCGAACCAAAGGTTAATCTCGGTCGGCAAAGTCAAGCTCCCGCTATGGTGTCATTCCACGCTATCTTCTCGCCATCCCGACTCAATCAGTGCTTTGATATGGTATAACTGACATCAACCGCTACCTACCACCAACGCCAGCAACTGAGGCCGCAATCATGAGATACTCCGTCCTGGTGCTCGCCGCCCTCTTCGCTGGCTCCAAGGCCATCCAGGGCCAACAACAGCAGCCATTGCAGGAAGAGCATCCGATAACGAGCAAGCCACCCAACTTCCTTTTCATCCTGACCGATGACCAGGATCTCCAGCTAAACTCTCCGGCCTATATGCCACATACCCTCGCTTGGATCAAGGACCAAGGCGTTGAGTTCCAGAATCACTTTGTCACCACCGCCTTATGCTGTCCCTCGCGAGTCAGTCTCTGGACTGGTCGACAAGCACATAACACAAACGTCACGGATGTACATCCACCTTATGGTATGTTTGACACTGCAACGCCAAAATGGCAAAGATCTGAACTCTCCAGGGGGTTATCCGAAATTCGTGTCACAAGGCTTTAACGATAACTTCCTACCCGTCTGGTTGCAATCCGCTGGATACAATACCTTCTACACTGGCAAGCTCTTCAACGCACATAGTGTCGACACCTACAATGCACCCTTCGTGAACGGTTTCAATGGCTCTGACTTTCTGCTTGATCCTTATACCTACTCATACTGGAACTCCACTTATCAACGAAATCAGGAGCCACCGCGCAGCTATGAGGGCCACTATACCACCGATGTGATCACCGCCAAAGCTCTGGGATTCCTGGAAGACGCATTGCAGAGTGATTCGCCCTTCTTTCTCACAGTCGCCCCCATTGCACCGCATACCAATGTGGACGTGGAGGCACTTCAAGGAATTCCGGTCATGACGGAGCCGCTCCCAGCCCCGCGCCATGCGCATCTCTTTCCAGATGCGCAAGTGCCGAGAACACCTCACTTCAACCCTGCACAGGTACGTTTCAATATGACTTTGTGAGAAACAAGCTAACGATTGGAAAGCTGTCCGGTGCTAGCTGGGTTCGTAACCTCGAGTTGAAAAACCAAACCGTGATCGACTATGAAGATCACCTCTACCGCCAACGTCTTCGTGCCCTGCAGGGAGTTGACGAGCTCGTAGATCGTCTTCTGACTCGGTTAGCTGCCAGCGGCGAGTTCCAGAACACCTACATTATCTACAGTGCGGACAACGGCTACCATATTGGCCAGCATCGGCTGCCACCCGGGAAGACAACTGGGTATGAAGAGGACATCCGCGTTCCGTTCTACATCCGTGGGCCTGGCCTTCCCCGCGGTGTCAGTGTCGACCGTGTCACCACCCACATTGACATTGCGCCCACATTGTTTGAACTTGCCGGGATCCCTCTGCGGGCGGATTTTGACGGCACTCCAATGCCCGTGGCGCGGCAGACGAAGTCAATTGCGCATGAACATGTGACCGTGGAATACTGGGGAATAGCTGTTCTTGAAGGGGAATTCTCGCGGATTGGTGAGTTTAATTTTCTGTCGCAATATGGGTATTGGGTTGCTGACACGACTACATTAAGGTACTCATGGAACCCCCACTATGGCTAACAATACATACAAGTCCGCTCGGATCTTGTCCCCGGAATATAACTTGTACTACTCAGTATGGTGTAACAACGACCACGAGCTGTACGACCTCTCGGTAGGTGTAAACGCTGCCTAGCCTAATCTGATTTAGCTAACGGATGTCTAGGTGGATCCCTACCAGATGAACAACATCTACTCCCACAGCGGGGCCAGACTGCTCGGTCGTCCCCTGGCAACAGTGATCGACCGGATTGATGCACTCCTTCTCGTGCTCAAATCCTGCCAGGGTCCTACCTGCATTGAGCCGTGGAAGGTTCTGCATCCTTCGGGTGACGTGCGTAGTCTCAAAGAGGCGCTGGATGTCCAGTACGATAAATTCTATGCGGAGCAACCCAAGGTATCATACTCGGTGTGCGAGGATGGTTACTTGATTGAAGCTGAGGGCCCGCAGGCGGGATATCAGTATCGTGACGGGTTGAGCTGGGAGGCCTGGACTTGAGTCTGTACTTATGACCGTTATACGACAAAAAGCAGCGAGTAATGATTACATGTAAGGTTGAGAGTGGAGCAAGTTATCAATTTGTATTGTAGGCCATGAGCAGATAGCTAGTGACAATTTATGGGGCATATAAAAGTGGATTCGAAGGCACAGGATGGGATGGGAATATGATTACAGCTAACTTTGTATGTGTGGGCCTGGCCTGTTCCTGGCTTCCTGCTGTGGTTCGGCCCACGCCCACGTGCTAGGATTCTTTGTTACGGAACTTAATCGTAGCGCTCATAGCATTTGACTTGCCAGAAGGGCCAAGAAGAATCAAACCTCTCAGGAACCATCCTGTCGTTGATGATGCCATTCCGGGAGGCGGTTTGGCCATGAACGACCATACAGAATCGACCTCGAGAGGCGAGGAAACCTCGCTTAGAGTTCTCAAGATAGAGCTACATAATTAACATTGTACGATGACATGAGCAGTAGTTCTGTGATCAAGCCATGCAGGAAGGAAAAGACAAAAGCAAATCCACCGGGTGGATTGACATCAACCGCAGCGGCGATTGCGCCATCACGGCGGGCTCTCACTCCATCCCGCTGCTTCCTCCACCGCCGGTCAATCTTAGCGAGGCCGCGCCCGCAGCTTGCCCAGCACAAGTCAACTTCCATTCACTTCACCACCGTATAAATAACCCACTTGCTCCAGGCAATTATGCGTTCCAGCCAGATTAGATTTCTCGTGCAACTCGGCCGCTTTTCCTCTCGGCTTCCAATCGCTGAGTTTCCCAGCTGAGACTCCAAGGGAACCCGCCTATACTGTCAGCAGCCATGGCCACCTATTCCTACCCTGAGCAGGAATTCTCCGAAAAGAAGGTCATTGACAATGTCCTGAGCGACGAGTCCAGCAATGACAACGAGGAAGTGGCCGAGATCATCAAGAATTGGGACGACAAGGAAGAGGCCCGAGTCCGTCGGAAGTAGGTCCATCCTATTATTCCATACACTTTTGCAGGAGGTTTTCCTATGTCTAACATAAGACCTCCACCAGGATCGACCTCATTCTCTTACCGGTCCTCGGGCTCGCCTTCTTCGGTCTTCAGGTCGATCGTGGCAACATCAGCGCAGCCTTGACCTCCACCATCACGGAAGATCTGCACATCAACACCAACCAGATCAATGTCGGTACCCAGCTTCTGTCCGCGGGAATCGTCGTCAGCGAGATCCCTTCAAATATCATACTTCAGCGTGTGGGGCCTCAAGTCTGGTTATCGGCCCAGCTGGTTGCCTGGGGCTTGGTCGGTGTCTTTCAAACTTTCGTGAAGTCATACCCTGCCTTCTTGGTTACTAGATTGCTGCTGGGCTTGCTGGAGGGCGGTTTCATTCCTGGTATGTTGAACTTCGGTGGGTTGATTTGATACAGTTGTCTAAAGGGTGTGTCGCACAGGTGCTCTCTACTATCTCTCCCAGTGGTACAAACGTGACGAGATCAGTTTCCGCACAACGCTCTTCTTCTACGGCCAGATGTTTGCAGGTGCTACATCGAGTCTCATCTCTGCCGGATTGTTGAAGCTCTCGGGAAGGTGTGGGCTCGCAGGATGGCAGTGGATCTTCTTGAGTATGTGCCCTGGACTTTACCCTTCATGACAATGGGCACCACTGACACCGATCCGCAACAGTTGAGGGTCTCATCACCATCGTCGCCGCTATCCTGTTCATCCTCTTCATCCCCAAGAAGGCCGGCGACGGTAGCCCGCTCGCCAGCATGGGCCGGTGGAGCTACTTCAACGCGCGCGAAAAGCAGATCATCCGCGACCGAGTTCTTCTCGACGACCCGCTCAAGGCCCGTGGCGACCGCATCAAAATCACTGGCCGCGACGTCTGGGACACCGTGCGCAAGCCCACCGTCATCCAGCACTTCATGATCACGCTCGTCTCGATGTCTGCCTTCCAGGGCTTGAACCAATACGCTCCCAGCATGATCAAGTCGTTCGGCTTCAGTGCCGTCCGCGCCAACGCTCTAGCCAGTGTCGCGGTATACGCGAGCATCGTCTGGCTGACCATTCTTGCTTGGCTCTCGTACGTTTGCTCCCTTTGCTACGGTGCTTCAGGAGTTGGTGCTAATGAGAACGCAGAGACAAAACCGGCAAGCGTGGCATCTTCGTCCTGCTGTGCATCACCTGGAACGTCATCTCCTACACCTGCCTCCGCACCATGCCCGATGACTCTTCCCGTTGGCACAAATACGCCGTTATCACAATTGCCAACCTTATCTACGCCAGCATGCAGTACGTTTTCCTTCTCGCCTCGTACATTACAGCCTGCTAATCCATGTTATAGTGTACTGAACATCGCCTGGCTCGGCTTTCACTGCAAAACCCCTCAAGAACGAAGTGTTTCCATGGCGTATGTTTCTTCGTTCCACAGATCCCAAAATCCGATTACTAACGAAGACAACAGGTTGATCGTCATGGCCGCCAACTGCGCCGGTATCTCGGGCTCGCAGATCTTCCGGACGTCGGACAAGCCACTCTATCGTCATGGATTGACTGCGATTGCCGCCTTGGCCGCGGCCTCTTGGGTTCAGACGTTGGTGTTGATTCTGTGGTATGCGTTCAAGCAGAAACGCGCCGGGGTTAAAGGGTCGGTCTGATGTTGGGCTTAATGATATGATAGATATTTTATGACTGAATAATGATTTGAACAGCGTCTTGTCAACGTTTGTTGTTTGGATACTTGTGTTCGTAGGGTGGTAAATCTGGGGTTCTGGGATGTCCTCTCTATTTTGAATCAATGTAGTCCGCGCTGTGATGATCCGTCATTACCACAGTTCTCGAGTCATGGGTTTCATGCCACTCATTGCTGGACCTCCTGCTGAATTCTGCGAGCAAAGATAGTATGCCGCTACACCAAGATCAAACGGTGGTATGCTCGCATATCGTTCCCACCCGAGTCCCACTGCCAATCTAAGCTTACTATGCCCTGGGTACGGAAGAGAAAATCGTAGCTAGAGACAAGGAGGTTACTCGGTTCTCAAATATCCGAATCAATCGTGACAAGCCATACGATTGATGGAAGTGACTGACTGTACGCTCGTCATGCTTGATTACCATCAAGATTTGCGATAGCTAGGTAAGCTGACCAGAGCACCCACACCCACCCGAATGGTCAAACACAAGCCCAAACCCGCCCAGGCTGCAGCCTCTATCTCCAGCACTAGCAATCACCATCCTACCACAGTACTAGCACAACCGCCACGTGCAACAGCCCCTTCTTCACCATCTCCGACGTCCGCGGCAAACCCGCTCCTGCCTGTGTGTTTGCTACCCAGCAGAGCACCCAGGGCACCAGCAGCAGCAGCGATAGCTGAATCTACTGCCGCCATCAGCTCAGATCCGGGCGCAATCGGAAGCACCCGCGGACACAGAAGCACCACAAACACAAGTAACCTATGAAAAGGGCCCCGAGTTGGCTTGATACTGTACCTTACTTATGCATCCTTTCATCGAAGCATACATACTACTACCCGCGTCTTGAATCACGTTGTGTGCTTGGCTTTAGATTGACTTCGACGATCACAGAGGGTCTATTTGATATTCACGTTCTGTATGGTCTTTCCCGTGCCAGCAAATTAGTCTTTCGGGTGATCGGGCCGTTGTCAAGCGTGAGAGTTAGTCCGGGTCGTCGGTTATGAGATTGGGTTTATCATGCGACTTGAATTGTGTCGCCTGGATGGGATTGAATCGCGCGCGCTACTTTGCACTTTTAGCTGATGTTTATGAGGGTGATGTTTATATTTGCTTTGACGGTGGGTGGGGATGTTGTTGAGAACTGGATGGAGCTTGAGGTTCGATGGTCGGGATCAGTTCTTCTATGGGTTGCAAGATCGCTTGAAACTACGGTAGTAGGCGAGGATCGTTGGGGAAGCGCGGTGTCGGTGGTGATGCGCTGAGATCTTCGAATGCTGGTGGTAGTCTACTGGGTTTGGAGTGGGCTTGTCGTTATGCTACGATGTTAAGCTTCTGTATTATAGGTATCGAGAAGTTCCTCTCGTCGCGATGTATTCGAGCCAAGAGCAGCTTGGGACGTCGCATAAGAAAGCGTAGAACATTGCTGTGGAGTTTGATCTTCATGCTTGCGCGGTTAGCAATCATCAATAACTATTCAAATTCTTCGATACAGCTTTAGCTACGTGATAGCCGAATAAGGTGCACGTTTTGACGAAGGCTTAGGTCTTTTTTTACTCGGTCTGCAAGATAGCCATGTTGCTTCTCATGATCTTCGAAGGTTTTGTGTTATGCTTTTTCGGCATGGCCTCGTCTCCTCGGTCGGGTCCTTATAGTAGACGAAGTGTCCTGCAAACAACCTACTAGAGTTTCTGGCTCCGAGCTCTGTGCTTAGACTCCATCGCAATTCTGTACGCGACTTCCTAAGGGACTAGACACGGTAGATATGTCTCAATTGCTTCGAGAACAGCTCAAGTAGGGCACGCAGCCTCGTAAAGTCGCCGGTTTGCTGTCCCGTTACAGCAGGCCATGGCTGAGGTTGTGTATAGTTAACTGTGTTGCCGATCGTGTGCCACGTCAGGTTTCAAGTTGCGCGTCGATATCGTCAGCTCGGCAAAGGAGCAAGGGAGCGCTAAGAGAACCGACTGCAACCGATTCCGGAAGAGAGATATCCGGTGTGTTCCATTGAGGATTGGTGTAGGAGACAACATGTTATGTTCCTGCTGATTTCTTCTCTCTTAAGTTTGTTTGCAAGGATGAAGGCAAAGCTATCATTCTATCTATCCGAGTCCGGGTTTCCATGTTCAGTTCTATCGGATCGCTAGCCGTGTCGATCTGATCAAGACCCTCACAGTAGACGTCACTTGTGGCCTGACCCATGTGAGGAACGTATAGTATGAATCGCCTTTCCTATTCATAAAGATATCTTATTTCCCAGGTTTATTCTATCTTTTACTCAGATGAGTACCATGTGTTCGATTCTGTATTGTCGATATGCGACTCCGGTATCGTACGAGGCACTTCGCATTCCAAACCATGGTGAGAGCTACTATCCAAGAGTAGCATCCCTGTTCGTCGTGGTGAGTTGGGGTTGTTTGGCAATTTGGGATAGCTTCATCTCTCGGAGAAGCCGACGATCTTTTCTACTTGTCCACCATTCCAATGCTGTGGGTAACATCAATTGATCGTATCGACAGTATGGTCAGCGCAATACTGCTAATACTCCACTAGTGTTAGAGCTTCTAGTTGTTTTGGAAGGTTCTAGCTAGTTGACCAATTTCTTTCGACGCTATTATCTGCCTCGGCGGTCTTGCCAGCCTCTGTGGTATTGTCTGCCGCGGCGGCATCGTCTACAAAAGTGGACGTTTGACGGAACTCACGGAACATCGAGAAAAGAATAGCTTCTATATGAAGCATCCAATGTTAGTAAACGGTGAAAACAGCACATGTTTCTCAAGAACGGGATACTTACTTGGCATAGTGTCGAGTACAATAACCTTAAAAGTTGGACGACTTTTTCGGCGTGCAAAAATATCTTTGAATCCACGAGTAGTCAAACTGCTACTGCTACAACTGCTGTACGGGGTTCCTCCATGTCTGGTGGATGGCCGATGCCACGCATCTTCCCGTACGTGGAGGCATAAACCTGGCGCTGCTCGGAGTCGAAAGAATAGCGTCGTAGGGTGCTCCAGCTGTGACATTATGTGCTGTTCCGGCACGACAAAAACGTTCCAGAACCAGGCGAACTCTTACACGGCCGCCAGCCCAGTGCCTTTGCTTCAAAGCCGGTCACAGGTTGTGAAATGTCCTGAGCCGCCGCATACGTATAAGGCCTTTCTCCTCTGGCGACAAAATAGAATTTGCTGGACATGAGTATAGAGAAATGAATGGTTTATCCTCAAGCTCTTCATCTTTGTTGAATCATTCCCCTAGCGTCACATTTGGCGCTGATTGCAAGTCTGTATTTCTCCCTTAGATGTCACAATTCAGTTCAGAGTTGTCTTGAAAACTGTCATTAAGCACGGACACTGAAGTACTCACAACCTCCATCGCACAGCACGTGTGATCCTCGGTAGACAAGGAAGAAAAACTGTTCGTGTGCGTAGAACAGGAATGTGTTGCCATTTGGGATTCGTGCTTGGCGTGTGTCGCCTTGACGATCAAGATCAGCCTGGTTTTGCTTTTCCTGACCGCTGTAGACAGCTCGCTTACAGCAAGAAGTGCCCACGCGTCCATGAGTCGCGTGCCTTTAACTGGTCACAGTCTTCCCTTTTGTGGTATAGGTTTAATTGCCGTAGGCTGTTGGTTTTGCGACTTTCGTCATGTGTTTATCGTTTCCTTTCCAGGCTGTTTGTGACCTTAGAGCTTGTAAAGCCTGGCCGCAAGTCGACGTGTTGTTCAGGCAGTCTTGTGATATGATTGCATAGACGCTGCACCTTGGGCAGATGTTTGCTGACGCCCAGAAGTCGCCTCAGAATGAATTTGAGAAACCTTCAATCACCACTCTGATTCAGAGTTGTCTTGAAGGCTGTCGTTCATGGCCGGCACCGAAGCTGAAGCCGTCACAAGCTCCAGTTTCCCTTCTTTCTCGTTGTCCCGGACGATTAGTCTCAATGGAGTTTTGTAACTATCCTCTTTGTGCTTGGGGAAGCTGAGCCGCGCGCGCATTCTTGCGTAGACGGCGCATCTTGAGCAGATGTCTGCTAATGCCTAGAGTTCGTTGCTCTGATGCATAGTTGACTTGGAAATTATCATTCCTGTCCGGCACGGAAGCTGAAGCTGTCACGAGCTCCAGCTTTCATCTTTCTTGTTGTCCTGAAAGCTTGGTCTTGATGCAGTTCTTGGTACTATCCTCTTTGTGCTGGAGGACCTTTCACCGTGCGTGCATTCTTGCGTAGACGGCGGATTTTGAGTAGATGCTCGATGGCGGCTTGAATTCGACTTCGAATATATCCCAGAATTTTTCACTCACCGGCCAGTTGAGCCAGTGTCGTCGCCTTTTCTTAGCCGCCTCCGCCAGCAAAGGAAATCAAGAACCGATTGTGAGCATCGAAAATGGAAGTTACTTCAGCCGGGATTCTTGTTTGTTGTAGGATACCCTGGTGATCAAAGTCTGGGGGGGTATCTGTCTTGTTGTAATGCAATAGACAATTCACATATGACTAGAATTGTGGACGCATTACTCAACCAAGTGCTTCCTGGGGACACTTTCTCGCTGCTCTTGTGAATAGCAAAGGCTTGGTTACCGAGTACGACTTGCCTTTAGATAACTTTGCCTTTGTTTGACACCTCGAGGTCATCGCAAAAGTCTTTCGCATCGAGTGCGGCGTGGATAAATTCAAGCCACGATGCCTCTAGATATCTTCTGATATCGTGTTTCTCAGCGATTACTTGATGTTGGAGGTCAACTAGACCCGGTTCGTCTCTGTTAGATATGTGGAACGATCACAACAGCAAAGCTTTGCAAGCAGAATGGAAGGCTACATAAGGTGCTCAGCGGTTGTGACACCAACACATCCAAGAAACGACGTGGAAGCAATAAGGGTGTGGGAGCTGTGGGCTGGGGAAGGATAGAAAGAAGAGAGTTTGGAGGAAGAAGTGTGGAAGAAGGAGGATAGGTTAAAGAACAGGAAGCTCGCTTAGGAGGAGTGGATGAACCAAAAAGTCCTGATCTAGGACCAAATGTTAATAAAACCAAGTGTGAGTGAAGGACTAAGAAACCAATCAAGATGTGACAGAGATGAATGATATGGAGGAATCCTGAGCAAAGACCCATTAAATTGATAATGAGGAGAGGTAGGTGATTCACTCACAGTAATGTTCCCGCATAATAAGCTCAGTCATACTGAGTGTATAGATGAGACATCATGATGGCATTCAGGGTGGTTGTGAAGTGAGATGTGCATGAGAGCTGAGTAAGAAGGGCACGTCTTAAGCACGTGTTTACAACCACAGTAACAATCCTATATATCGGCTATCTCCCCGCACCACGTGGTCAGGTAGATGCTCGGAGAAACAATAGAGCTAGGAGCGCTAGTAGAAGGATATTCAGTACGAAAGCAGCCTATGCCGCGGTCGGTCTTTTGGGGAGGGTAGTCGGGCAGTCAATCGGCGGGTCATTATCTGATGTCTGTCGTCAGGTTCTGAACTTTTGCAGGTGAAGCACGGCTGTTGTGGTGCTGTTCCTAGGCGAACATTAAAATATGGATGGTCTTGTTTGTAGGCAGACATCTGAACGCAGATGGTGGGACGCTGGCACATATGGGGGATTATGGGTAGCAACGGCATGGCTTCGCGGCGGGTACTGTACCTGGGGCAAAAAGGGTTCAAGCCAAAATATTGTTCAAGGATGCACGGTGGTGGAATGACTTGTGGAGGGAAAAGTAGATGCAAAAAGAAGACTCGATTGCATCATCCGTGAATCGAACACGGGCCTCATCGATGGCAACGATGAATTCTACCACTAGACCAATGATGCTGTTTGATGTAATCTTGGCGTAATTTATAGCTCATGAAGTTTGAGAAGCATTTCACTCCCCAAATCGGGAACAGTTGGTATTGCTGTAGATTGCTCATAATCGATACTTTCGACACTGTTTCATAGCAATTGCATAGTCCGCGCGCTTTAAGCAAAGTATCATCGTCAGTTATCCGTCGATTCTACCACCCTGATCCTATCAAGCATCCACAATGTGTAACCAGACGGGCGGCCAAATTGACCCCTCATCTCGGAACCTCGGCGAGCTCGGGACACGGCCCGCCTGGTCGTTACTTCCCCCACCTCCAGCGGTTATCGGCACGGGGGGTGTCGATCACATCCCCAAGGTGCGGATTCGCAGGACGTGATATAAGAAAGGCACCTGTCAAAATTGCTCCCGGTATTCTGTCTTGTTATTCAAACCTCCAATCAGTATCATTGTCCAAATACAGAACACGTTATACTAAAATGTACTACGAACCCGGCGTGACCGAGCATAACCTCCCGCATGACCCCTTCAAGGTACAGTATACGCCAACCCACAACCATCCCCATACCTAGACTCCTCAAACGAACAGAAACACAGGCATGTGTAATCCCCCGCCCGATCGGCTGGATCTCCACGCAATCTCCGGACGGGCAAACCAGCAACCTGGCGCCGTACTCGCAATTCAACAACCTGACCTTCGACCCGCCGTACGTGATGTTCTCGTCCAACCAGACAGCCGCCGAAACCCGCAAGGACACAGTCGTCAACGCCGAGGCCACGGGCTCGTTCGTGTGGAACCTGGCCACCTACGACCTCCGCGAGGCCGTCAACATCTCCGCCGAGCAGTTCCCGTACGGGGTGGATGAGTTCGAGAAGGCCGGCGTCACCAAGGAGCCCGCTACGCTGGTCAACGTGCCCATGGTCCGGGAGAGTCCGGTGAAGTTTGAGTGCAGGTACCACTCTACCATCCGGTTACCGGGGAACCCGCCGATGGGGACGGTCGATGTGGTGATTGGACGGGTGGTGGCGGTACATATCAAGGACGAGGTGCTCACGGACGGGATCCTGGATGTCAGGAAGACGAGGCCGATTGCCCGCTGCGGGTATTATCAGTATACGGTCATTGAGAATACCTTCGATATGGTGATTCCAGGGATGTCGGAGGATGTGCTGTATGGGTTGGAGGGAAATGCGAAGAGGAACCGTCTGAGGAATGAGAAAGGGGGCAATAGAGAAGAGGAGTAGATTGGTAGAGTTCATCCTTCTGAGTATCTAGATCTAAGACATTGCTTGTTGGAGGTCAGCTTTTGCACCTTTTGTTAAATGAATAGTTCAGCCTGGTGGAACAGGATAGGTACCTTGATATTGCATGTTCATCAGACGACCACACAAATCAAACTTTGGCAGTCCATTTCCACCGCCACTCTAGTAGTGCCCACCTCGAGCATACCACATTGATCAGCCCGAATACCAACACCGCCGAATAAAAACCAACTAATGCTTGCGGCGATGTTGCCTCCAGTAGCTGCCCGCCTACTGGAACAGTCAATAATGTTCCAAATGCTGCAACGCTGTACACCGTTCCATAAAATCGACCGTACTCCTCGGTCCGACACAACTGGCCTGCACACACCGGAGCCAGCGAGATCCAGCCGCCCGATTCAAACCCAAACACGGCGACGACTGCATACAACGTCGCTTCGCTTCGCGATCCGAACGGCACCCACACGGCCGTCATGACCACCAGCGTGAGGATCATCATCGCTAACAGAATGTTGAATCTTCCCAGAAAGTCCGCTGCTAACCCGGGGAGCACCCGACCCAGTAAACTCATGCTGTTCAGGACTGTCAGTGTGTAAAATTGCTGTTGGGACGAGAAACCTGCATAGCGTGCATAGGTTGGAAGCAACGCTGCGCATCCGAAGATAATAAACTCAAAACTGAACACTGCAAGGGCCAGAAAACAGAGACGCGGTGACCGGAACGCGCGAAAGTTGATAGTGGCGCGAGTGGGGGTGCCATTGTCGGGCAGCTGCCTGCCTCTGACAAGGATGATTGCCAAAGTATAACAGCCGAGGGCAATGAAGGCGACAATGCGCAGAGACCATGCCCAGCCATATTTCTGGAGAGTGCTGCGGAGCACGATCGGGAGGACCGCACCACCGGCGGACGAGCCGCCCATACAGATTCCCGTGACCAGGGCACGGCGACGTTCAAACCAGTGACTCAGCACGCTAATGGCGACAGTAGTGAGAATGGCCGAAGACATGCCGCCCAGAACGCTCAGGGCGAGCATAAAATGCCAGTATTTCGCACATTGGGCAACGAGGAGGTAGGAAGTGACGCTGCCAAGAGAGCCCACGGCGAGGAGAAGGCGAGGGCCATAGCGGTCGAAAACGGGGCCGACTTGAACGCCTAAGAAGAGCGTCAGGAAGACGAGGAGCGCGCTGATCCAGCCGATGTCCTCCACGCTGTAGCCGGATAACTGGTGGGTGGTAATATAGTCTTGCACCGTGCCGACTGGGGGTCCGATGAGAATCGATACGTGACGCTAAAGCTCAAGATAGGAGTAGCATACCAGCAGTTTGAAAGCCGAAGGATGGGAACATAATAAAGACAGAACCCACCAGACAGCTCCATGCATCACAGCCGCCTTCGGGATACGTCAGGCTGATGGCTCCTGTGGCGACATCTTCAGAGGTATCGGATTCACGGTTGACGTCACAACGTTCAATGTCTCGATGCATCGTTGCCCAAGGAAGGAAGCCCCAAAAGATGTGTGCGAGCAGACTTGTTGAAGTTGTAGTCGAAGGGAAATGGACAGAGCTGATTCAGGACGTCGACTTAAGGGCATGTGAACACTGATATCGGAAGAACTGGGTAACCGCGGTCATTGCTGCATGTTGACGCTGATTCATAGGTATGTAAAATGCTCTTCTAGACCAAGATTGTGTCTGGATATGTTCCCTGATTTTAGCTGACTATACCAACATCGGTAAGAAGGGCTGTCAAGTTCCTCTCGGCTTCTATGCCCGCCATGAAATGTACGTACGTAAATCTGGCTTAGGCCTGGAACTGCGAATCAGTGACGACCTGACCTGTCATAACAGCCCTCCGGCCAAAAAAGACCAATAGTGGTTGGCTAAACCTTGATTTTGTCCAGGCGTCACAAAACAGGGCACGGTTAGGGGCGAAAAACAAGTCATTAGATAGGATACGCCCCATGGTGGCTATTTTAAGCCTATCACTAAGCATTGGGCGGCCGGCATGAAGCTTTTGTCAGACTTACTATACTCCCAACGCTGTCTTGGCTTCTGGACATGTGCCTGTCGACTGAAACTTGTGTGTCTCAAACTAACAGGCTCTATTCTGCCTCCGCTAGAGCTGGCACCAGAGGATCAAAATCTCTTGCCAGGTCGAAAGGAGCACCAAAAATACCGATGTCAAAAGCCCCGTCGCTACTGGGGACAAAACAGTTGGTCAGGTTTAGGTGCGCGAACGTGGCGATCCCGCTGTAAGGGGGGCTAAAATCGTTCTCGAGATGCACCTCTTTCTAAGCTTCAGTCAGGGACTTATTAAGTCAGGGACTGCAACATGAATAAGGATGGTGTGTAGAGTATGGACCTGGTTACTTCAGTTCATCCTTATCTACGCCAGTATTTCCGCTTCGGGATGCACTGCCGCTAACTCATTGCCCCAGCAGCGTAGCTTGAACAGCGAACCGCCTATGCTCCGAGGCAAATGAATCAACCTGGCACTACCCATCCTTTCACAACATCGGTAGAATAACCCCGACATGACAATATGTCGGCGATTTTACTGCCACGGAATATCGCAATTAGGGATATAGCACCATTCATGAACTGCAAGAATTCAAAGCGCAAGATATGCTCAACTCATACTCCCTTATCATTGCGTATAGTCGACATAACAAAAAGACGTTAAGGCCAGTGTGACCGTGCCCGATGTCGCTGCTCTCGCTGCAAACATCACGACCTCCCCTGTATCCCGCCTGCTACTACTCGATGGCGCGTCGAAAGCATAGATTCAACGAGTCAGTGTATCTAGAAATTCGGGTTGCTAACTCCCATCCTAGAAGGGCCTCCTGCAGTAGTATTGGGCCATCTATATCAACTGAGGCATTAGAATCTATTGCGAAGGACCAAGCTGCTGAGCGTCCTACAACTCCAGCACCGATTGAGGCGGATTTCAAACTCTTTCTAGGCTTGGAGACTGGTCCTTCGTTTTCGCAACTCGTGACCTAGTCCGGAACGCTTATATCTCATCTGATGAGCTCGATGATTTGGTCCTGTGCCCTTCGTCTTCGTCGCCTTCACACACTTTAACAAAAGACTCACAATTCAAAGACCCAGTAATTTGATCAGTACCACTGGTAGCAGCGACGTCGTACCTGTGGCAAGAATTTGTTAATATCATCGCACCAAGCATCGCCATTAACAACCAAACCCTTTACAACAAATTCACCAAGTACATCTGCTTCACGGCTACGGGCAAGCCAGCTCTCTTCTCTGCCTTCGTATTCCTAGCGTATTACTTCCGAATTAAATGGACGTCTCAGAAGTCACGGTCGTCGTCCATAGATGTCACGAATTAGACAACCACTGCCCTCACAATGGAGCAGCAGGCAGCTGCTTGCATAGGTCACACGATCTCCCCACAAGAGAACATCGCATCTTCCAGCCATGAAGAGCCCGAGTCGCGCCTGCAGTGTCGGCTGAGCACGCTCTCTACGCTGATAACGCTATCATCGGCTTATATCGCGGCAGGCAACACGCACAGCCTACGCTGCTGTCTCGCGCGAGCCGCATGATTTCACCACAGAACTCGCCCTCAACAAATCCATTCTCTTTATCGTCCGCTGGTTAGGGTATATGCATATTGTGGCTTTACTAGATGAGATGGACTATTCCATCGATGCAACAAACTTCCACACCATCGCTGCCAGACAAGAGCATGGTGGTAGCAACGATAGTAATGCGCTTTTATTTCATGATGTTGACCCCTTTTTTGGTATATCACAGTGTGTAGCCGACCTTCTCTATCGGCTAAGACAGGTGCTGCGCCATAGCACCACGGAAGATAGACCGGGCGGTTTGCGCTCAGCGATACAGGACGTGAAAACGAGGATGCAAGTCCTGATCCGACGACTAAAGCACTATAACAAGAAAAGTCACGAGGAGCTTCCGCCTCATCTGAATATCTACAACGAAGCTTGGGTGTATAGTGATTTAGTGCTGTTCCTGGTTAACTTGCCAGCGCGAGGCCCCCGATTCGGCTATTGTGCAGTCCGCTGTAGCTCAAGTGCTTAACGCGTGTGCTTCTATCCCAGCCCATGCATCCGTGGCCAGGTTCATGCTATTCGCGTTGTTTGTTGCGGGATCTCACAGCAGCAGACCTCTCCATCATGGTTTTATTCGGTTTCGGTTAGATGCCTTAAGGAGCGGGGTGTGCATTGCAAACGTTGCTCGCTTGTTGAAGATCCTCGAGGAACGCTGGCGGGGACAGAAGCAAAGTAAAGACGGTCGGTTCGTTGACTCAGTGAAATACACCCCTGCATCAGTCTGTGTACTGTCTTAAGTAGTATAGCTGCAAGCCGAGAAGGGAACCTTTGTTTACTTGACCCTCTAAATTGGCACGGGAATGATCTTCTAGAACGTCATATCAGAAAAGAAGAAGGTTCTTGCCTTCGAGGCTCTCAGGCAACCGAGTTTTGAGTATCAATGGTCGATCGTTCTTGGCGGGTTGTGTTTATTGTCTGCCTCGGGTTCGGGCTCGTATTCGGGTTCGTGTCTACAGTAAAGTTTCTGACGAGGCTCAGTAGGGAACTCTTTAATGAAAATCTTATGCTGGCAGGATTGAAGCAACGGTTTCTAATCTTAACCCCACTTCAGGTTTCAGACTTTGTAGCCTGAAATGAGAGCTTATGCTTGAATTGTGGTCCTGTGCTTCAATGGGCTCAGACTGAGCTAGCTAGTCACAAGTTTGTACATAGAAAGCAGATTTAGGCGAAGGCCGGCTTTTTTGGAGGGTGCTTTGAACATGTCTTGAGAAGATCATCGGTAGATATGTGGCATAGGCCTGCGTGGTCCGGCTCCATCTTTTTGTTGGCAGGTTGCGGCACAAGGTAGTGGCTTCACAGATCCTGACTGCCTGGCAATTCCGCAGACGTCTCCTAGAAGAGCTTATCTTCTTCTAACCGCAGATCATCCGCTTCTCTTCCATCATTCTAAGAAGCTGTGGGACTGCCACCCGTGGTCGGCAGAGCCTCGAACTGCAACTCGAATCCGAACCCGAAGGCACGGCATATGAGAACAGATCGACACATCTTTTAAGAGACGCGATTGACGGATTGAGAGATGCCTAGTTTGTATATAAACTGCTGAAAAAAGACATAAGAGGGGCTGTTGTATCCTGGTTAGTTGTCGATATAGACAAACAAGCCAGCAAATCCTTTCCCACCACCCACCTTGAGCCCTTCTTCCTACCGCAATGATTGGACATTTACTGGCCTTGGCCATCACGGGGGCGGCTTTAGCCAGCAGCAGCAGCCCGTCGACCGCGTCAATCTCTCTGTGGCAGGGCAACTTTTACCTCACCAGCGAGGTTGTCTGTGCTTGTCAGCGGCTGAACCAAATCCACTCACCTGAGGTGTTGTCGCCTTCCTCCGCGAATTATACGGAGGAGAGAATCCGGTTCTGGGACATCCGCTCCGATCTTTACCCGGCTTGCATCTTCCAGCCGAGCAATGCGGATGAAGTGGCGGAAGGAGTCAAGATCGTTTCTGCGTGCAATGCCCCCTTTGCCATTCGCGGTGGAGGTCATATGAATGTAAGTCCCGTGCATAGATGTTGGCCTGAGGCAGCAGGCTAATATTCACACGTCATTGCAGTTCCCGGGATCCAACAACATCGACGGCGGTGTTTTGATCACTTTGAACAAACTCCAGGACTACAAGGTCCATAATGATACCATCGAAGTGGGCCCTGGTATGAAATGGATTGATGTTGTCAGAGCTCTGGACCCCTATCACCGTGCTGTTATCGGAGGTCGTCTGAAGACTATCGGTGTGCCCGGTCTGACTTTGATCGGCGGCGTGCACTACTTCATCAACAAGTATGGTTTTGCTATGGACAATGTCGTGCGCTACGATGTGGTTCTGGGCAATGGCACGCAGGTGATTGCGGATAAATCCACGAACCGCGACCTCTTCTGGGCCCTCAAGGGCGGTGCCAACAACTTCGGCCTGGTCACCAGGTTCACCCTCAAGACATACCACATGCCCAATGTTAGCACCACCATTCAGACATTTGAGGAGTTGGAGGTCTACGACTTCATCAAGGCCGCCGTGGCCTTGTCCCGCGTGGACGACCGCAATCCCATTGCTGCAGGCGGGTTTTTGACCATCCAGCACAACGTGACCACCAAGGCGATTTCAGCCTCGCTGATGGGTGTTCAAGAGGGTATCAGCAATCCTCCTTCGCAGTTTGCCAACTTTACCGCCATTGAAGGCCCGATCAAGATGCACAATGTCACCACAATGCTTCAGTGGACGGAGGACAAGGATACCCCCAATCAGATGTTCAGGTATGATTACATGCAGCACCACCGCCCCCCCCCCTCCCCCCCTTTTCCCCCCTTCGAGGTTAGCCAGACCACAATACTAATAATCGAGTCTGCAGAATTGCTTTTTCCGCGCACTCGATTGTCCCTAATGCCAACCGACTGTACGAGATCTACCAGACCTGGAAGGCGAGCGTAGAGACCCTGTCCGACGTCCAAGGCATCTACCCGACATTTGTGATTAATCTGTGCCCCACGGGTGCTGTCCGCGCTGGACGAAACACCGACGTCGGAAACACGTGGGATCTGGCCCTCGAGCCTACGATCTGTGAGTCCTTATTACCCCTCCCGCATCAAGCATCGATGGAGACAACCAGCTAATCCTCGGTCCTTAGGGTGGCAATTCAGCACCGGATGGGATCTGGCTCAGGACGATATCCGCATGACGTCCTGGTCCCGTGATTTGTCCGAGAGCCTGCATGAGGAGAACCGCCAACTGTCCCTGGCACGCGAGCACGTCTATATGGGCGATGCTGGAGAATGGCAGGATGCTTTTGCAACCTTTCCCAAGGAGAACATCAAGCGGATGAAGGAGATTCAGGCGGCGGTTGATCCCCAGGGCGTGTTCAGTCGCCTGAACTGGGGTGGTTTCAAGCTTTCTCCCTGAGCAACTGTGGCTCTTTTTGGCTCTTCGCACTCTATCTCCTCCCTGCTTGCTGCTGTTCTGCTGCTGAATGGACAGGCTGCCTGTCGTGTAGAGACTGTTGGTCCATTTGAGCTCCTTGTGTATTACCTACTGTGAGATGATTGTATTTTGACTCACGGGCGCGCGCTCTCCGGACTTGACCTTTCAATTCCACACTTCGATACTGCATAAGAACGAGATAGGAAATATCAATCATACGCATGCAGTGCATCAGCTTAGTATACGTGGGTTGTTGACCCTCGTTTTAGAGTCGTGTTCAGATGCCATCCGCGCTGCATCAAACGCCCAACCCTTCAAAAGTCCTGCGATAGCCCTTGTGGAACAATCCCTGTCTACTTTACACTAGAAAGTTCACTGAATTTATCTTTTCATCAAGTTTCAGATCGCCCCATGTTAAAGCGTTGTTACAGGACTCCATGTTCCGCGACGAAAGCGCATACACGCCTCTTCACCACCCTGGCCAGGGAATTTACGTAGGGTAACAGGGAAGCACCAGCACTGGAAAAACAAAATGTGAAACTGGAATGTAGGGCTACCAATTTCTTGGCAGTCAAGCTACCAAGCAGCATGGGTATCGAAGAGGAAGGAACGGAACGGGCTGCGGCTCTTGTTTGTTACTTTAACCGCTTTAAATCCCAAGCTACATTTGCGATTGCCTAGAGAGTTAACATCGGGCAAGATGGAAGTACGTACCAGCACCGGGAAAACAGCACTTGAGAGTGGAATGTAGGGCTACTGAGGTCTTGGCGCCCAAGCTCCCTAACACTGCTGGCTGCGGAGCTGTCATTTCACATGTGTATGTGGGGTATGGGTCAACCTTTGATGACTGAGGGTATTCAGAGTGTTGATGGCGTACCGGCAGGTTCTAGGCTTCGAGGAAACACTTTCATAGCTAGCTGTAATAGACAGGTTCCTTTGGTCATTAGACTTGACTTGAATGGTAACCGAAAAAGCCCTCACACTGCTTGGATCCCAAGCTTCACTTACATTGTCTTGGGGGGAGGGGGGGTTCGCAAGGGGTAAATCAGCACAAAATGGGCCAGAATATGAAAGTAAAATATAGGGCTACCAACCTTTTAACAGCTAAGTCCCAATGTTTCATCTAAAGCCGGTTATACCCTTTTCCAGGGCGTTTATATAGGGTAACAGAGAGGTACCAGCACCAGAAAACCAGAAGGCGAAAGTGGAATGTAGGGCTACTCAAGTCTTGGCAACTAGGCTCCCCAGTACTACTTACCTCGCAAGCTGCACTCACATTGCTAGGGACCTTACATGAGGCAATAGGAAAGTACCAGCACCAGCAAAACTAAACTTAAAAGTGGAATGTAGGGCTACTGTTTCTTGGCATCCAAGCTCCAAGCTGCCTGGCGCTGCTTAAATCTATACACTGTCTAGGAAACTTACATAATGCAACAGGAAAGTACCAGCACCAGAAAAGCAGAACTCGAAAGTGGAATGTAGGGCAACAAAAGTCTTGGCAGTCAAGCTTACCAATAGCAAGGCTTTCAACAAGGAAAGAAGGGGACAGGCCCTTAGTTGTTTGTAACCCTACATCACTTCAAACAAAAGCTGCATCGTGTGACAAAGGCTTGGTTATGCGCGTGTTGTCATTGTGCGTTGCGAACGGCTACAAGACAAAATCGATTATTGACAAGTGGCTCAAATTGCTTTGATCAAGGCTGGGAACAATTTGATTGCTGCTGGGAATAAAAGATTGAGAGATTGAATGAACAAAGACCATGTAATGCGATGCCTTATAAGGCAGGCCGTATGCCATCCGGTTCTCCCTCACATCAACTTTCCACTTGCCATTGACTATACTAAACCTTCTGGTTCAATTTTCGAAAACCCTGAAAAGAAATAATAACTTAGATAAGTCCACCCACTGCTTAGTAGCATCGATGGATTTCAATTCCCGACTCGGTGATGTGCGCCGACTGAGTGAGCAGGCCGTGCTAGACCATATCAACGATTGCACTAGGTCCAGACAATATCCTGCACAGAAGCTCAGACGATTAGGGAGCCTCTTGGAGGTTTCTGAGCATGTCCTCGCCTGCCAAGCCTTCTTCCAAGGTTTTATCTTTCCTGAGAAGGACGGCTTCACAGTGACATGCTATTTGGCCCGCGACCCTAAACCTTTCTATGGGGTGATGGTAACTAGGAAGATGCCCGATACAGGCGAAGAGGAGTGCATCATAGTCATCGCCCCAAGCAATGAACACATGCAAAAGTAGCTGACCGATGTGCAGTTTTTGTCCGAAGGGGAGTACAAAAGGTTGGAATTTGAGACCAGATGTGGCGCCGTCTTGAGCGAGACGGCCTGCTACAGCTCTTCTTTTGTGGCAGAGAGGCTGCAGACTCCACCACTAATCACAGCAACGACAAGTATCGCACGACTCTTTCGTACAAATTGTCCACGTCCACCGACCTCGAGGCCCTCGTACAGGAGCTGCGACCATTGCGACGATTCTGGCGCCTTCATGCCGAGCAGTCCGCTACTTGGAAAGAGATTAAGCGCAAGCACTTCCCCTCATCTCTAACTGACACCACCAAACAGAAGAAGAGGGCTGTTCGGGCTAGAAGCAAATGGTGGGATACGCGTGGCCGGAGAGCCGTAATGGCCGGGATGGCCGCTCCCTATGTACCGCTTGTCGCCCCCATAGAAACCCACCACTTCGCCCTACTGGCTTGGTTCGTGCGTCTCCGGGCCTTATTTCCTGCCTCTGACGGCTTTGTCTACTCCTTCTTCCAGTACGGCGTCGGCAAAGACCAGTCAGACGAGGAGGCAAGGAAGAGATACAAGTGTATTCGAATCGGCAAGAAGTAGGAGAATGGCCGCGTGACTGCCGTGATGACCGCGATTCTGATGTCCGGGTGCTATTTCACCCAGGAAAGAAGGCCACTCGATCTCGTTGCACAGCAGCAGGTCTGGTGCACCGAGGCTGAGGTGCTGTGTCAGACCGGTCGGCCGGCTTACCTCGCCACCATCGAGCCCGCGTCGGGGGAACTCACGGTCTATGAGATTCCGGACCCGCTGGGGCCTTTTCTTCCTGTTCAGCGGTGCTTTCTGACTTCCTGTAACACAAGCAGTGTCTCGGAGCGGCTGCATACACGCCTCTATCTCAAGGAGGTCTTCAATAAGATCACCAGAGATCGAGTTCGGTTTGTGGAGCCAGAGGTTGAGCCAGTTGGGAAGCGAGAACGCTATGCCGCAAAGATCAAGTCGCTGATGGAGCTTTCATAGTTGCGTATGTACCGAGAATCACTGGAGTGGTAAAATTGAATCAATCACTTCTAGATAGATGGCCATGTTAGAGAAGGTTGTTGAGGTGAATCAGATTTAGAAGACAACAATCTAGACGGCAAGACATTCATCATGATATAGAGCAAATATTGCATGACTTAGAATCAAATTATCCTATGCCAGGAGCGGCCAATGTTCTGACGTTGAGGGAAATGGAAACCAAATATTTTGCTATGTTTGCTTACTATGTTGAGGCAGGCCGTTGGGCAGGCTGCCACGTGACTCATCGCGTATGCCCCTTCCCCTTCCATGATCACTCCTAAATCCTTCGTTCAGCGAAGCATATATCGCACCACCGCTTCCACACGTTAGATCTGACGGATCATAAATCATTGGATTGAAATATATCCTCAGAACCTGTCTAATCTCGGTTGCTGAAGTATATCATCCTCCCCGGAAGCTGATCCTCCCCGAAAGTTACTCGGGGGGGATCATAGAGCACGCTAAGTCGAGCAAACTTAGACGAAAGAACACAGTCTTGCGTCAGTTCGAAGAAGACTATAAATAATTTGGGACGAGAGTCATGAAATCAATGACCGCATCTAATGCCCTATCAAAGCATCATAAATGCTGTGATTAAGTTTTGTCGATCACCTCAGATATAATTCAGACAGTCAAATGGAACTCCCTATCTGATAAATATGGATCCACTACATCACAGTTTACAAGGAATATTCACAAAGCTCAGCAAAGTTCGTATCGCATGATCGGTCAGTATGCACATCATTCTCTTCAGTACTTGGCCGGTCTCTAGCTGCTTTCTCGCATTATCCGGGCAGTCTACAATATCTCGCCTTTGCAACCCTTGTACCACATCCCGGGGCCCAAGCTCGCAGGCTCGGTTTGACCTGATCCTCGGCGGATGCTACAGTCTGGAGATTCAGCGTTTGCACGAGATCTACGGTAAACCCCTTCCTTCGTCCATAAATGATGGCACAGACAGACATGGGAAATCTGTCGCTAAAACCGCGACAACAGGCCCCGTCGTCCGCATCAACCCCGAGGAAATCCACGTTAACAACATCGCCTTCACCGACGAGATCTACTCGACCGGTAAACGCAGACGCAACAAACAAGTCCATCTTCTAAATCTCTTCGCGGGGCCCATAACCGAAGCCATGGTGTCAGCTGTCGACCACGGCCTGCACCGCCTCCGCCGCAGCGCCGCGAACAAGTTCTTCTCGCACGCGCAGACTGCCAAACTGGAGTCAGACATCAGAGTCCTCGCGGGCCAGCTCTGTGACAAGCTCATCAATATCGGTACTAAAAGTGAAGAGCCGATAATATTGTTACTGCGTACAGCTGCTTCAACTCCGACATCAATTCCGGCCACTGCTTCGGCGAGCCCTTTGGGTTTCTAAGACAGAAATCCTGGGAACCGAACTTCCGCCATGAATTGCACTCGCTGCTCACCCCGATGCATGTGTTTCGGTTCTTCATGGTGCTGAAAGCAATCGTGGGTCTCATGCCATCCGTGGCCAAGTGGTTGGATCCCCGCGTGAAGGGCTTGGTGGAGGAGGGGAACGAGAAGATGCCGGCGCGGGTGCACAAAGCTCGACTGGACTACCAGGCCGGGGAGGTCCCGAAACGACGGGCGATCTTTCATACTCTGGTTGCTTCGGATTTGCCGGAGGAGAAGACGAATCACAGACTAGGTGGAGAGAGTTATTCGTTCATTGCGGCAGGGACGGAGACGTAAGTATTGCCCAGTTTCCGGGCTCGAAGCGCCGGTCCCTCAATCTTGCACCGTATCTCTTTCACAATGTACTTCGACGCATACTGAAGAGGAAGATAGTGGAGCCTAACCGTGACAACCTTCCACCTCCTCCACAACCCCACCCTCCTTAACAAGCTCACCGATAAGCTCCATGCCACCGCCGCCCTCACTTCCCCCTGGTCCAACCTTGAAAAACTCCCCTACCTCCACGCCGTCATCCAAGAGAGCCTCCGCCTCTCCTACGGCGTCAGCCAGCGGCTGCCCCGCATCGCCCCCGACGAGCATCTCACCTACCGTGGCGACTTCAAGGGCTGCGAACTCACCTATGTGATTTCCCCGGGTACACCGATGGGCATGTCCTCCGTGATCAACCACCACAACGAATCCGTGTTCCCGGATTCGCACGCCTTCCGTCCCGAGCGATGGCTGGAGGCCGATGAAACGCAGCGCCGGCGGATGGAAACCTGCTTGATCTCGTTTTCGAAGGGTAGTCGGCAGTGTTTGGGGATAAAGTGAGTGTCCTTCCCTTCCTTTGCGCTCTTTGAGGGTCTTTTACAGTTGGCATTTCGTAGATTAGAGCGGGCTAGGCTTTGGGGATTTTGGGTTTCAGATGAGGCTTACTGATTGTTCTTCTTAGTTTGGCGTATTGCAGTCTCTATGTCACACTGCCGGTTCTGGCGCTCCGTGTGCTTCCGCGGATGAGGTTGTATGAGACCACCGTCGGGGATGTGGCCTACGATCATGATCTGTGGTTTCCGATGCCGAAGGAGAGTACCAAGGGGGTCAGGGTTATTATCTCGTAATGGGTGGCGTGTCTCGTTGCTGGGATTTGAGCGATCGGGAAGAAGCCTTCCGTTGTTGCGCATCCGTGGGAGGTGCGTGGGTTGGTAGTGATTGACATCAAGACGTTGAGCGGGCAAGGCTGCGGGAGGAGCCAAGGAAGTGCAGATGGTAATCGAACTCTCGTGCGATAGTCCCAATTTGGGGGATGAGTGGAGGAGCTGATAGTCAAGTAGTAAGCACCGTTAGCTAGTTGGCGGCAGCTGTGGAAGATCAAGACAATAAAAACGCGTTGAGTCACGAAGCTAGCACGTCTTGGCCTATGGCAGGGAGTAGGCAAGTAAGCACTCAAGCACCGTTACCGGATCGCACCCGAGTTTTGCGGCAAAGCTCTTTGCTTGGAATCTTTTCACCTGGCCTAAGTTGGTCACCCACGCAAACGCCCGGTTCCAGCAGCCCAGACTCCCGACGAGCCCCGTATTGACCACCCCGTGCGTCAGCGAGATGCTGCTCAACTCGGGATACCGGTGCGCCAGCTCGCGCGCGTACAGCAGGTTGGCCAGCTTGCTCTGCCCGTAGCGGATCCAGCCCGCGAAGATCGGGTACTCCTGCGTGGTGCGGAGGGAGTCGAACGCGATGACTCGGACGTCGTGGCCCTCGGCGGCGGTGGCTTGGAGTTGTGGGGGTAGTTTCTGGATGAGCAGGGCGTGGCCCAGGTGGTTGGTTCCGAATTGGATCTCGTAGCCGTCAACCGTCACGCGGCTTGTTGCACGGAGGTGAGATCTGCGAGGTCGCACGATAGGAATGTGAATGGGGTGGTTTCGGTGGTATTGGTGGGGTTTGTGTTCGACTGGATCTGGGAGATGACCGTGTCAGCGCTGGATGCGCTGCGCCCGCTGATGTAGATGTGAGCCGGCCCATGCTTGGCTAGTTGGCGCGCCGTCTCGGTTCCCAGTCCGGCTGTTCCTGGCGGGGTATTGGCTTGCGCGGATGAGATGAGATTAGGGGGGTTGCTCACCTCCTGTGATCAGGATGACTTTGCCGGACAGACTAGGAATGTCTGTGTCCGGGTTGAAGGCGGCTGAGGGCATGAATGGTGAGTCTTTGTTGCGCAATTGTAGTTGAGAGGTACATGGAGGAAGAGTTTGGGGGGCAACAAAGGGAAGCTTTATTTAGCACGGGAGAGCATTGTTGGAAATATTCAACCTCGGTCGGTAATAACAGGCAGCAGGGTGGCGTATGCAGTCGATAGGTGCAATTTTCACCGACAACCTAGTTATGCATTGTACCTCCAAACCGGGCATGTTCTCGATCGCGATAGATAGAGACAGTGAATCGATGATGAGGTAAGTTAGATCACCCTATTTACATACTGGAGGTCAAACACTCGGTTGCTGTCAACCGACTTGGCACCTCCACTGCGCAGATGAGATTCGACCCAGCAGCGGCCCGCGCTTGACACGTACTGTAGTAAAAGCTTCCCGTTGACCGGGAGGGGATTAATTATTTATGCTGTGCAACTGAGTCAGCCATAGTGAATAAAACTGGCCGCGGTTAGCCGTGCGACAAGGTTTAAGAAAGCACAGAGAGCGAACTCCTATAGTGGCTTGGGTATAGGTCAATTGCAAAATGACAGTATTTGCTTGAGAAGGAGAGAAAGCAGGCCTTGAAATCTCCTGATGAATATAGCAAAGAGTCCAGCAGAAAAGCACACCTCAGTTTAATTCGTCCTTGTCGAAACCCTCCGCTTCAATTGGGCCTACAGAGACTAGTTCAGGTTGCCTTCAACGATTGCAAACTGTGTAACATGTGCTTTCCGGTCTGTACTGGAGTCTTGTACGTAACAGATATAAAGGAACCCCGGCATTGAGACTGCTTGTGTAGCACTAGCAGGGTTACTTACCATGGGACAATTGACAAAAACGCGGGGAAGTCGACTGTGGGGTACTGTACAGATAGCGAGTGTGTCCGTAGGTTCAGGTTCCATGCTTGTGATTCTATACCGGCCCACGCGATATGTGACGAGGTCTGGTACTGCCTCTCCAAGTCTAGGTCGATTCGGGAAGGTCGCTTTACAAACATGGCATGTCATGTGCAAAGCATAGCTCGATTGTCGTGGCAATCCTCCTGAACTTGGAATTGATGGATTTGAGACATGGTCGAGTTGGCCACTGATAAAGTGCCTTTTACGGAATCGATAGTGATAATCAACCACCGCATCGGAATTGCCCCACTCAAATTGGGTGATAGCATCCACTTTTGTATAGTAGTAGTATACTACGCACTGCGCTCCACAAACGGTTCATACAATCGCGACTCGCTTAATACCACTGGGTTCCATGCTGATATCAACGACTTTTCTCCCAGTTTTTCATAGTCGACATCCGACCTGCCCAGCCCGAGTTCTCTCGGCAGACTGGCACCACCACCACCACCAAACTCACCACTGGCGGGCAAAGGCTTGTCCCGAGTACAACCGCTCTATCTAGAAAGATAATAAATTTAAGATGCGAGCAGGATTCCTGGCGTGGCAAACCGTGCTCATGGTTCTTGTCAGTGTCTCATGCGAAGAACATTCCATTTCCAAATACACCTGCCTAATTCGATGATCCGATGGATAGATTTCTCCCCCGGTCTCTCCAGACTTTGTGGTCGCGTGCATAGTGTGGTTCAATGTAACCCACCTTAGCTCAGGTCAAACCCTCCGAGAGCAAGCAATTGGCTGAGACCCCCGCCGGCCAAGGCCTGGGGTTGCACCGAATGCCCCTCGCCAAGGGTGCCAAGGCGTCCGTTCCGCTGGACGACCGACCAGAACAGCCCAGTCCTAACCAGTCCTGAGCAATCCTGACCAGTCGCTGCCAGCCGTGCTTATCTGGCGTGCTTCTTATCCAAGCCATCGCCAGCCTGGGAAACGTGGGCTGGACGGGTTCTGCCGATTCCAAGCGAGGGCCAGCAGTGGAATTGACTCCTGCGGTGGCTCCGAGAAGGGAAGCATCGCCGGTCTTGGCACTCTTGGACCCTGCAGATGCTGATAGCTGTTGGAAATGGTGTAATAGAAGCGAAGGGTAGAATCATTGATGCTGATATGAGAAAATACCACTGCTCACTGTGCCTGCCTGTCTGCCTGCCGCGGTTGTGCCACCCGGTCCAGTCAGCCCAAATTTAAACCTCCTCCTCTGCCCATCTTTCCTCCGACTCCCTTCTCTGGATCTCTCTTCATCTCTTCTCCCTTCAACCATCTCTCACTTTATCCTGCGTCTCTTCAACATGAACAGCTCTGATCCGGTGGAGGCGGCAGAGGTCGCCAAATCGGCGGCCTACGCTCATGATGCTGCTGCTGCTGCTCACGATGAGAAGCAGAAGCATCCTGCACCCGATGTGCGACCGGACATTTCTTCCGACGTCGACGTGATTCAAGCAACCTCGGAGAAAGTCGCGGTCGGCTCGTCGGGTGCCGCCTACGACGAGGATACCTCGCTGCAGAAGGCGTTCCCTAGTCCAGAGGAGATGCAGACCCTACGTCGTGTGGCTGGCAAAATCCCCTGGACAGCCTACACCGTGGCTTTTGTGGAGCTGTGCGAGCGTTTCTCATACTATGGCACCACTGCAGTGTGTGAGTCCACTCGCGAACCCATTGTCGACATTGCTAACCTTCACAGTCGTCAACTTCATTCAGCGTCCCCTACCTGAAGGTTCCACCACCGGTGCGACTCATGGAGTCGGAAACCTCGTGCCAGGTGCCCTGGGAATGGGCCAACAGGCATCCACAGGGTTGACTTTGTGTGAGTCCAAGTATTTTCCCTGATCGAGACAACGCAACTGATCTAGTAGTCAACGCTTTCTGGTCGTATATCATGCCGTTGGCTGGTGCGTTCATGGCCGATCAATACTGGGGTCGGTTCCGTACCATCATGTTCTCCATCGGCGCTGCATTGGTGGGACACACCATCCTCGTCATCTCCGCTATCCCTCCTGTCGTCAAGAATCCTGATGGAGCTATTGCTTGCTTCTCTATCGGATTGATCGTTATGGGTATCGGCACTGGCGGTTTCAAGTAAGTCGCGCCATTGCCCTGCATTCGGCAACACTGTCTAACAGACACAGATCCAACATCTCCCCCCTGATTGCAGAGCAATATCGTGAAGACACCCCCTTCATCAAAACCCTTCCGTCAGGCGAACGCGTCATCGTCGACCCATCTGCCACCGTCTCCCGCATCTACCTCTACTTCTACATGATGATAAATATCGGTTCGATTTTGGGTCAAGTCAGCATGGTGTACGCAGAGAGATATGTGGGTTTCTGGCTGTCCTACCTCCTGCCCACGATTATGTTCACATTCTGCCCGACTGTTCTGTTCCTCTGCCGCAACAAGTACTATCTGGTCAAGCCAACGGGCTCCGTCTATCTCCAGGCCTTCCGCACCTGGAAGCTGGCTATGAAAGGACGCTGGTCTCTCAACCCAGCCCGGATGTAAGTTGCCAATTCGGACAAATCATCAGTTTATCCTAATTTCATCACAGTTTCCAGAAGAATCCTAGGCCGTTCTGGGACTCGGTCAAGCCCAGCACGCTTGGTGCAAATCGACCGGAGTGGATGACCTTTGATGATGAATGGGTGGATGAGGTAGCCCGTGGATTGAAGGCTTGCAAGGTGTTCCTGTGGTACCCACTCTACTGTAAGTACGCACCTACCGCAACGGCGGAGACCTTGATCTAATCAAGATAAACTCAGGGCTTGCGTACAACCAAATGTTGAACAATCTCACCTCGCAGGCGGCGACCATGCAACTTGGCGGCGTTCCCAACGACATCATCAACAACCTGAACCCTCTGGCTCTGATCATCTTCATCCCCATCATGGACCAGCTCGTCTACCCAGGTCTTCGTCGCATTGGAATCAAGTTTACTCCCTTGAAGCGCATCACGGCCGGTTTCTTCGCGGCCGGTCTGTCGATGATCGCGGCCACGGTGACGCAATACTACATCTACAAGCTGGGCAGGTGCGGCAAGCAGGCCAACTACTGTCTGGACGAGTACAACTCGCACTCTCCGATCTCCGTCTGGGTGCAGGCGTTGCCGTACGTCTTGGGTGGTATCTCCGAGATCTTCGCTTCGGTGACCTCGCTCGAGTACGCGTTCACCAAGGCCCCGCGGAACATGCGGTCCCTCGTGCAGGCCGTCGCGTTGTTCATGAACGCGTTCTCGTCGGCCATAGGACAGGCGCTGGTCAGTCTGTCGGAAGACCCGTTGTTGGTGTGGAACTACACGGTGGTTGCGATTTTGGCGTTCGTCGGCTGCATTGGATTCTGGGCGACGAACTACAAGTTGGATCGCCAAGAAGATGAGCTGAACAATCTGCCGCAGAGTCATTATGAGGGGCGCGGAGAGGGCGACGTGGAGCGATGAGAGTGTGGAGTCTGGAGAGTTGGGGATAAGATAGGGTAGTAATTCAGTAGCCTACACATTAATATTATGACATGGTGATTTACTTCGTCTTTTGCTTCTTTTTGTCGGGGGCATCGCCTTCCGCTTCCTCGTCATCGCCCACCTGCTCCTCCACTCCTTCTTCTTTTCCTTCCTCGTCTTCGTCTTCTCCTTCACCTTCTTCTTCTTGGTACTCTTCATCATCCTCATCTAGATCCTCGTCTTCATTCTCCCCGTCATTCTGCTCCTCATCCTCTTGCTGGTCTTTCTTGTCCGCATTTTTTTTCTTGGAATCTCTCTTCACATCCTTCTTCCCCTTAACAGTACCCTTAGCAGTACCCTTACCCTTATCCTTCCCTTTCTCCTCGCCCTCCTCCTCCTCACCCTCACCCTCACCCGCACTTTCACCCGCACTTTCACCCTCACCCGCACTTTCACCCTCACCACCCTCCCCCTCCCCCTCCTCTTCCTTATTCTCTTCATTATTCCCAGTCCGCCTCGAAACCTCCCCCCTCTTCCTCTTCGCCCCCTCCGTATTCCCCACAAACTGCTTCCCCTCCCCCTCCTGCCCCTCCTCCACCTTCTTCCTCTCCGTCGCCTCCTTCTCCCCCTCACTCATCTCCTCCCACGCCTCGCGGGGCAGATATCGCTTCCGCGGCCCGCCGTCCGCCGCGGATTTGTCGGTCTTGGCCGTCCCCGACCCTTCCTTGGTCACCCAGTCCTCCGCGCCCCACTGCGACAGGTTCTTTTGGGATTGCGACTGCTCGTCCTTGCTGGTCGTGTAGTCCCCGCCCCGGGATTTGTATTCTTGGGCCGTGAGTTGAGCCTTGTCGTTGCTTCTGTCAGATTCGGTTTGGGTTTGGGTTCTGGTGGGGAGTGTGCTTGGGGGGGGAGGGATGGGGGGGAGAGGGGAAGAAGCAAAGGGGCCAAAGGGGGCAAAGGGGGCAAAGGGGGGTGTACGGGTGTACGGGTGTACTGTACCTTCCGCGCAGACCATTGGCCGGGTTTCCCGCCCTTGTCGCCTTGCTGTACTTCCTCTTTGACCTCCTGGCGGAGTTCGGGGTCGGTGTAGTTGTTGTTGTTGTTTTTGGAGGGCATTTTGATGGGGGTTTTCGTCAAGAAGTCAGAAAGTAGGGATTATAGTGTAGTGCTCAGCAGAGTGGATGAGTGAAGAGTACTTGGAGCTAAGTAAGGTCGAATTCAAATGACAATATACTGAAGAATTGAATGAAAAAATCCTTCAATGGAAGAAATAGATACCGTTATATAACGTTAATCTGCATGACATCATGACCATGATCTCATCTTCATCGACCTCTCTTCTCCCTTCCAGAATGAATGAGATCATGTGGATCTCGATTCTGGGGATACAGTCATGGTGGGGCCTCCCGCGATCAGTCGCATTCGGCAACCCGCCCGATCCTGGCTCTCGGCGCCAGATCGCTGGGTCTCCAGAACTTTATTTCCCGCCGTCTAGATTCAGGGTCGATTCCTAGAGCCTACATTATGCAGTTAATGCTGGAATGCAGCCAGCATTTTGGAAAACAGTCAACCAGTCCAACTAGCAGGTATAATTTTCAACAGTCCAGAAGCAGTCCAAGTCCTCAAGCAGGGATATATCAGGCAGTAAAATCAAATCGCAAAATCACAATTCCTCCTCAATCTCCGCATGATGTTGGGTATCAACAAGCTCCCAGGACTTGAACTTCAAGTCCAGCGCATCCTCATTGCTTTCAGCCTTGCCCCCGCCAAAGTTCTTCAGATTCCACTTTTCAACGCCCTCGACCCCGACCAAGTACTCATTGTACACTCTGAAGACGTCCGCGTTCAATTTCTCGTATTCCGCGTAGTCCTTCGGCCAGTCACCCAGGCGCTCAACGGAGAGCTTGAGAAGGTGCAAATGCTGGCGGACGTGCTCACCACCACCCACAGTGCCGTTGTGCTCCTCAATCCCGTCTACCTCCCCATAGGCTGAACCGTCAAAGCTTCCATTGCTGTCGTTTCCTTCCAGTTCGGCATAATCAGGGTCACTAAACACACGAAGAATGTTTTCGTGCACGGCGGCGCTCTTCTTATAGAATCGGTTGGCAATCTCTTGACCGTTTTTCTCGGCCTGGTAGCGCTGGGCATTGCCAGTGTACAGCTGGGACAGCAGTATGGACATCTCGAGGGTACTAAGGTGCCGAGGTCCGTGCACACGGCGGCAGTTGTAAACAATGTCCTCTGCCAGGCGGAGGGCAGCGGAGTAGTCACCGATCAAGTAACGGGCCATGATGAAGCGGCGTCCCAGGGCGAGAGTAATGGAAGTAGGCCAGCTACGCTGGGCCTCACGACTGTTCCACAGAATAGTCAAGAGCCAGGCCAGGGTACGGTAGTCCTGCTGCTCCCCGAGAAGGCCAATCAACTTGTTCAGGTGAACAAGGCTGACGCCAGCCACATTGATCTTCAAGCTGGTAATGACGCGGAGGGCATCCTGGATAATTGTTCCAGATACCTGAAGCAACTTCTTCCGAGTAGCTTCGTCAGGGCGGGTCACGAGATCACGGCCACCAATGTTCAGACCCAGTGTGAAAACAAACTTGACAATCTCAGGGGTATGGTAGCTAGCGTCAGCGATGATATACTTGTAGGCAGCAAGAGCAAGGTCACTGGCAGTCTCCCACTGTTGGTTCTTCAGCAGCTCAACAACATGATCATTGCTAGTGATTCCCACAGACCGGATGAAGTTCTCAGACCGGTGAGCGCTGAAGTGGTCCAGAATAGAGAGCACGAAGATCTTTACTTGGGAAATCTCAGTCAGTTGCGCCCGCTTGCCCTCGGTGTTGATGAAGTACGCGACAAAATCATCGAGAACACGAGCCGCAGCAGTATGGCGCTCATGAGCTATAAGGAACTGGTAGAGACGAGCCGCTGAGACGGAGAGACTGTGGAAGCTGCTCATGGACTTGATCTCTTTTCTGAATTCCTCGAAGTAGACATACTCGGTGGTCAAGGCAGCAAGAATCTCAGTGATAGTGGTCGACGAGCTACGGCGAAGGCTGTACTCCAGCTGAGCCAAGAAAGTCAAGCTCTGGCGCTCTTTGGAGGACAAATCAAAGTGGACTGACTTGGAGTTACTGGTGTCCTTCATCACAATTTGGCGGTAGATCTCCTGGGTCAGCTCGGTGGCTTTTTGAATCTGGTTCGTCGCGATGTAGCTAGATGCGATGGTCGTGGCAGCCGCAATCAGGCGAGTGGACGAAGTCTCGGAAGACAAGATCTGCACGGTCGCCTCCTTGAGCTCCTGTACCACAGTTTGAGTCTCATTGCGCTGAGCATGAAACTTGATCATCTCTTCCATTTTGGTCAGGGATTCTTCATGGGCCCAGCCGTGGGTCTCACGAACAGTGCTAATCCGCTTCCTCAAAACCTTGACGGCACGCTCAACCTGAGTAGACGAGAAAGACTCAGTTTTGGTCGAAGTGACAATGGCAGCCTGTTCCTCGTAAATTGCATCCAAAGTAGAAGAAATCTCCTGCAGGTCAATTTCCTCAGACTTGGTCTTCAGAAGCTCCTCATACAAGCTAATAGCCTCAAGTTCATAGCGCTTTGACTCCTGGCACAATTTGGCCAGCGTCAAAGTAGCTTTGAGAGTAATCGAAGCTGTAGCGCTGAACACAGCCTTGCACTTGGTCTGATATTCAACTGTTACCTGGTGAAGTACACTGAATTCAGTACGAACGCTGCGCAGGCAGTGGGTGTAGCGGTCAAAGAACTCATGCACAAAGGTCTGGTCCTGGAACCTGGGGCTCTGCTTGGGCTCGCTCAGGAACGTGGTGAAGATGATCTGGTAGTGATGCAGAGCATCTGAATAGCGACCTTGCTTCCACAGTTCAGTAGCAACGATGACAAGGGGCTCAAAGGCCTCGGGGTGGGAAATAGAAGAGTCATTGTTCAGGATACGGATGATCTGCTGATAGTAATCAACAAACACGGGCCGGGGGCGAGTCAGCTCAGCCAAGTTCCAGAGAATCTTCACCACCAGCGGGTTCTCGGGGCCGTAGTGCTTGGTATAATCATTCAGCGTCTCTTGACGAAGGTTGATGATCTTGTCGGTCTGCGAAGTGCGCTCAAACAGGCGGAGCAGCTCATTGGTGATGCGCTCTCGCAGTTTATCATCAACATTGCGACCCGAGCGAACAGCGCGGTAGATGCGAACACGGATATCTTCTTCCTTGGTCAAGCGACGGCGAGAGTGGTAGCAGTGGCTAAGTCGCTCAGCCAGCTCAATGCAGCTTTCCACATGTTTCGCAGGAAGGGTAACATCTTGCAAGGAAGGAGCGAACAGAGAAGACCAGACACCGTGCAAGACCTTCTTGATGACGCGAGTAGCATCCTGCCAGCGCCGCTGCTCAACATACAAGCTGACTAAGATCTGTGTCGCACTGAAGGAAGTCTGGTCGACGGTCGTGATTGAGGTGGAGGCCTCATAAACCATTTCCTCAAGGGTGGTCTCTGAGGTTACTGTGGTGGAAGAAGAGCTGAAAGACTGCATAACCTCCTTGGAGGTTGTACGAATGCTCTGCTGGATCTCCTGGTAGGTCGAAGACTGGGTACGGTTGGTGCTTTGATAATAGTGCGAGCAGTGCTTGAACACAGTCAGAGCCAGAGTGGCCAGACCAACAGTCTTCATCACCTTGGCCATCTCCTGGAGGTGGAAGACTGAGGTCTCCGACAATGCCATAGTTGTCTGCTCGTACTCTTGCCAGACACTGGAGAGAATAGATGAGGCCTCATATTCTCTCTTTTGTGTCTTCAGGAACTGGGTGTAGGCAAGAACCGATTGAATCTTACGCTCTTCAACCTGGGCGGAGTACTGAACGCGGGACTCCCGGCTCAGGCGTTGCCAGATTTCGACATAGGTACGTTCGGCCAACTCAAAATTGCCCTCTGCAACGTACCTCTCGGCCTGCTTAATCAATGCTTCGAAGCTCCAAGCCTCAACTTCAATCAACTGATCATGCTCCTCAATGTCTAGCAGGAGAGTGGTGCTACCTCCAGCGGTGACCACATTACCACCATGCAGGTGCACATTCAGGTTTCCATAAGTGTCACGACCTTGACTGTACTCACCACTGAATTTCTGAATGGTGACGGCAAACTCTTCGGCCTTCTTGTCTTCCTTTATCAGCCTGTAGTGCTCGACAAGCTGCTTCAAGGTGTTGATCACATTCTCGTGGGTGCTGTCGTAGTGGTGCTTGTAGCACTCGACCAGAACTAGAAGTATCTCCTCCCTCTTAGTCATGATCTCTGTCTTGGTACTAGTGACTCTTTCAGTTGTGATCTCAAGGAAGGTGGCAGCCATTTTCATAGTAACCAGATGGCGTATGGTGAGCAAATTGCGACTAATAATAGTTGCCTCATAGAAAAGAGGAATAGCTTCGGGGTTATAATCGAGCTGGCGGTACAGGAATGCCAGGGTGATGATCAACTGTAAAGTCACCACATGATTATTGGTCAGGATCTGGCGGCAGACGTTGGTAACGGTGGTCGTGAATGCCAACAATTCTGGAGTTGGTCGGTTCTCCCACAGTGTATTCTGTAAGAGGAATACCGTGATGGATGACGGGAACAGCTTTGCAAATTCCTTGGCAGCAGGAACTTCACCATTGTTGACAAAGACATTCGTTTGCCTGAAATGCGTGATCCAATAACGGATCGAAAACTCAAGCAGTGGATGCTTGTTGATGAGGGGATTGATGTCATGCCAGTCAAGGGGTGTAAGGGAAGGCTCATGCGGCTGGGTAATAGTAGCCTTAATATAAACCAAGAGTCTCGTGACAAGATCAGCATGGCGATCCTTGATAGCCGGTACCAATTTGCCTTTGGAAAATATGTCCAATATAGCAGTGCGGATGAGGCTATGGCGCAGTAAGACCTGGTCCTCTTGTAGGAACACCAGGGAGTTTACTGAGTGAAGGATTCGGCGAGGCTCCTCAGTATATTCGGTAATGGTCTGCTTCTCGGGCTGAATGGAAGCAAGAGCCTTGAGCTCCTTGACTGAGAGGGGGCGGTTGGCTGTGGCAAGCCACAGCAACATCAGCTTAGCATCTTCCCGTGTTTGCGACTGCGGCAATTCGTTCAAGATCTGCAAGACCAAGTCGGTAATGCTTGGCTTTGCGGTCACAAGCGCATCAACGGCCTTGCGCAGATTATCCGCATTGTCCACATCACGAACGCGC